TAGTTTGTTTGAGGCAACCGGATTACTGGATGTACTGGTCGTTGGTAGCGTCGGTACAGTGGTCAAAAAGGGTACAGTACGAGGCGTGACCTTTTGCTCCTTTGCAGTCGTGAGATGCTCCGAAGCAACGGTACTTCTTGTTGTTCGGCGTCTACCGGTTGCTGGTGTAAAGATAACGACTTTCGCTGTTTCCCTGGCTGCAGTGGTTGTCGTGGGCACCGTTGTGGTGGATTCTGAAAACGCCGATAGTGTGTATCGCGTTAATAGCGCATTCAGCCAGGAAGGAGTCTGTGCACGGGACGTACGTGTACTTGTTGTTGTTGATGTGGATGTTGTGGGAGTTGTGGTCGATGTCGATGTTGATGGAAGAGTCGTCGTGGTTGTTGTACTGGTGGCAACTGAAGAGGATTCGCTCTTCGCTTTCTCGGGTTTCTTTGGTTTTCCCACCAGAATATTTAGGTCCGCGTTCAGGGTTTCTTCTGTAAAATGAATTAGAAATCACTGAAATTCACATTATTTTCTTTTATTTATACCACGTAAGGTAAATGAGCTTCCTTGGGAAAATATTCGAAGAAAAGCAAACTAACTAATCAAGTAACTATTAAACCGTATACGTTGACGGTTGATGTTATGATTGATCACCGTTGTTGTACTACTTTACTGAATAATATCGCTGTTAATCAGTAATAAAATATTGTTTTCAGAAGGTGAGCTACCTATAAAAAATGTATTGCACTTTGCTGTTTTTATTAATGATCACACTCGCTGTAAATCTTAATTCATATATGTACATTACCGTTTGCGTCTACCGTGCCGGAAAACTTTGTTCCGGATAAAGCGACACCAGACTCGGGTTTTCGTACTTCCTCATCGGATGGATGCAGATGATTGTCGTGGATTACCGGGTGGAAGACAGCATCGTGCGAATCGACCGCAACCACAAGAGGACCTTGTGTTGTTGTTGTACTGGCTACTAATTTCTGAGCGGCTATCATATAAGCTGCAACCAAACACAATCAGTTCTGATCTGAAAATCTAAAGAATTCGAGTTCCGTGGTAAAAGTCTGCTTATATAACCGTTATGGTTTACAGTACTACTAAAGTTTAAAATTACGAATTGTTATACAGAATATACATCTGGTCAACTTACATAAGCCAGCTTTATCGGCTAAGACAATGTTTGTGGTTGCTGAAAATAACATGCGTATATCATCCACATGCATAAGGACAGGCACATAAAAGAGAGTATATCTGATTACAGCGGCACAATGCCGCGCGACTACCCAACACACATATTATTATTGCACTAGCAAATTAGCATTCAATATAAATTTTTTCGATGTTGATATCAGAAATTTTTTTATACATACCTATAGGAACAGGCATTGCAGAAGACTTTGTTCCATTAACGGAAGAAGTTATATTCTTCAGATCGGTCACATCAGCTGTCGTCGACGAATTTTTAGCCGCCGTAACGTTCTTTATCAGAGATGACGTTATGTTTTTAATAGCAAATACAGTGGAATTTGCATTGCTGTCTCGTGCAAAGCGCTCCGGTGGATTCTCCACGTCTAGAAGCAAGGCAGGTCTTACTTATGTGTTTTTTCTATAAAGTAATAAAAACAAATTACATGAGTTGGATAACATTATTCTAAGTAGTGGAATTAAGCGAAGTTTTATACTTGTGCGATGCATCGTCGTCGACAGAGTTCAAGCGGCGGAAAGAACTGAAACTATATCCGACCTACTAACGTCGGATACGCAAATATTGTCACGTTGCATGCCACAGTCAAGCAAACCTCGTATGGTTTGTATACGGCAACAGGGATACGGGTTGGGCTGATTGAGGTGTCCATACGAGGTTGGCTTGACTGAGGTTATTTTTCGAGTCGTCACTGAAATCACGTTGCATGACATAGTCAGTAACGTCGCAGTATACTTGCGCGATAGACAATGATAAATCCGGAGTAAATGCTAATCTATAGTCTGTAGATGCTATATTTCTCAAAACGTAATTATCAAATTATTACCACCGGCATCTTCATTGTCAAAGGACTGAGCGATAACTGAATCTGGTGTCTTTGGCTCCTTCACAGGCAGCTCGTAATTCGGAAAATTTGGAACACCTTCTGTCCAAATATTTTTATCGCCCCAGTCGGCTACGGCGGTTTGCCGAACTTTTCTTATCATGGCTGCATTCCCGCTGGTTTTCTCACAGCGACCTTTTGCGTTCAGGATGGTATCATTCTGACACTGACACGTTCCTCGAGGTGGTCTTTCCGAACCCATCGAAAGATCACAAAAGGCTTTCGAGTCAACAAAAGTGCAGTGTTCCTGCATGAAACATACAGCACCGATCGTTCCTGTTGAAAAAAAATACAAATTTATAATATATATTAATTGTGCAACTATGAGCCTATTTCCGGTCCCAGAAACGCTGCACAAGATGGCTGCATTTTAAAATTTGGTTAAACGCAAATCGTTAATTATTACCTAAATATCAAGGGCTTTTATCTAGGTAAGAACTTGTAGCTATCTAACCGGTAAGTATGACACTATGGGTAGGGGGTACACGAGTCAAAATAATACTGCGATCTGGCCGTACAGTTTTCAAGTTGGCTAAGTTGACCGTGACATCAAAATGTGTCTTTGGGTCTTTAACATAAATAATGTTAAATAAATAAGGGAGCAAATGTTTCATGACCTTTTTCAAACTCACGTGTACATGTTATAGGAAACGCCAAACGATTTTGTGTGAATCCGTGGGCGTTATCGCAGGCGCATATGTAGAGCGTGGATGTGTTGAAATAGGTGCGACACACCGATCCTTCATGAAGTCTACCACAGGTGTCATTTTGCGGATCGCATTGGTATTCGTAGATTACATCTGCCAAAAAAGCTTTTGGTTAGCTTGAGTTCAACCGAATAAATCACATGTTGTGGACATAAAAAAAGTTATCGGAAATCTTTCATTCTTATCCATTATCCGTAATGCGCCAAACAAATTATCCAAATAAATTCAATAAGCGAAGAGACATTTTCCTTGTTAAGCAAGTTCGTAATATGATACAAACGGCTGTAACTTGAACTAACAGAAACTACCGTATCTCACTTCGACATTTTGGACATTCCGTAGGTAGTGTGTTACGTCCGTCTTTTGCAAGAACTTGTCCAGCCGGGCATTCCAGCTCTGTAAAAGAATCAAGTTATAAGAGCACAGTAAGCAATTATGTATACTTCTACCATAAAAGTCGGCAGCCCAGCTTGCGGGATGGGTTAATTTTGACATTACTTACAAATCGACAGCAATAGCCGTACTGATTCGAGCAGTAGTTATGATAATAAGTCCTGCTCGAATCAGTAGTTTGACTAAAATTTTCAATAGTAATCCCCTGATTGGAATTTTTAGCAGTAACATATCCTGACTGTGATTTGTGACCGTGATTGTGCTCGAAAACGTCTAATCAACTTTTCCCAGGCTTCTATTTGCATAAGGTTTACTACCCTAATAATTCATTAATCAACACTGAAATTGTTTGACAGTAATACCATGGCTTATGAACCTCTAAATTTGTATATGCGGTGTTGTAAAAGATATTGACGATTCCGTGCATTTTAAAAATTAAAAATGCAGAAATTACGAGGACATACCACGACAGCAAAAACTAGGACGATTTTCTGGCCAAGGGAATCGCCCAGTAGGACAGGTTTCATTAACCGGCAGCGCTTCCCGTACCGGTAAAGCGGTCGGTCCAAACCACAATCGATCATCCTGTTCCTCATCACACGTTATCCTTAGCGCGGTTCGCAAAAAGTTGGGAAATTTGCAAATTGTTTTCTGTGATAACACTGGCGGTGCACTGGTGGCATTAGCAGTTACTTCTGCCGTAATTATGATCTAAAATGCACACCAGGTTCATATTGCGGGAATAAGTCGTCAAAATATTTTATAATACGAGTACTTACACATTTTATAAATAATACGACAGAAGCAATAGCGTATTCCATCATTTTCCGTGTAAGAAAACGTAATAAAATTAATTTATATCATAATACTATTGCATGGAAGAGATCGTTATTGGCAATAGATTCTTTGAAATATCAACAATGATATTTGTAGATTGTTCAATCATTCGGCATCATTTGGCGGTACTAGTAGCATAAAAAACACAGCCGTCACGAAATTATCACTGCATGGTAAAAAGTAATGAAGACCGCTGTAAGTCATGTAACACGCTTGTGTACATCGGTCAGGGTCGATGGCCGCTAATGTAATCTTTCTCGATTAAAGTCGTCACCGCATGCAATCTATTCTTTCAAGTTAAATGCATGATGATCAAAAATCGTTTCGAATCCGTTAATTCATAACCAGAACTACCGCAAAAACAAAGCTACAAAGAGGTGACAAAAATTGATTCGCGCCACTTTACCGTCAAGAAAATATCGCTCCAGCTTGCAGGTGTTTACCAAACATTATAACTTACTAATCTGGAAAGCTGAACATCGAAAGATATGTACAATACGTAATTGTTAGCACAGCAGTGGTGAGTGTATGGTGAGTGTATAGTGGTGAGCTCAGTAGTGGTGAGTGTACCTACCTACGTGAGCGACCTTTACAAGCTATTGATAACAGATTTACTGTTGCAAGTCTTAATCTTTGTTTACTTGAGCAGAAATTACTTAACACTTTCTATTGTTTTGTGTTATACCCGGCAACACTTTGCTATTGATATCTTGGTCAACCTTGAAAAAAAAACTCAGCGGTATAAATGGTTGAATGCAAGCATTTCTTATTTAGCGCAATTTCATGCATATGTATCAAAATCTGGACCCAAAGCAACGAAATACAGCGTATCCTCTACAATACTCCTTTAATATTTTATCGTATTATCTAAGTGCAGCAGAAGTCCTGTTATGCGGGATGTAGCATTTTTACCGCATTTTATGCGGTATGTATGCGTTATGCGGTACAATCAAGTTTTGATAAACGTAAGCCCATTTATTTTTCTCTCCCTGAATTAACTATAGGCCCCGCATTTGTAACACAAGTATCGTACATTTCACATGCAGGCGTGCACAGCTAGAGAACATTATAAGTGAGGATGCACACAGGTACCGCGGTAGTGCAGCGTTCGAGCTTGAAAAGTCGGTCGTGTTGAAACATACAGTGCAACAAAAGATGCAATTCTACATAATACGTATATATTTCCCCACTACAATCACACAAGGGCTAAGGGGAAAAGATTACAATATAAAAGCCTGATCAACGGAAGCAACAATTAAATGAGCAACAACAAAAGTATTTCACGCAAAACAACAAAAGTGCAAAAAACTACTCACAGAAAATTATCAAATTTCTATCCGGACATTCTTTGCGCAGGGGAGGCTATTTTTCTTTGAGCGTTTTGGATGTCTTGCATCATTCCAAGGTTAATATTGGGGAGAAACGCTGTAGCAAAAAAAGGTAAGAATTATGAAAACCATTAAAACTTATTCTCACAATCAGGTTAACACTTCGCAAGAGGCCGCATCGGTAGTATCCATAACAGATGTTGAAATTATGGATACAAGTTTCGCACATTAACTACTTACATGTCATTCCGGAAATCGATTGACCGCCTTCGGAAATTTGGTCACTTCCGCCATTAAACAACCCTGAAACTGCAACTCACCGTATAACAAATACCTATCTAGCTAGCGCCTCTGAACCTAAATCCATGAACCACAAAATCTGTAGTAAATTCGCAATCAAGTACAGGCATTTTTAAATTGATGTTATGTAAACTGTCATCATGAAAACCAGATACATGTAAACACTTACGAATTTCCCAAAACGGACTAATATTCACTGACGTCGGTACAGATGTCCCTGCCGGTTTTCTACTGTTGTCGCTGCCGGCAGTTTTTCTTCGGGCTGATTTAGGAAGTGCACGATTTTCATAGAAACTTGGATCATTTTCCGATTTGGGACCATAGGTTTCTGAGGTCTTCTTCCTCTTCATAAGTTTGCCGGCTTTTTTCTTAGCATTAGTGTAGCTCTCCAGAAAGTCTTCAGCGGATCTGGCCAAAGCACCCAAATGATCCGGCGCCGGTGCAGCCACATTTGCGACCTGTGGTTGGGTAACAACGGGTGGTGGAGCAGCCGTTGCCGGGGTCACCGTCCTGGCTGCTGTTGCCGACTCTGTAGCGTCGACTCCGTGAGATTTATCCACAGATATAATTATAGTGTGGTTAGCCGGAATTATCTTGTCGATTTTCAAATTATCCCCATGTTCCTTCGCTAAATCCGACAGCGCCGACGCGTTGGTCAATGACGCACCCAGTGCGGCAATTAACTGATGTGGATCGATTAAACTCGCGCCGGCATTACTCGAAGTGTTGACTTTTGAGTCAAAAGTATTTTGAATCTTTTCCGTGCCATTAATATTTGATGTGTTTAGCTTTGCTTCCGAAATGATCTTTGAATCCGTTGTGTTATGTAAAACAATGTCCATTTCCCGGTGGACACTTGCTTGCAGTGCGCCGTTGCTGGCATTAATTGTAGTATTATTTCCATTGACCGCAGAAATTTTGAGAGCGGGAATCAGTACATCCATAATGCTAGAACTGTTGTTGTGGCTAATCGTTACGTTAGCCGGATGCTCTTCCACTACGGTCATTTTTCGAAGTTCAAACGTTAATCCCGGTCCCGCCGATTTCCCGGAAAGATTAAACACAGGTAAATGACCGACATCCAAATTACTGGAAGAGCTAAGAATGGCTGCCAATGTGGTTGGCTTTTTTATGAGAATCGGGCGCGCCGTGACCTCTGTGCGTTCGGATTTTCCCGTCAAGTTGGATACATTCTGGCTGATTATGGGGGTTGTCGGCCTCTTAATAATCAAGGGACGTGCCGTGATTTCACTCCGCACCGGCGAATTATTTGCGTTGGGAAACAAAGCGCGGTCTGGGATGAGCACGTCGTTGGTATTAGCGGAAATTGCAGCAAGGGCGGATATATTAAATGATGCCTCGTCATGGCTGCTTACATTGACAGGATTCAAATTTATACTGGCGTTGTTCTTAAACAAATCAACGGAGTGGTTTCCCGAAGCCGAAACGTTGGATGCACTAGTTGCACTAGTTGTCCAACTTGCATGCGATATAGAAACAATTTCTGTGATGTTGGATCCGTTAACGGTATGGTGGTCAATCAATACCACTGAACCGTTGTTTTTCAAAATGTCCACTGTTTTGTTAATTTCATGTTGATTCAATGTTAAGGATGCGTTAGAACTGGAATAAAGGATCGCTGGAATACTGGTACTAGTAATGTTGGAAGCATTAAAGGTCAACTGCGGGGTGATCGCTGAATTATTGTGCGCTGGCGCCGCAGTGTTTAATTGTCCGGTAACATTTGTACTGTTATCCTTGTGATCACTTGACAATCTCGTCGACGACGTAGTGTTCAGTGGTGGAGACTGCGTGGTCTTTAGTAGATTCCGACGGGAAGATTTATCTGCCAGAGTTCGATTACGCGGCTTGCCTTTCCATTCCCATTTTCCATCGGCATTTTGAGCCCAGTCTGCTTCTGGTCCTTCCGCTAATAAATACGGACTAAATTTATGCTATTTACACTGTTACTATAAAGTACAACATCAAAAAAATTACTGTAAATAAAAAATTTAGTCCGTCACGCTTATAAATTCTGCGAGTGCATCCTAGCAATGCGGACCAATTTCCGTTTCTTTTTTATTTAGGTAAGACATTCTCGAATTCAAGTGGGACAAACCAAAATTCATTTTTCATCTGAAAAAACTGAATTTACCTTGTTCTTTCAGGCGAGCGGCAGTCAAGTTTGTCGCTATCATTAGTCGTTCAGTGGGCGAGATGTTTGTATGGTTTACAGATCTAAGGAAACGTGAAGTTGATGATTATGTACAACTTACTGTTACCGGCTTGTAAAATAATAAATCAAAGTTTTGCATGCATGAACACGTTATGTTTCATTGCTCGTACTGTAACTTCGTATAAAATAGTACTTGTAACTGAAAAACAAGGAAAAAAAAACGTCACGTAAAATTCTCGCCAAAAATAAATCAGTTTATTAAACACCACAAAATTACAGTACATAAGTATGTACTGTCGAAATGCTCGTTTTTATGCTTACGCGGTTGTAACGTTTGTCATAGCAGTGGAAACACTTGTGTTCGAAAATGGTGAATCGGTCGAAATCTCCGAGGAATTAGACCCACTGACGCACTGCACACGACTGATGCTCTGCAAAAAGTAAACAGGTAATTTCGTCGACATTTTTTTAAGTTATAGAAAATCACAGTTATAAATTTTAGTACACAATTTTTTTGACGCTGGTAACCTAATAATATCAAATTTGCGATCAGCTACGATTTCTTCTGCTATGGCTGATTTAACTGAATCAACAAGTTATACGAACCATCAGTATGGCATAAATAAAAATACCGCAGATAGGAAACGCGGAGGAACAGGATCGCGAAAGCACACCGATTTTGTTCTCGAGCAGCATTCTGTTTTTCGGTGGTGCGACACGCTGATCAGGTGATGACCGGAAGTCGACAATCTGTTTCTACTGTACTCAGCGACGCACTTCTGTACACTTCAGGCTTACCCATGCACAGAAAAATAAACCAATTTACTAGTTAAATTAGTAAACAACGGATTTTGTTAGCTGAAAAAGTTAAGCATTCTTCGATTAACCACTATCAATTGTAAGCTTCGTCGCTAGATTTTTGTTACGCATTAGAGGTCATTGGTCGACTGTGCAAGTCACCACGCGCCTTCGGCATTCTAAATTAACAAACGAAGCTTTCGCTATCTCACCAGAAGTGCGAAGAATTTATCGCTTTGTCTCGGCCATACGCAAAGCGGAAATGTTCTGTAAACATCTGCTAGTCTTGTGTTTCACTACAAATCTGTATAAGCAATAGTATATCAGCAAGTACTCACTACGAAATCCTAACAAATAACAAACGGGAAAAACTGAAATAAAAGTTTCAAAAGTGAAAGTTTGAAAACGCGATGTTTACTATGCGATGAAAACAGAACAGTTGAACACGAAAAAAAGTCTACAACACCCGGTGTTCCCAAGCGGTCACCCATCCAAGTACTAACCGAGCCCGACGTAGGGTATCTTCCGAGATCGAACGGTATCGGGAGTTTGCTACGTGGTATGGTCGTAAACATACTCGATGAAATTTTAGTCGCTTGCAGAGATTTAAATCATTCGCCGGAAGTGCCAAAAGAATTTTATAGTACCTACTTAATCATAAACAAAGGTATTATTAATTCCTAAGAAAACAGCAACACGGAAAAAGTTAAAAAGAATTCGTTTCACTACTTGTACCACAATGATCTGGAGGGTGGTGGGAGGGAAAGTGGTGTTTAAGCGCTAAGGCTGATACTCTGCTACTTCAAGCGATCATCTGTTTCAGTGTTTCCCAAAGTACTTACTGTTTGACAGTAATAACATGTGTTTGCAGTTTGCTCACTGTTTACGAATTTGATTTAAAAACAGTTTTCAAAACAGTAGACTTTTCTGGTTTTTCATTGCCACGGCTCTTTTAAGAGCCAGGAATTTTAGTTTTCTCCTGTTTTGTTATTTCGACTAGCTTTTTAAATAACTAAAGATTTTTTTATACACGTTTGCATGCTGTCCGTTCACGAGGAGTTGTGAACTGCGGCATGCCTGCATCCTCATTCACATCAGAGCTTTGTCATTCCGTTTTGGACTGAGTTTGTTCCGAAATATTTTCAGCAGCACTATGACCGACATGCTTTCCGATCCAGCGCTGTTTGGCGAGGATTCTGCGGCATCTGCCAGTCGATCTGATGATGACTCCGATCCAGGCAAGTGAGATTTGTGGTGTATCACAAGAAATCGCCGTTGCATCATGATGCACGTGGGATCAGCAAAGGATTTGCCGAACGTAGCTTATCCCACAAATGCACTAAACTGAATTTGGTCATGATCTTTTAATCATTTGTTATTTGTAGAGCGGAATGTGCTGACTCTGACGGAGATAGCCGATGTTCCTGCCAATTTTGCTCACTTACGCTCGTATAATGCCTCGCGACGCTGCTCAGACGAAGATTCCGTCGAAACATTCCTATCCGAGGAAGCAGAAGCCGTAAGGCGAAATCCCAGTATGGTTATCTTTGTACGCGCAGATGCGATGTGTTTGTTATGCAGAGCGAAGAAGCTGGCCAGGTGTTCGTGATGATGGAAGGCATGTTTCGGGTATCAAGGAATACGCGCGCGCAGTGGTTCCTGCGATTTCTCAACAAGACTGTGGTTTGGGATGCTGAGGTAATTGTCGTAATTAAACGTCTTGCATGTTTTTCGGTATACTTATTATTCAGTGTAAAAAGATTTCTTAGCTTCTCTGTTACTCACGCTTTGTGTAAATAGAAATTTTGGGAAACGAGATTTGTTACTAATTGGTGTTACAATACATCTTAATTGCAGTTTTTGAATTTTTCATCTAGTCACGCCCAGTGCTATAGAAGTATTTTCGGTTGGATTATCCGTGCCTAGAAATTGTTTTGCAGTTGCAATAATTTTTGACAGGATTAATGGAAACTATTCTAATTACATAAGCGTAGTCATTATTTTGTCGGCTTCACAGTCTTCACAGGCATTGTTTCGATTGCAGTACGAGTATAGTAATTTGGTAAATGAATTCAGTGGATACTCGCATTAAATTTTCACAGTTTGCATATGACAAATGTACTGTATGGCAAATTGCCAATACTTTGCCAGATGCTACACAATGCCACAGTTGCAAGTTTCCATCGCATTATTTGTAATTTTGTAGCTGCTGGTGCAGCATAGTAAGTCAAAATTTTCGGATACTTGAAAAATTCTTGTAATCATACGAAATCGTAACTGCTTGAATTGTAGACTGAAGTCGAGCATGAGGATAAGGAACCGCTGGAAATCATATCGTGCATTCCTCGGCGCCCGCTTTTTCCGGTGGAAAGTACATTAGCTTTTACATAACTTATGCACAGTTGGTTTCTTGTGTCGTTTGATAACTTTGGAATACACTGATTTTGAACACTGGCGGTTTGTTTATAGTGCAACCAACAAGTAACCGAGTGTTTAAAATTACTCCCCTGACAGCTGTTACTTTCCTCTCCAAAACTTATCGGTTGGTGTTTGCTTTGGATTTGACACCCTCTATGGCGACCGTGGTAAGGGCGTGTTTGGATGTTTTTTGTTGCTTTCTGTTAAATATTTAGGGACTGGATTTTTTGCAGTCGCTTGTGAATGGATCTGTTGCATTCGATGAGTTGTTTTCAGCACTGCAGGAATGCCTGACCGCAATTAGTCAACCGGTAAGCGGTATGTGTTGTCGGGAATAAATAGAAGACGTGAGCTTTCCTTTTAATCGAAAATCCAGATTGTCGCAGTTTTGTGTAAAACTGTAGTATGTTTTTCGTTGGTTAATCGCTTTAATTATACTCCGACAATGCAGTTACAAATTCAAATTTGCGGTTTGTTATTAGTGATTCTCAACTGTATTGGTGCGAAGCAGTTTAATTACACCGTTGTTAAATTTTAAACCTTTTACTGTTTAGACGGTCATTCCCGGCACGAATAAACCGTTCTCCCCTAAAGTCTTCGTTACCGTGTTGGCCCACGCACCATTTCTGAGCTCAAATTCTGCTCCGGTTATCGTGAAAGGTTTTAAACTGCTACCAGAAACTCTTGCGGATTTGCTGCAGTTGATTCGAAAAGAGCTGACTCGATTGGAGGGAGATGTCGTCACACGCTTAAACGTAAGGGTCATGATGTCTTTTGAATGTGTAAATGGTGGCTTACTAAAATGCAAATTTCTTAATATTTTCAGTTTTTTGTCTAACGAGAAATGATTCGATTTATGGTAGTAGTGGCATTTTTTTGAAATAAGTTCCGTTTTTTCTTACAATTAGTGTACTTGTCATTGGCCTGTGTCAAATTTACATTATGATGAAATGAAAGTACCTAATGCTACTATGCTACAAATATTATCATGAAATGCAAAAAATACTTTAGTTTTTTTTCAACAGGAAGAAATTCGAAGGTATTCTCCATTATCCAATGCGGAGTTAAAAAAAACCAAGCCTTTCATGACAATGGATATGACTTTGGCCAACATTTTACGGAAATGCTTGCTTAGCGTGCAGCTGTTGCCGGACAATTCTTGTGGACGTGAGTTGGCAGTAATTAGTATTAGTTAGTATTAATTTTTAATTTAAGACATTTTTTTTTATAATTTGGATGTAGGCAACTTGAGACAGATTGATAACGGTACATAAATTTTATCACTTTGTCTCACGCTTCATACATGCAAATATACATTTTCCGTGTTAAAAACGCATGGCTTTGAATTCGTAAAACAGCTTACTTATTTGATACCGCGCTTTGTCTACTGCTTTATTTGCCGTTTAGATATTGTTGTGGTGACGGATGGAATACTGGACTTTCCGGACATTACCGTCTTGGACCAGCTGCTGTCGCAATTACGAACCCATACCATTTCCGTCTCTTTTATTCGTGTGGCATGCCCGGGCCAGAACGGCGCAATGCACGACGATCTGGGTTATCTGTGCAATGCGGACCTGATGGAGTTTATTGCGCGCACCACCACCGGGGCCTATGTCGAGTACCAGCCGAGCGTGGTACGCGAAGAGTTTGAGGGTGTGCGGGTGCTTGTGAGTGTCGTCAATAACCCCTCTTGTTCTTTGTACACTGCAGTTGATCAGGTGGCATTTGCTTCGTGAAAGTCCTTAACACGAGTACTTGAATCGTTGTCGTGCCGCGCTATGTATAGGTATTCCGACACGTCGTTGCCGAAAGCCGCTTTTACGTGCTTTATGCAGCTGTACAGGAAAATATCTTATTATTAACTCTGCCTTGATGAAATTTAGGGTGAACTGGATGGGTCCGATGCTGGGGTATTTCAGACAGCATTTTTCACGTGGTCCTTTCAAAGAGGAGTGGACGCTGTCCAGAATGAACTGACCAGGCGACCGAATACTATGGCGTAAGTTTTGTAGGGCGGAATTTTACTACACATTACTGATAATAAGCACTACGTAAAAAGGTTTTAATGTTTTTATTGTGCCATGAAGAATCTGTTGCGTATAAACGATACAGTTTAAACTGGTGCCTTGATGCTTCCCAGTTTGTGTACATATTTTTATTTGTATGTTGCAGTTAATCGTTTTTTTGCTTCTGTCTTGTTCTCATGATTCGTGAACTGTTTAGGCGAATGATATTAAATGACGATTGGTTTTCTAGGATTATGGCTGACGTGGGAGGCAGAATGATGCGCCAGTTTTTAAGTAAAGCTGAGAATATTGATGTATCACTTGGTGGATTGCTGTCCATACGTCTGAGAGAAGGATTCACCATTAAATCTATAACATTTTCTAAAGGTACGCGTAGTACTGACTCCGCCTGACTGTACTAATTAAAATCGTTAACAGCGTACCTATTCAAAAACATGGAACGCTGATTTCCGCGAGTTAAAAAAAAAATTTTGTTGAATCTTCTTAGGGGATACTCACATCGATATTGTTCTGTCTATGCCTTGGAAACCGGAAATTAATATTGACTATCAAATTGGAGCCTTGTGGCCACCAACGGAACGGTATGCATTCTTGAAACAAAAAGCGTCTTCCCTAATCTCATACTTCATATGTCATGGACGTTACTTATATTTTTAATCATTTTATTAATTTTTATATTTAGTGGTGTCAGTGCGGAAATTTATGTCGAAGCGCCGTACGAATTCTTGCTCGACTTGACCGTGGCTGCTCCCAACAAAAACAACTGTGGACCTTACCGTTTGGCTTCCTTAAAACGATTCAGACATATGATCCAAAGGTACCGATTATCTCCTTATTGTCGTATAACGGTATCGTCGGCATGTAATGACTGTCAACTAAGATAGGTTCTTTTCAGTCTGGAGCAGACTGAACAGTTCTTGATTCATTTTGAGCAATTCAAGAGTAAACCGTCGCATTACACGATACCGGAAGTGATTCGGGAAGGTATGCCGGTGTTCTATTTGTCACCGGACAATCCGGAAGATCCTGTGCTGTGCTCGAACGACCTGATGGACTATCCGGATTTTACAAATTTCTGGCGTCCAATCTGTGTGTTGGACTCCAACCTCTGGCATAAGTGGCTGCATGTTCATCGGATTAGTCTGTTACTGGAACATGACAAACCGCTGAGCGAAAATATCTTCAGCTCGCGTCGTGTGTCTACTATTCGCTGCAGTTTTGCTTTGAATCAGCTACGGGAGTTGCTACAGAAGTGGTGCCAGATTGTACTGGTGGAAAACCATAGTTACATTCGGTTTATTACCGAGTAAGTGCGAGATTTGATGGCTTTTTGCTAAAAACACAGGCGTCTAAACTGCATTTACATTGTGCCGTATCTTATTGAAACAGCGATTGCACAGATGACTTTTTTTTCCAGAAATCAAGAAGACTCCGGCCCACCAAAATCGTTTTTTATTATAAGAATGGCGGTTAAGCTTCCGTGCGTGGCGCTTAGAATGGCATTTCTTGGTGGCACGTCTGGAAATATTCGACATAAAGTAAAGCACTTATCACCCGAACCGAACTAATCCGCGGTTTTGTTGCGTTGGTTTGCTGTAGGTGATGTCGGAGTTGGAACAAAAATTAGCTGCTTTAACGATGCAAGTGAAAGATCCCTCCGGCGAAACAAATCGTAAGTTTTGGTTTTCCTGTTTAGTAAACCTTGGTAGCACTCTTCCTGGTGCTTCATTTTGCTTACTTCAATTTGTCTAAACTTACAAGTGGCCGTTGTAGTTGTTACGTGTTGTTGGAGATTTGCTAAGCCGGTTGAGAAGATGCTGATACAATATCGTGACGTGCCTGGAGAACTGACTGCTGATAGGTCTTCTGGAGCAAGTGTCCCGGTGAATTTTGAGGAACGCGTTAATCAGGCAGCATTTCCGGTGGCGAATCCTTTGGCGTTTCAAGCCCTTAGTCGCTTCCTACATTGTCGACGTTATGTTTGGCAGCTTCCAAAAATATGTTCGCCTACGTTATCGTACGACGTAATCGGCCGAGTCCTGACAGTGTTAGCCAAAATGCGACTGAGGGAGCAGTTTAGATTTGCCAGTACATCCGGCGGAGTATTTAATCTGGTCAGGGAGGTGGAAATGACTGTAAGTGACCATTTGGACATTTACATGGCTGCCTTTGTGCATTGCACGATACCCGTAGAATTTGTAATACAGGTGTTACTACGGTTTTGTTTTATAAATGCGAGGTGTTTTTACAAGCGTACGTTCAATTTTGTAGGATCCGGCGCGTATATCGCACCCGAAGAAGATTCCGCTTGTGGAAGCAGACAAGAACGATTTTCTACCGTGTATCGCTCAGTATATTATTTTTCCGCCCTGTGGTATCAGCAGTAGCCTAAAGTGAGCGCTTTATTGCCGATTGTATGGATTAAGTGTGCATATTAAAGCGTTAGATAGTAGTGTTTACAGTGACGTATTTATTATTCATGGGTTGCCAGTGCGTGTTAGAATAGTTAAGCATATTGATTTACAGGGACGAAGAGAAAGAAGAAAGTTATGGCGGGCGGGATCAAAAATATTCTGTGGCAGTTGAAATATGGCTGGAACCACAGTATGGCGTTTCGATGGCTGATGATTCTGCAACATCATATCTAAACGCTTTGAAGTATCAACAAATCCCGGACAAGGTATGTGTTCTGTTAATCGTTAGTGTATCGCCAAATAATTGGTATGTTTTAACAGATGCATGATGTGGACAAAGATCTGCTGTCGACATTTTTGACGTTCGAAATGTTGGCTTCCTTATGTGGTCTTCCGGCTAATGAATCCAGGAAACCGTGGACATACCCGCGTAGCTCGCGATTTCCTAAGCTGAACTCAGACAAACAAGCCACCGTTACGATACGAGACAACGCGGAAATGCTGGCTTTTCCATTTGATATGCCTTCCCTTTTAGCCAAGTGTAGCCGAACACGAATGACCTTCTGCAGTTTCCGTTCCAGTTTTTGTACAACGAATGTCGCAGAATCTAACGACTATCTGTTCCACTATTTCTCGACGGAATTACGAAAGCTGCATACTAGGGAAGTGGAGCTGTCTGAACACGATTGCCATGGAATTCTGAGACTGCTGGGTGACGGCGGTGGGCAGTCGGTGCGGAATTCAGAATCTGCTGAATCGTACACCGAAGCCAACGATAACGATTCGGGCGAAAATTTTCCAGTGGAAGCCGAAGTTTTGGCCAGACCGTCATGTGATTGGCGGTGTTTTGTTAAAGTTATCTCCGATCACTCATTGGTAATCACGTTGGTTCCTGTTTCGTATGTCCATTTGAAACGCATCACCCAAGCGCTGGATATGGAAGAGATTGAAGGCCCCAACATTCCAGTGAATCCTCTAACGGACGATTCCAGTGCGGTTTCTTTGGGAGAAGGGGACTCCGAGAACGACGATGTAAACTTTCAGAATCGTCCGGCGGCACTTCCGATACCGGTGTACATCTTCACGTGCACATTTTCCAGTCTGATTGCCGTATTGGTGGAGAAGAAGAGTGTCACCAAGGGGCTGGATTTTGATTATGATCTGACAAAGCAGTTCAACGTTCAGTACGAACGACCGTTGGGGAAGAGAATTAGTGAATCCAGGGGAGATGATAGTTTATCAGAACGGACTTCACTGCGGTCGCTGTCCTTGCCGAATCGAGGTGGACGAGACATGTCCAAAATCTGGATGCTGTGTGGAAACATTGAAGATGCATTTGCGAAGGGATTTGTACAAGGAATATACAAAAGTCTACACCTTGGATATGTGGTCAGTTGCGTAGTTGACGAGTTCCCTGGAGGCAGTTAAATGAAAATAAAATTTTGGTTTATAAAACAAAAATGAAAATTAATACTTTAAGTTAAGGTCTGCAGGTATTGACGAAATCGGAATAAAATGCTTGAATTTCAGGTTGACCCCTACGATATCCAGCAGGCTACCGATGCATTTTGCGCGGAAGTACCTGTTGAACTGGACTTGACTGAGTTTCTTCGATGTGTTTGTCCACATTTCAAACGACTGATCCGCAAACGCCGGACATCCGGTAACAGTCCACGCTCTGCCAATTCAGTCGTGCAGCATTTGGTTCCAGCGGAAAGCCATATTGCCATTAAAGCAGAATTTATTAAAATTATCTCCCGCTGCTTGAAAAAAATCCACAGCAAGCCAGATACTTACTTTTTCTATCCACCCGGTTATCGGGAGAGTGGGGCCGAATCAGCCAGCAGTTCGGAAGGCAAGCGCTCCGAAGATAGTGAAGCCACGGTGGAATTTCGTGCTAATGATAGTGGAAACGAAGCCGGTTTGCGGGAAAGTGTGAGTGGATTCAGCGAAGCCGGTGAATCAGGGAGAGGATTTTTTGAAAAGGATCCGGACAGTATGAGTTTGAATACAGGTTGCTCTGATCGATCGGTATTCGGATCTGATACTTCGGAAAGTGCGCCCATTGCGGATTTGGATGGAGAAGACGGATTATTGAATCCCCTGTTCGTGACCTTTATGTGTGTGCTTTCGGCGGGAACGAAGCACACGCTGGGTAGTTCCACGGTACAACAACTGCCAACGTGTTTGTGTAAGTTGCACGATGCGTACATGAAAAACTGGAGCGAATGATCTTGTAAATAACGTGGATAATTATTGTTGATCTTGTGCATAACGTGGAAAAATTTTTCCCTAGTGCTGTTGCATTTTCATGCTTATGCATATCTCAAAAGTTGAATGTTGCATTTATGTAGCGGAAGTGTTTTCATATGTGGACACTTCTGGTAAACTGATGGACTTCCACGAATTGCGAATCAGATTGGATGTCCTGTGTTTATCACTACCGGAAGAAATTCGCGACATCCATCCGGTTGAAGGCAGGGTTTCCAGGCGAACCATTTCTGGTGGAAGCAGCATGAAAGATCTCCGCGGAAGCGATTCTGATTTATCGACAATCAACGAAGAGTAATCAATAAATCATACAGGTTCAGTTAAAAAATTTTCAATAAATATTCTGTAGGCAACGACCTGGATCATCTGAAGATTATCTTCACTTACCGGCTGAGCAACATGAAATTGTCCAGGGAATGTTGGACAATTTGCGATGGCACCTGCAGGATGAAATAGCCTATACGCTGTCCGTTAACGACATACTTCCTACGGAAGAAAATTTGCGGCTGGTTATGGATCACGTAAAAAACTCGAAGAATCGTAGCACATGTACAATGCACGAGCATGTTCTTCGATTTGTGTACAACGCCGAACAGAGTTTCCAGATGTTTGTGGAGGTGCGATAATTTTCATTGTGCTTCATCTTTGTTCACTTTGATAGAGCCATCTTATTTTTCTCTTTGTAGCGCTTTGAACGCGTCCGAATCAACAACTACCGTTTTGTGAAAGAAGGCGAATTTTATTATTTGATCAAAGCGGAAAACAGTGCTTCATTTAAAGGATCGCCTCTGTTGCATAGAAGACAGTTTACACGACAATCTTCGACTGCTTCTGAACCCTCTGCTGAAATACGCCGACGAATTAATACGCTGGAATCGCAAGCTTCACTTGGTTCGCGGCATTCGTACTCAGAAGGTGAGAGCTGTTATGGTGGTAATCAGCTTCTAAATTTTTTATTATTCCCCACATATTATCTTAATTTGATTTGCAGTAAACAAAAACCATTTACAGAGGTTGAGCGCATACATAATGTGATCCTTTACGTAATAATTATAGTGTATCAATGATTGTAGATACGGCTCGTCGCAGCAGTTTGCCTGTTTACCCGATGTATAAACGTTCGCACGGGATTGTTACCGCCGTTAACAATGAGGACATAAAGGCGTTTAGCCGATTACCACCCATTCGCGACAGTTCGGTATCCGCCGACGAAGATACCCTGATTTTTCATGACGGCATTTCAGCAATCAGCGATAATTCCGTTGGCGATTATGGCTACGATGCGGGTAGCAGCGAATCCGATGATGAAGAGGATAATGAGGGTAGCATTATGCCGAACAACGAATTGCCAGGATTCTGGCTGATCTTGAACCTTACGAAGAATGCAGCAAATATTTACTGCCATGTTCGTGAGTGCGAAGTGGATGCGGAGAATGTGACTAAAAATCCGCATCGCTCAGCCGATGAGACATTGAAAAAACTGAAGACGATTGAAATGCTGACGGAAGAAACCCTCAAAAGACTGAAAGCCATTGCCAAGGTGGTCAATCAAGAACTCCTTTTGAAGGATATGTGTAGAACATTGCGCTGTAATAATCTGGTTGAGCCAGAAACGTTGGACGAAGACAAGAATGGGCACAATCAGCAGGATGTTTTTCGAAGCGCAGCCGACGATGATGATGCCGTGGATAGTTCGTATTTGGAAGCTTCACTGCATTACCTGCCTGGATATTTCAGCTGCGATATGGTTTTCCAATACGAATTCGTTGTACACCCACGGCTGCGTCAGGCTCCCGGGAAATCGGAGAAATCTCCAGGCATTCAAGCGCTGATGGGACTGCTGAGTAAATTTGCTGTTATCAACCGGAGAAACATGTTTGTAATTCAGGAAACCGGTAAGGATTCTCATGGGGCAATTTTCTATATTCGAATGCACGAAAGAGGAGCGACAAAGCGGCTGACCAGCATGAACGAAGATTCTGTTGTGCCGTCGCGGATTGGCTCGGTTGGGAAAGATCTGGATTTGATTTCTAATACATCCAACGAGAACACTCCGCGCTCGGTAACCTTTGAGGATGGGGCATTTGGAGAACATTTCAACCGGCCTCCCATGGACACAATTTTGTTAGAATTCTACGGAATTTCTCCTGTACCGCCTGAAATAACTAATGAACTAATTCTAGCGCTGCAGAATCGGTTGGATGAACAAGTTTTGAGTCAGTTAATTGTGACGCTGACCAGGAACGTTGGCTCCAAGTTTACTGGAGAAGATGTAAAGTTTTTGCAGCCAGATCGAACCGCTGCCACTGAAATTTTGGATATTAAACTTCCCGGTGAAATTCATACTGCACCACAACAAGTGGCCGTCTTCCATTACCTGCTGCAGAACTTGGGATCGTTTCTGCATGGGCCAAAGTACTCGCAGACCGATCCTGGGAAGCATTTCCATTATCTTGATCCCGCAACAGAGGAGTGGAAAATTGCTGACGACGAGGCTTCCTTTTTTACCATTCGGCCTCACGAAAAGGGTGGTATGGGATTTGGTTTTATCTATGTGCAGCTGCTGCCGCAGACAACACAAAGCCCTCTGCCATCGGAAAACGTTAACGTGGAAGAAATGTTTCAAGAACTGGTGAAGATCCGTTCGGTAAAGACTGGAGGAAATATCCGGTTCCTGGTTTGGGAGAAGGGTAATGTTGATCGCGCGGGTTTGTTGGATAAATTGCGTCATTCAGTACGATATGCACTTTCTGATTTTTGGATGGAGCATAATGTATGTCCGGCACTGGCTGCTCCCGGAAATAATGTGGCCGCTGCGCGCACGAAATTCCTACGGACCTATCTGCACGCATGCTGTGATATCAAGGCGTACGCCTTTGCGTCCCACCTTTACCTGCTGCCAATGCGACACAGCGCTGATATTGTTTGGGATTTTGTTCTGAATATAATTAACGGGCTGAATCTGGGTCTTATACTTTCTGCGACCGCTTGCTTGCGGGATGCGGCTGGAGTGGAGACGCATAACTCTGATTTTACACTGGAACCACCGAAATCGTTGCGGGAATTTGTATCGCCACTTCTAAAGAATCTTCCTCCTGGAAATTTCGCAGTTGTGTCTGCGCTGGGTTTGACATCCGAAGAAGACGGCGAAAAACGCTCGCGAAGTACATCAGTGGATGCACATAGTGTTAGCGATGAAAAGACGAAGAAAAGTTCGAAAAAATTTCTGTCTCGTACCGATCACCACGGAACGGCAATTGCTTCGCGAACGCGGTTGCTGTTTATTGAATTGCACGATACCGACTTAACGGTGTTTTTTTACAATTTTTCACCGGAATCCCAGATGAGCTTAGAGAAAGCCATCGGTCGATTGCTGGAATGGCAACATGAACGATACCGTTTGCTGAATAACATGTTGCTCCAGAAGTGCGGTGTATTTCAACCGATGAAGGAATTCGAAAGCCATGGATCTCTGGAATATCCAATGTTTCATGTATCACCATTCCAAGTGGATTATCTGATCAACTATGCTAATTTTCCCTCAAAAGACAATCTAAAGAATATGCAAAATCCCAAACACCAAATGACGGGAATACTGTTTGAAGCGACAATGGACAGCCATTTTCCGGGGAAATTTTTTGCCGATGAAGCCAACATGGCGTACACCGATCCAGTTCTGTACCATGGAAAGCAGTTTTGCGAAATTCGAACGAAAAAACGCCGGTCGAACGATGTGCGGGCTCGTTTAAGGAATTTGTATGATTTATGGCATCGACGTGGACGACAGCCAATTTCTGAGGAGGTGCTGTCTCTGCTGAAAATGAACGCGAAACCGGTACATTTCTGCGCATCGCCATTGATGTTTGATCCACAGTGGAGAAGGAGTCTGGGAACACGGTTTCCGGATCGACAATTATTGTGTTCTTCTCCCATTCAACGAGGTGTCGCTGATGAAGAGCCTATTTCATCATCAGGAAGCGTGAGTTACAGATTTGACAAAATAAAGCGCTAACGGCCTTCTTAGTCGTTTAATTTTAGTTTTGCAACGTGTATGAAAACAGTTGGCGTTTTTTTGAATGGCTGATTTTAGTATTTCAGTTGATCGTGTAAAAATCCTTAGTGCAATTACACTGGAAGTCTGTAATATAGGTAACCTTGACTTACGGGAACGTGATGAATGAATTTTTTAGCGTTCACGGCACAATTCCGGTATTTTACCTGTCGTTAAGAAAGAGATCAAGCCGGCAGCGCATTCTGAGCCATCTTCACGCAAGCCTTCCGGTTCTACCCAAGATCAGCAGTGGCATTCACAGATACGAAACCTTTTAATGCAGGAGTATGTGGAATATCTGCAGTACCAAGGATTTACCATCGTATTTTCCAGACCGGCTTCGCCACCGCGACAGTAAGTAGAGCCTTAAATTTGTCGTTAATTGTTGAACTTCGAATTGGGATTAAAAGGGGTTTTGGAAGTCAGAAAAATCCATCGCATGTAATGTAAAATTAATGTGGCTTAGCTGGAATTGTGTAAATGCTGTTTGCCGGTTACAGTAATAATCGTTAGTGTGTTGAATTTTCGATAATTGGAGATGTACGCTTTTGGATTATGCATCAAAATCCTCTGCATTTAATTAACCTAAAGTTTGTGACGGGTGATTTTCTTGTAGTGTGAAAAAGAGCCCCCAAAGCGGTACACGGGCTGTATCCGGCGCAACATCACCGATTGCTAATCTCGACACGAACACGGCTGCTACTGCTGCTATTTCGCCCCGGTTTACGCCATCGGTGACGTATTTACAGCGGTGTGTTCCAGGCGGTATGATTCTTCTGGAATTGTTCTTCGAGGAACCGTTCTTTTTTTGTCGCATGTTTGCTGTGGACCGAGTGAAATTTTCTGATGATTTCTCCATGGTCGGAAATGATCCGGATAAGGTAATATTTGGTGCATAATATAAAGTACGAGTGTCGTATTACGTGCCATTGTAACCCGGAATTTTGATGCAGGCCATTATTAATTTGCAAAGAGAAGTGGACAGACTGAAAGTGGCCATGCATATGCATTCATTCCTGTACGACTTCCATCTGCGCTCCATTGCGCAATATGTCTCGGGAAACCAGATGCGACTGAAACCGGGTTACCATATCGTCTCGTTTTTCGATGATTTCGGAAATTATTATCAGAAAGCACCGAGCTACGCGAAAAGCTGTTTCCAGACAGGTTCGAGGCAGGGTTCAATATAATTCATTGACTTAACTGAATTAATAGCATTTGTCGATGGAGTTACAGTAGTTTCGCAAATAGCGTGCGATTACGTTGAACAAAAAAAACTGTCCGTCTACTTAACACTGAATTTGTACCCAAGTTTCAGTTTGATAATTTCATGGTGTGCGGAAGTACAGCACAATAGTTGGTTGGTTGGCTTTGCATTTGTACAGGTGCTGTGGTGTTGACTGTGGGCAGCAGTATTCCCGCGGCGCAGTTATACAACTACATTTTGGCGCATGATAAGCAGTACGATTTGTATGCGGTTCCTATGGATTCGTTAGCTCTGGAAGACAGCAGCGTGAGCATCCTCTGATGCGACCGTGTGTCAACTAGCACAGCTGATGAACAAACTTCGGTCATTTTTAGGAAACGTCTTTTGCGCTGGCATCACGCGGCGTAGCTAACTCCACACCGGAAGGCTTTGAATGCACGTATATTGTCTATGCGGACACACACGAAGGAGTGGACGCCCTGAATCCATCGACACTGCACTTGCGGTATTACATTATACTGACCAGCACGAAGGATGGATATTCAACGGATTACCTGGAAGAGCGCTTTGGTTCTTTTAAAACGCTCCCACCACCACGGCGCCCTCGCATGTCCACCATAGATGTACCTAAAATGCGCAGTGATTCGCTTACACAATCGGTGAGCTGAAGCTAGCCATTTTTTAAATTTGACAAAACCGTCCATTTTGTGGATTACAGTTGAATGTATACTAGCATATCAAGGTAAAGATCTATATTACAGCGGAAAACCCCGTACGATCTGGTCAGAACAAACCAAAAAATTAATCGAAAAACTGCTAACGCCATTCGATTCAGCATGTCTGGAAACTGTGTCACATGCATTTTGTTTTGGTAATATCTGCTCCGGCTCCCGTGCACAGACGCCGGTGCCGGTAGAGAAGAAAGCTCAAGGTGACCTTGAAAAAACAATTTCAAAGTCCTGTTGCATGGAGCAAAAAATCAGTAAATTTAAACTGGTACCCTTTTTAGATCAACAAATCAAAAAGGTTTGAACTTTTACTCCTACAAAACTACAAAAGCCAATTAGCAGTAGCACAAACGATACTGCTAGTGGATGGCTTCGTTTACAGTTTAAATCGTTAGCAATTTAAAGCGCTTAAAAACAGAACTTAAGAATAAGAACTATCGTTGAAAGCCATTTGAAGACAGCTGTAAAAGAAACTGACCATAGTAATAGTTCAAACGGGCTGACCTTTCATTGCAGTCCGAGCAAAACTAATGATAATAAGAACTAATAAAACTAGACTGATAAAACTATAGTGATAAAAAAAAACAAAAAATAAAATGGGATTCACGAACCCAGCTTTCCCGTATAGAATCAGCAGAAACCATTTCCATAATCTGAATGCCCATATTCCAAAACCCGGCCAGACGGTTTTAGTTTCACAGAGCCAAGCTGTGACCGAACTACCGCTACTATCCAGAGCACACAGCCCGCTAGGTAAACGAATGACCGAACTACCGCTGCTGTCCAGAGCACACAGCCCGCTAGGTGAACGAGTGACCGAACTACCACTACTAACCAGAGCACACAGCCCAGCTAGGTAAACGAGTGACCGAACTACCACTACTATCCATCCAGAGCACACAGACCGCTAGGTAAACGAGTGACCGAACTACCACTACTATCCAGAGTACACAGCCCAGCTAGGTAAACGAGTGACCGAACTACCAGTACTATCCAGAGCACACAGCCCAGCTAGGTAAACGAGTGACTGAACTACCACTACTATCCAGAGCACACAGCCCAGCTAAGTAAACGAGTGACCGAACGAACTACCACTACTATCCAGAGCACACAGCCCGCTAGGTGAACGAGTGACCGAACTACCACTACTATCCAGAGTACACAGCCCAGCTAGGTAAACGAGTGACCGAACTACCAGTACTATCCAGAGCACACAGCCCAGCTAGGTAAACGAGTGACTGAACTACCACTACTATCCAGAGCACACAGACCGCTAGGTAAACGAGTGACCGAACTACCACTACTATCCAGAGTACACAGCCCGCTAGGTAAACAAGTGACCGAACTACCAGTACTATCCAGAGCACACAGCCCAGCTAGGTAAACGAGTGACCGAACTACCACTACTATCCAGAGCACACAGACCGCTAGGTAAACGAGTGACCGAACTACCACTACTATCCAGAGTACACAGCCCGCTAGGTAAACAAGTGACCGAACTACCAGTACTATCCAGAGCACACAGCCCAGCTAGGTAAACGAGTGACCGAACTACCACTACTATCCAGAGCACACAGCCCAGCTAGGTAAACGAGTGACCGAACTACCACCAGCATCTATTGCAAGCATGCTTTAGTGGAAATTTGGTACCTGGTAGACTCGATCAAGGTCGGGAGGGAGAAGTTAACAAAAATTCCCTTCTGAGTGAAAGTGAATGCGTCTGAGTGCACAAAAGCTATAAATTCCCTTTTTATTCTATCTGCGTTTTAGCGTATTTTCGGATCATTTTGTTTCGTTGAAGGAATAAGATGTTAACTAAATAGCTGATCGAAATCATTTGAATAAACCGGCCGTAGACTGGAGACCGCAAGAAAAGCGGAGGCGAAGCCGAGGCTGTTTCTTGTAGCTGATAGTATGACTATGTTCGATTTGCTGTGTCATATTAATTTGGCTGTTGTTTTGTAGAAACTTACCGTTCCGGAAAATCTGGATGCCAAAGCGAGTTTAGTAGCAGCTTTCCCCAATTTTCTGTATATCGGTTATTTCAGCCGGCTGGAAACGGAACTGAACACGATGGTGGAAAATCAGCGTTCGGTGTTGGAAGCATTTATTAAGAAAGCTTTACAACGGGCTAATAGTGACTGCATTCGGGACACGTTGTGGCAGCGGCTGTCGGGGGTCAAGAGCGATGACGAACACACCAGGCGAAGTCAAGGGAATGTGGTACGGAGCCGTGAGAATGATGGGAGCTCTTTGTCGATTATTAGCAAAGTGAACACTGAGCAGACGCGATCAGTGCCGGTATGTAGCAGTATCATGCTTTGGATGATGAAAAATCTGAAACCGTATATATGGCTGTTTCCCTATTCTTAGCTTTGTGACGTAGGGCAGATGTATGGTTTCGTATGCACGAACACGAATAATTTTGCCCGGATTGTTGCTATTCGTTTACGAATAGTGTTGTTTTTTCGCGTCATTTTTTTCATTTAGGGCTGATGCCTGTTTTCGGCACATCATTGATACACTTTGTTTGTGCTGTATTGACTAGCCGATCTGATTGATCAATGTTATTACTCACAGAAATTATCCGTGGCGGAATTTGAGGAATTGGTTAACCATGTTTACCGTCTGCCGATTATCTCCTGGGATTCGCAGTTATCAATTTTCTTCCAAGGAAACCCTGCTTGGTTGAACGGCCTGCTTTTGACCATCAAGACAAATTACTGGGAAACACAGCGTCATTTTGTTACACACCACGGAGCGTCTAGTGTAGAACACTTGGTAAGCACGTTCAACAAGGGATATAAACTTCTGACACGTTCTGTCAGTGTGGTAATTGACCACTGGCGAACTGTGAAGTATTTCGACGCGAAAACATTGGATTATGTCACTGTTTAAAAGCCCACACTTTTGAATATTTGATTTTTTTGTACAGGTAATTGTTTCGCCGTTGTTAACCGATTTGGCTGTTCATCTGGCGCTGAAAAAGGAGAACACCAGTATTGACGCCCATGTGCTTTCTCGATCTTCTGTCAGTATTGCTGATCTAAAGAGGAACGCGACATTCATCGCTTTTATGGAGGGATTTGTTAACGTTTGCTGTTTTCATATGTGGAAAAATGTATTATCTACTTAGGCTCAAGTTAGCACTTTCGTTCGAATTCTATTTTTTTCCAAATCGATTTCCTCGTTCGTACAGGGAGTTCTTATTCTACATTGATTTTATAACCGTGGTTGCTCCAGACGGTATTTTTACTAACTGTGATAATTTTAACACGTGACACTAATTGTCCGATTTTTAGTTTTTGCCGTATTTGTTTCGGCTTAATTGATTATGTTTCTTGGAATTTTATATTTTCGTTTACAGCTGCTGCTGGTAAATGGGCTTTAATTTTAATAAAATGGTTTTGGTTTACTGCAATTTTTGCTGAGAAACTAATTATGAAATCTGGTTATTAAAGGTAAAGAACGACAGCCGTCACCGTATGTATTTATGAATGCGTTGTAAAATTGCAGGGGAAACTTTTGAGGTGGTAAAACAACACATCCACAGCAATTGTTATTTAGGTCTGTCGGGATCCTGCTGTTGATTCTGCGTAGTGCATAATTGCATACACGCAAACGGAAGTCGAATACCGTACTAGAATCTTCGCATTCCCATTTTAATTATGCTTCAATAACATCGAAAGCCGTTCGAGTTCACATTAAAAATGTATGACAACCAGATTACTTCAAAGGAATAAAGCGAGACGAATGCGTGGCTCCGATACCAGGTCGTCCGTGCTTAACTGGCTTGTACGTCATACTGAATTCACCCAGATAGTGGCCAATCATTTCGGGCTGTAAAAAACATTTTATTTAACACACCATACGAAAACGTTCTAAAAAAGGCAAACAAAACAAGGTACAATTAACGATCTGAAAATAAAATTCAGTAGTGTCCTTACCTTAATTTCAACTTGGTTGAACACTTTGCCATTGTGAATACCGATTATACAGCCAACCATTTCGGGAAGAATAATGGCATTCCTCAGATGGGTTTTCACCGCTTCAGGTTTCTCCAACGGTGCGCAGTTCTACCAAATCATATGTTATAAAATTCACAAATTTGTTACCACACAAAATTTTAATAAACAAACATAAATGTTCCTCGTATTAAAGCACTCAGTACTGTACCTTCTTAGCATTCCTGAGTTTCTTCATAAGGCCAGTTTTCTTATGTTTGGATCCGCGCTTGATTACTCGTCGGGCTCGACAAGGTAGCAACTGCGTAATCTGTTGTCTAAATCAATTCAGATCAATAATTTCACAGATCACAGAATGTAGCTGCAGTTGTTGCGATCCTTACAAATTCATGGTAAGAAGCTGTTCCAGATCCACGCCGCGGTAGGAGAACTTGCGGAACTGACGCTTCTTCTTAAGTTCTTCTGCTTCTTGGGCATCCTGCAACAACACACTTGGCAATAATATCCAACTTTCCACATGTTCCAGAACTTACCATTTTAGCTTCGTCTGAATATAACGAAAATAATGGAGATGGTAAACGTGCTCGGCTAAAAACCCTTAAAAAAGTAGTCAAGAACCGATCACTGAAAAACACACGATTCAACATAAGCAGGCTGGAGGGTCCTCCATCGCAGACTTCACCGGTCGCACTCGGAAACGAAATCGAAGTCATTGTGGGGGCACTCACATTAAATGAGCTACCACCTAATCTCACATGGGGCATTTGTGATGTATCGCACAGTGTGTGCGTAATGTGCACCGCGCAACGCGCACGTGCAACTGCCGTCCCCTACGTACTACGCCTTTGTGTTGGCCCCTGTTTGAAAATTCTCTTTGAAACTTTGGTTTTCTAGGTTGTTATTTTGGATAGATTATTTTTTTTAGGAAGCATGAATTTATGTCAAAATTTTAGGAAGCATAAATTTATGTCAAAATCAATAGTAGTCACATATTGAGCCCAAAATAGTAGTCTTTTATGATTTTATGAACTAGCTTTGTTTGGTAAAGCTGCGCAAAGGATACCATGGAAGTGGATAGCGATATAATGTCAGAAGGTGTCAGCAACAGCCCTCCAGAAAACTCCTGCAGCATTTCAAGTTCAAGCTCCGCAATTTCTCAGACTGAACGAAAGCTTGATCCTTCTGTTTACAATCCCAATGGCCTACCGGAATACCTCTCAGTTTATTACAAGCGGTTATTCCCGTACGGGTTATTTTATCGCTGGCTTAATTATGGACACACGAGTGTCGACGAGAAGGACGATCGCGAGTTCTTCGCTAAGCGCGAATTCTGTTTCACTTTGAAGGATGATGTGTATATTCGATACAATTCTTTCTACAATCAGAAAGAGATGGAAGCAGCGGTCATCAAGCATATGCCGTACAAAATCGACATTGGACCTGTATATTCATCGAGGGTGGAAAAAGAAAAGTATGTACTGTGGCTGTAGTAGTCCATGATTTTGCATTCCCTTTATTTTCTAATGCCAGCATTTTTTACAGTAAAAAAATTTACTATCAGGTGTTTTTCATAAATTATAAATTGTGCCTGAACTATGAGAAGAACTGGACAATGGGCATGGTCTGTTTTGCCTTCATTTGTTAATGCGTGTCAGTGAATTATGAGCTCGGCGACCCAAAACTGATTTCTTTTGGTTTGCACAGGCTGAATTCCGTTTCTGCGGTGCAGCGTGAGTTAATCTTTGATATCGATATGACGGATTACGACGAAGTGAGAGTTTGCTGTTCGGGAGCGGATATCTGTCCAAAATGTTGGCCGCTGATGGCGCTCGCGGTCAAAGTAATCCACCGTGCACTTACTGGTAAATTTTGATTTTTAAATGATTTACTGGTAATTTTTAAGCAGTTGTTATTTATAGTTGGAGTAATCTTCCATTATTGTGCAGGGTGGTTTGTTTTTGTTAAGGTTTTGTTTTTTTGCAGATGATTTTGGTTTCCAGCATATTCTGTGGGTGTATTCTGGGCGGCGTGGAGTGCACTGTTGGGTGTGCGATCACAAAGCACGCTTTCTGTCTGTGGCTGGCCGGCAAGCCATTATCGGGTACATCTCGCTTATCCAGGTAAAAATTGCTTGATCTTGTTATTCCGCGTTTTATGCAGTGACAGTATTGTTACAAATGTTCTTGTGTTTGAAATAAAAATTTTACTCTCTGTGTGGAGCGTTTCGGTAGTTCGGGATCAGTGTCCGGTTCGTTAAATTATGTTTCCTTTTACAGCATGGGAAAATTGGTAGAGCACGTTCAGCCTACATTAGCGACTTTGACCGAAATCATTTTGCCACACAGAAAGCCCTGAAATTTGTCCAGGAGTTTTTTGTTAAACATATTGTAAATGGACAAGGTGTCATGGAATCAGAGAAGGGCTTGGAGAAGATTTACAGTATGCTGGAGGACCCGGCGTTGGTTGCCAATGTGAAGAAAGCCATCGAGCACGTTTCTGGTAACAGGCAGCGCTGGGATAAAGTGTGCCACGAGGTACTTAACGTTTATCTTACGACAAAGTCGCCTTGTATGAATTTCACTTACAGTATTTTGCTGCTAGGTGGAGAAGTTTGCCGCAAATGCTTCGAAGTACAACAATGTAATCCTAGAGATGCAGGTGCAGTTTTGTTATCCTCGCCTGGATATCAACGTATCCAACAGTCTTAATCATCTACTGAAAAGTCCGTACTCTGTTCATCCCAAAACAGGTCACTGCTGTAATTTCTAGTAGAAACTAGAAATGCTACTTTATTAGTTTTTGTCGGCCTCTTCTGAAACCTACGTATTTTTCTTAAATGACTGATTTTTAAATTTGGTTGATAATTAAGAGATGAAATATAACATTTGCCTGGTTTTTTCCTGGAATATGATTGTTTATCTCGGTCGTTATCTGCAGGTCGCGTGTGTGTGGCATTCAATCCGGACACGGTTGACAACTTTGATCCTTTCCGAGCCCCAACAGTAAGTCAGCTGGTCGAGGAAATCAATCAGTTTAATGCGTCCCAGCGGACGACTGAAGAAGTTAGTGCCGGTGCGATCTCATCTCAGAATATTGCGGATTGGAAGAAGACTAGCCTGAAGGAAAGTTTGACTGTGTTTGAATACTTTGTTAAAAAAATGGAAATTGTTTGGAGAAAAGACAGACGTGCGCTTTCCGATCGGACAATGGAATTTTGATAGTGGTTTGTTTTTTCATCATCAGCAATCTTGTTTTTTTATTTTCCCGTTGTAAATAGGTCCACCGGGCTACGACACATTAAATGTTTGAAAACACTGAACGGGATGGATTACCCTTATAGGTATTACTCAGAATGCTTTTCCAGGTGATCAGCTTATGAAAATCTTAAGGAATGGTTTTGCTACTGTCAGTTATCAGAGCACTCGAGATAAGGAAGAACGCCGGCTAACGGAATTTACACACCAGATTCGAACAAATTGTATAGCAAAGAAGATTTTTCTGCGAAGCATCACATCGTTACGGCCCGAGTACAAAATTCGTTCAGGACTATAAAAATCTTCCATATGCTGCAATTATCGAAGCAGGAAGGATTGGTTATTCTTTCGATGCCATGTAGCGCATGATCAGAGAAGAGAATTTTTCTGCCCGCTTAACATCCCGAGATGTCGTGCCGTGGTATTTCAGACACTAAAAAGCAGTTCACCTGTTATTACTCCTAAAAAATTCGATTAACACATTAAATTAATATACATATAAGTTATAACTGCTAATCAGATTTGTAATTTCATCACAAAACGGTTTATAAACTTCTAGAAAACCAAGAACATTTCGTCAAGATTGCGACTGCACTCAAGTCAGTCAGCTGTACCAAGAACACAGGCAGCATTACCCCGTTGTATTTCTAAACTCAGTAAATTGCAACGCTGCAACAAAAACTGCAACACAAAGTTTTAACTTAATTTGGAATTACAATCATTTCGGGAAGGCACCAATGAGAACGTAAGCATTAATGTTTACAGCGTTATTTTAAACAGTTAATTCATATCAAGTAAGTAATACTACTTGCTTATTAAATGTTATTCATTGTAAGTACGAGCATAAAAACAGAACCAGAAGTATTTCTGCGTACTTAACAATCGATCCGAAGGAAGAAACACAATTATTTAAAACTTACAGTTTTATCGTCCGTCATCTTTAGAATCACTTCACCATCGCTCTCGCGGTACTTTATTGTGAATCGAACCTGCAAAAATTTTTATTAGCACCATGTTCGCTCTGTTTCGTGACAATTTAAGCAGCAAAACGAGATTGGCTGGGAAACAAAAACGCTTGTATTTGAAATTTCTCATGAACACTATGCTACTGTTGTTGCAGAAAATTGTTCTCTCTTCGCACAGAAGTATTTAACAGGCTTTTGGTGGATAATTGCTGTCGGAAAGTGAAGAGGAGAACGACAGTACAAAGCACTCAACTGAACAAAACTGCTAATTTCTTTTCGAGTTATCAATATATTATTATACTAATAATATGGTAAAAAATCTATAAATATCTATCTTCTGTATAACAGCCATATGTATATCATTATATAAAATACTGTATCAGCAGAACTGTGCAGACAGAAGCAGCATTGAATGTTTTGTTGGAGCACCGATCGAGTACGATTATTCGTGCTTCACAGCTTCAGTCCTTGACTTCTACTATATAAGTAGTACTGTAACTACTACTATTTAGTAATATCTACAAGACACTATTTTAAGTAATTTTCGACTCACTCTTCCTGGGTCAGCAAGGTATAACTCCTCTGCTCGCTTAGAAAAATCATCCCACGAAACGATATTGACCATTTTGTTACTTTGTAAATCCAAATCAATCGCTCCACGCGTCCCGACTTCCTAATTTGCAAACGCGAAGACTCAGCAAGAAATCTTTAATCACAAAATTCCAGTTCTCCGGCACAATCTTTTGTGGGTTACGTATAATAAATTACTATTACAGCATAAAATGCTAACAGAAAACCTGAACCCAAAAGTTTCAGAACCTAATAGATTTTGGATAAAACATAAAATCAGTTTATGTATGGTCGAGGAATGAAGGGATCGCAGTGCGAAATCAAGTGTTTGCGAATATTCTAGTCACAGCCATGACGTGGCAGTTACCAAGAAAAAGTCCAAAACATTATTATATTATTCTCTGCTGACAGCTGGAAAACTGGAATCCACTGGATCAAGGAAAATCGACTCAAATGGCGAGAATTTTTAATTGTTTCGGGTTTTCATACAATGCAGTAAGTTAATATCGGGAATAGGCAATATTTGTAAGCATCTTTATTGGATCCTCGGATTTGGCAGCTTTCATAGATCCTAACGATCTTCATTCTCAGTCAGTTGCTGCGTCTGCTGTGTGACGTCTGTTCATATCTGCTGTTGCGGCTATCACACGAAGATTCTCACACGCTGTCAAAAATTAAGACCCCGAAGGCTGGATCAGATCTGAAGTGGTTTTTTGGCGCTGTGGATTTTTTTGTGTCTGGCCAACATTCAGCTCAGTCTTGCGAAGGAGAAGACGTAATTGGATGCGGGATTGGGGATTCGTCTTCGTTTTATCATATCTGGTGAAGCTGTTATAACAGTAACCGTGTTTGGGTTCTTTTTGCAAGCAACCCGATTAGGTAGATTAGAGCCCGCGTTTGGCACTCCTGTTTTTCGTTATTATCTTGCCGGCGTCGAACACAGGAGTCACGTATGTTGATTGTTGACTTGTTAGGACAGCACAGATGGATGCTGTGTTAGTGAATAATACTGAATATGTGCATGTTCGAAATACGGAAATTAATTGTATGATGATTACTCACAGCGACAAATCTATCGCAAGTTCGCAACTGATAAATCCTTATCTAGCAAGTAAATTAGCAATAAGTACTTACCGTCATAATTGTAGTTTGAGTTTTTAATCCTTTTGCGTACTCGTATTGCACATCACTTGGTTTACTGTGCATTTATGATTTGTTATAACATTTATGTCACGTACTATAATTATTTGCATGATTACAATTGGTCAGGCTGACTGTTTGTAGTTTTTTTGTGCTCTCGGCTTGATAAAGGTGTAGGTTTAGCTGGAGTTATATTTTTTTGTGCGATTTTAGGATACAGGACAATTCTTAACATCGTATTGAAATGGCGCATTTGACCGTGCAAGACCAGTTTTGGCGTATCCCACCAGTTACCCGAACCTACACGACGGCGTGTGTTTTGACTACGATATTGGTGGTACGTATCTAACCTTGTATTTTCGTATGACTAGCAGGAATGCCATATTTTCTATTTGATTTATTTTCCAGCACCTGGAAATTCTTAGTCCCTTCCAGCTGTACTACAATCCGAGTCTGATCGTCTATCGCGGCCAGATATGGAGACTGTTTTCCACATTCCTCTTCTTCGGTTCGTTTGGCTTTAACTTCCTTTTCAACCTGATTTTCACTTACCGATACTGCCGCATGCTGGAAGAGAATCATTTTCATGGCAAAACCGCCGATTTCATTTTCATGTTTCTGTTCGGGGGACTTTTAATGGCGGTAGGTGGCATACATCTGCCGGCAATATTTATTGGCAGACTTATATACTTCATAGTGTTTCTTTGTAGATCACCGGAACTTTTGTCCAGATTCTGTTTCTGGGACAAGCCTTTACGATAATGTTGGTTTATGTATGGGCGCGGAGAAATCCTTTTGTGCGGATGAATTTCTTCGGATTGATGAACTTCCAGGCGCCTTATTTACCTTGGGTTTTGTTGGGATTTTCGTTACTGCTGGGAAATTCGATCGCCGTTGATGTTATGGGTGAGGCTATTCTTCCTAGCATAGAACTTAAGAGTATACAGATAGTTTATAATTTATCTGTTGGTGGCAGCTTTTGACAGTTAAATATTTCCACTTGTAATTGTAAATCGATCTTTTCAAATGTGATGGTCTGATACTGTACTGTTACGGTATTAAGTTGACTGTTAACTGTAGCAAATGCTTGGAAATCAAAACTTTTTGCTGCTTTAGTCGGTGGTGTTAGCATTTGTCGCATACTGGGAGGTTTAGATTTGAACATTTTTAAAAAAAATATTTGTATGTGCCACGTGTAAGCATTTGTTAACTTTTACGGTAATCGTACCAGAAGGTTTAGATTTGAACATTTTAAAAAAAATATTTGTATGTGCCACGTGTAAGCATTTGTTAACTTTTACGGTAATCGTACCAGATGCTACTGTAATTCGCTTTTGTATTGTGTTCCATATAAAATAACTGCCTGGAATTATGTCGAATAATGAGTTTTAAATATCAGATAGAACTTTAAATATCAGATAGAACTTTTTGTGTTTGTATACAAATGTACACTATCGTGATTCTACCATATTAAACGCAATGAGGCGGCTCATTACTGTCTGTACTTTTGTCTTGCAGGCATCGCGGTGGGTCATGTTTATTACTACCTGGAAGATGTTTTTCCTCGACAGCCAGGAGGATTCAAAATTTTACGAACACCCAGAATATTGTAAGTGTTTCAGTTTTCGAAGCGTAAAACAAAGAAAAAATAAGAAATGAGGACGAAAATACGGTTGTGGTATACTACAGTAGGTGTTACCGCTAGTTATGACCGCATTTTAAAAAAATAGCTGCTCATTGTATTTTGCTACATCGTATTTTTTGTTTTACAGAAAATGGATATTCGAGCGGCAACCAGTTGATCCTGTTGTGATACCACCCGAGGAACGACCTGGTGGTTTTGATTGGGGCGAAGATGTGCCGGCTAATAATGGACCAGACAACAACGCGCAATAAGCCTTGCAGCCGATAATATTCCTCGATGATATTTGTTAATTCTTTCTGTTGTTTTGTTCAAGTGGTTTTCGGACGTTAAATGTCATCGCGACAAAACAGCACTCGAAATAATTAATGCTGGTATTCCCTACTTGCGTCATTTGTCAGAGTGCTGACGAAATTGTGATGTTATGAACTGTTAGGACAATGATTTGTTAGATTATTGTCTGCCAAAGGCAAACTGTTACTGTCATTTTGTTTCGTGTATCTTGTCAATTAACGAAACAGAACAGTGTGTAAATTGCTGAAAAAAATCACTGCTAATAAATTTCAATTTCACTTCCGCAATTTCACTCTACGCCTGTACAACACATCTTTAACACATGTTCCACATTTTTTTATCAAAGCAAGGATACAAAATACCAACTACCGAATTAAATTTTCATTTTGCAAATTTTTCGGAATCCCAAAAAAGACCTTCAAAAGGTCTTCACTTCAATTTTCACCCATATAAACAGGATGAGATCAAATACTACCCAGAAAATTAAAAGGTATAACCAATTATTCCAACACAAGTGTCTATCAAAGACAGCTCCTTCCAAGATACAGCTCCGTCCATTCCATTTAAACTACTTTTCCAGTGGAACAAAGTTGAGAAGCTTCTCAATGAGATCAACATGGCCAAGCAGCATTCGGCGGCAACAATATCTCTTCAGACCCAGCGCGTCCAGAGCGTCGCCCTCCTGAAAAAGGTACAATACATTATCCGTAAGTAACGAACGAAGGTCGAAGTTCTTCATTATATCCCACAACATGGTACTAGATATTAACGAATCACGGGCATACTGTATACCCTGAAGAACCATGGTACTTTAACATCATGCTGCGCTAACCGCAAATGCGCTACTAGCACCAAAGTTAGTCAGATGTACAGTAAACTAGAAATTAGTACCATTATTCTCGCAATCTCATACAGCCACAGCATTCATAAATTCTTACCTGGTAGTCGTTTGCCAAGAGATTGATATACTGCTCCCATTTATTCCCGATGACTTTCCCGCAAGTGAAACATCGCACGGGTATGATCATTTTAATGCTGCGGTTCGCTGTCCGCGATCTCACCAGCCTGTAGTGTGATCACCGCGAGTGGTTTGCTACCCGCGAAAGGAACTCTCTGTAAACGGATTAAATACGAACAAAGTGCTTTGTCTAGCAGATTTCAACTTTTCAGCTGTAAAAATCGTAAAAAATTAGTTCCTATCGGGACTTAACACTTAACAGCAGAACTAAATTTAACTTGCCATCACAATGCGTAATAAAGTGTTTTGTGATGTTCTTTGCGACGCGCGTTTTGCTCAAACGGCTCACCATAACATACAAAGAAACCGAAAAACTGCCCACGTTGAAATAAGAGGTAGCCACAAACGAACGCAAAATGGCACGGTACACCAACAATTCCTGTACACCCCAGCAGATGGTTTCCTACCACCGGCTTTCCACAATGCCTTGCGCAAGCGGTCTCACTCAAGTGGTGCTGAAGAAGTCTCTGCCACTGCGGCATTTATTCGCCAAAAATTTACCCTGCCGCCGTCTGCATTTTAAATAAAGTGCAGTGAATCAGTTTGATTCATTTTGAATTTGCAGTGAATCAGTTTGATTCATTTTGAATTTCAGTTGCCTTAGGTCCCTGAAATATTCGTATATCGGTATTGATATCTATCTGTGATTCAAGTCGGATATCATGTCGGAAGGACGCATGCAGAGCCGCGGTGGTCGCGGTGGTTTCCGTGGAAATTTTCGTGGCGGACGCGGCGGTGGTGGCGGCGGCTTCCGGGGTCGCGGTGGAGGGGGTGATCGAGGAGGCTTCCGTGGGGGATTCCGCGGTGGCCGGGGAGGCTTTGGGGGTGGTGATCGTGGCCGATCCGGGGATCGCGGTGGCCGTGGTTTCGGTGGGGGATTCAGAGGAGGTCGCGGAGGCTTCAACAAGAGTCCGCGCGATCAGTCCGGTGATTCCGGCGAGAAGAAGCGCGTGCGCTTTGATTTGAACAATAACGAGAGCGGCAGTGAGGATGAGGAAATGGAAACCATGCCCGTTGAGAAGAAAACCCCTGTTCAGAAGGAGAAAGGTTCTCCGCAGCGCAACGCTGATTCCGGACAGAAAGCAGCCAAAGAGGCGAAAGCTCCGGTAGTTAAAGCTGTTGAAAACGGTGAAAAAGCTGCGACAGCCGACGGAGAAGGCAAAAAGAAAAAGAAGAACAAGAATAAAAACAAGAACAAGAATGCCGAAAATTCGGGTAAGTTGCACGCCAGTGTTTGAATTTTAAGTTGTTTTTGAATTTATATCTTGCATGAGAACTTTTCATTCGCTTAGGTGATACTAAACAGGCAGCAAAGCCTGTCGAAACCGCGAAGCCTGCTCAACAAGCGAAGAGTCCAGAAAAGAAAACCCCATCGCCTCAGAAAGAAAAAGAGCCCGTGAAGCAGCAGAAACCTGCCGCAAAACCGACACCTTCCGAGACATCGGCCGAGCCGAAACCAGGCTCAAAACGGCCCGCATCCGATGTGGATGACACTAAGGATCGCTTGAGTAAGTGCAGTGAAAGCACGAAACGTGAACACCTCGCCTTTTTGAGTTACGAAATTTTCATGGAATTATTTTTCAGCTTTCAAAGCCAATCGACAGTTGTTCTTGAAGAATCTGCCCCATGGAGTAACGGTCGATGATATTAAAGCTCTTGTGCCAGATTCATTGTCCGCCCGTGTTGTTGATAGGAAGGAAGGCTTATGGTAGGTTTTCGGAAAAAGTTCTCCTTGTTTGTCCTCTGCGTCACCAAAATTTCGTTCTTTGCGTCACAAAAATTTATCTTCATTTTTGATGGGGGAAGTTTTTGATGCGCTAATTTAGGTATTTACGATTTAGAATAATAATTTTAATGTGTTGCAGTTATGCGTTTGTTGAATTTCCCTCGGAAGGTCAGGCCGAGAAGTACCACGATATCCTGAAAAAGAAGAACACACTGAAAGGACAAACGTTTATCGTGGATTACTGCGGAATGAAGAGTGAATACCAAAAACGAGAACCCGGAATCCGTGAAAGTATGTGAAGATGATTAAGTACATGGTTATCACAGTTTATTCGAGTGCGTTGCTTCATCTAGAACCTCAAGAAGATCCCTTGAAGTTATACGTCGGCGGTCTGAAGGCTGACACCTCCATGGACGATATTCGCAAGGCGTTCCCCAAAGCCATCGACATTGCTAAGCCAACCCGTAATAAGCGAAAGAAGCAGACTGCGTCGTACGTATTCTTCTGTGGATCAATGCATGGCGCAGCTTTGATTTACTAATTTGGTTTGTCTTGTTGCAGTTATGCGTTTGTGAACTTCGCTAATGCCCAGGATGCCGATGCTGCCTTCAAGTCTAGCAAAACTTTGATGATTGATGGTAACCGCGTTACGGTATTGCACGCGTGGAAATCAGTCGCCAAGAAGGCCGAAAAGGCCGGCGAGAAGAAGGACAAATCCGCAGCATCGGAGCAACCGGCCGCTAAGAAGCAGAAGACGGAAACCGGTGCTAAAGCGAAGCCCGCTCCAGCCAAAGAGGATTCCGATGAGGAGGACGATGATGAAGAGGTCCGTTTTTTTTGCCACGCAGTAATTTGTTTGTTTTACTAAAATCGGTGATGATTTGCAGGATGATGAAGACGAAAGCGGTGAAGACGATGAAATCAGTGCAAAATTAAGAAAAGCTCTCCAAGGCGGAGAAGATGATGAGTCTGAAGATGACGATGAAGACGATGACGAGGATGAAGATGAAGTTCCCACAAAGAAAGCGAAAACCGCGGCCGTACCTGCCAGTGCGGCTGCTGCCAAACAATCTCAGAATAAGCAGACTGTCCCGGCGAAAGGTGGTGATGCCAAAGCCGATAAGGGCAAACCTGTACAGCCCGTGAAGCCTCTCGTCAAGGGTGACAAACTGAAGAATTCCAAACCTCAGAAGCTAACGACCAACATCGCCGATGATGACGACGATGAGGAGGAGGACGAAGATGATGGTGAGTGCTTAAAACGAATGATTTCATGAACGTAGTTGTTGCTGCGGTATTGATAAAAAGAATTTGATTAGAAATCGGTTTTTCTAAATGAGAAGTTCTTGCAGATATGGGCATGTTCATCGGCGAGGATGACGACGACGATGATGATGATGAGGAAGGGGACGATGACGATGAGGACGAGGAGGAAGGGGACGACGACGAAGAGGACGAGGATGATGAGTGAACATCAGCTCTTGTTATCGTTTTATTGTTGCTACGTTTTGTGGTGTCTGCTTTTTTTGTTGTTTTACCCCCTGGATTTGATTCGGTTAATTCCAGAGCAAGTAACAAATGCGGAAACTTTATGGCACTTGGTTGTAGTTATCAAGTAAATTTTAGAAGTTGAGTTTTGTCGATGCGTTCCTTAATAAATCGTATTGTTAGCAGGTTCTTGCATCGTTTTCGTTGGTAGTACTTTAACGAAAGGCTTAGTACGGCTGCACCGAAGAGGGCTCTCAAATCGTTATGATTTTAATTCTGCTTGTTCATTAAGAACATGATCAATCACAAAATTGTAGTTCAGTTTAGATTTCTCACAATGTCGTGCAAACCTGTGCAGCAAAGTGTAAAATGCATAATAAGCTTTTTAAATATTGTTAGTAATGTCGTTCCTTAAACAGGAAAATTTTGATTTGGCACTTTTTAAAGAATATCTGTTTCGCAAATCTGTTGCGCTGGCTCTCCGGTAGAACCATTGGACATTGTCATTGGGTGACGAAACGGTCTGGCCACTGATGTGGGCACCGCGTACAGTTCGTTCATCTTGGACATATGTTGACGTTTAAGGTCAGTAAGGGATCCGCTCTGGGGGGTGGTGGATGGTTTGTTTACAGGGGAAGATGGACGCAATTTTTGATCACGTTGCAGCTGCTGTAATCGTGCGTATTGTTCCTATAATACAGAAATCTGTTTTATTGATTGTATTTCTACTGGTAGCGTATTACGTAATTTTTAGCTTTTCGGAACAGTGCCTTATAAAATGAGCAGTGAAAAATAGGATGAGAAAAACAGGCTGAAGCAACCGTTATAAAGGTTAAGTTAGAAAGACCGGAAAATTATTAGCCAGCAAATAGTCAGTAAAAAAAATCAATCACCGCACAAAATCGACGTAAAACGCAAAATAAAAGCAATGAAAGAAAATCCAGCGACACGAAGCAAGACACAATTATAAAGGCTAGATTAGCGAGGAAAATTAAAGACATGCCAGACATATAAAAGCGCAATAAGACAGAACATGGCTGAAGAATTAGCGAACACAAAGAAAACACTGCTTATAACAAAGAACACACTGCTTATAACTTCCTTCTCAGTTCGGACATCCGTTACAGTACCGTATCCTTGGCCCACTTGCCATTGGGCATTCTCACCAACAGTTCACCGGTAGCCAGTTCATAACCCACCTGCAGTTGTCGTTGCTTCTTCAGCAGCTCCTGATGGCGCTCCTCCAGAATTTCCTGCCGATTACGGGGCGGCAGCGGCGGCGCCACACCGGGATCCTCCTGACCGGGTTTGGGCGGTAACGCCGGCGGCACCCGGCGTTCGCGGGATTCCGAGCGGGCATAATTGCCCTTACTGGCCTCAAAGGCCAGAATATCACTAGCAATATCATCGATCGGAGAGCGGAGCGTGTTGCCCGGATCGGATCCCTTGCGCAGTTTGGACGTGTAATAACTGGCAATCTTGTCCTGCTGCTGCGGGGTCAAACGCTGATCCTTAATGTTAGAGGCACGCAACTCCCGTCCGAGGTTGGTGTACTCGTTGTACGATAGACTGGCATAACTCTGAAAATCTCCCGGTTCCGACATGGTCGACGTCGAGCGGCCGTAATTACTGGGCAGCGTGAAAAATCCACTGGTTTTTGTCATCGGGGAGATGAGCGGAGATTTACTGCTGGAACGCGGTGGCGGCGCCGGGAGATTGACGTTATTCAACCACGCCGATAGACTGCGGTCGGCATCGGAGCCCTTGCGGGCCGGCGTCGACATGCCGGAACTGGCGGCGGACCGGTTGGAGAAGGGCACCGGCGAGATGGTGGTCTTCCGATCGCCGACGCCCACCTGCAGCTTGGAGATGGTCGTGCCGCTGTCGGAGCCGGAGAAGTTGGAGGAGGTCTCCGTCATGGAAGAGAGCGTGGTGGCGGTGCTCTGCGACGAGTTGGAGGGGGTGATGCTGGGTGGCGAGAGACTGGCGTTCAGGTCCAGGAAGCCGGTGTCGGTCGAGGGATCTTGGCGGTGGCTTTCGGGGAGCGCTTGATGGTGGCGTCGCGGTCCGGAGTGGGCTCGCGGGAAGACACGTCCGTGAAGACTTCCAGCTCGGACAACAGGTCGTCCAGCATATCCTGGGCTTTCTTGTCCAGGCGGTGACGGCGGGTGTTGGGCGTGGCCAGGAGATCGTCGTTGGATTGGTCCACGCCGGGTTTGGATTTGTCGGTGGTGGTGGTCAGCGATTCACGCCGGGTGGGTGGGGCGGGGGCGGCTGGCTCGCTCGATGTGGGAGTCGATTCCGGTGGCAGATCAACGAGGACTTCCTCTTCCTTGGGAGAAGTAGCGCTATCCTGGACACACGCCAACCTGAAAACAAGACAGCAATCAACCAAGTCAACGAAATTTTTATTTAAAATATAAGCAAAAGTTTACCATACGTACTGTACACCGTTCAACGTTACAGTCATAAATTAACAGCAAATTAAGACTAAAAACAATAATTAATGACGAAGAAAATTAATATAAAATGAACCATCAATAATAAAGAATCGAGTCGAGGCACATTGGCACAACGTATAAGAAAAAAGTGCTATATGCTTTTTTGATATAACTGTTATCAAATTGCACGTTTAGGGATATATGGAAAAGCAGGAATGTGTTGTTATACAATCGAAGTTATCGAACTACACATTCAGTACTTGTTCAGGCTCAGCAGAGTTCCGGTCAATTTCTGGCAGCGTTTAGCCATTTCCTCCAGTTTCTCCGGCTCCTCTTTGACAAACCTTTTATTACAAAATATACGGCAAATATGAATATCTGTGGTATGATTTTGATTGATCCAGTTTTAGTAAGCCGTGACCTACATTTCATCGCGAATGACCATTTCCATATCGGCGGTCATAACGGTCTTGATCTTCTCCTGCAGTACTGGGAATTTCACTGAAAACATTGTTTACTAATTAACACACCACACTACGACGAACAACCCGCAGCAACGTTGTCCGGGAAAAGAAGGAATCTGAAATCAGCGATAATCCGATCAAACGGCCACTCACAGCGTAGATCGGCAATATTATTGGACAGCTCGTTGAGCTCGGTGGTGCAGCGCTCCACATCGCGCAGGCTAACCGGCTTCGACGGCGCCAGTGTTCCGGCCTGATCGACGGCCGCCGATCTGACAGTGTCAATGCTGTTCTCCAGATTAGTGAGATCGCGATGTAATCGGGCTCGATCCTGCTGGAAGATGAGTGCTTCGTTAGCGGTACGGGCGCGCTGCTGTGTGCCGGCGGCTGACGTTGTCGCCGCATTGGCCGGAAGTGCTACTAAGTTGAACTGAGTTTTTAATCGCTCGAAATTCTCCTTGATAATTTCACGCATGGATAGTGCCTGCGATTGCTGTTGACGCCGCAGGGCGTGGGTGTCGGCGCGCATGTCCCGTACTTTATGCTGTACGGCCTCCAAATACTCCATCAGCATCGGGTCGGGATAACGCAGGAAAATCCCTACCACGAGGCAGATTAATTTTTGCGGTTGTATAGCTGATTTGTGTGTGGACAATAAGCCCGCTTGTGTGGCATGTATGTGTATCGCTCAATAGAGGCAACGGTTTGTTAGACACGCACAAGAAAAGTTACCATTTTCTGCCGGCTGAGACTGATTGTTAGGTAAATCGCTGGCATGCTTTGTCAGTTTGCTTATCCCGTTAAGCGTGGCGTGAACGGGAGGAGTGATCGATTTTTGATCTATAGGATTAATAGCAGAAAAATTTGTTAAACAAATTGACAACACCAGACGTAAAACAAATAATACGCATCTGACTCAACGTGGAAATTTGGCGTTAACGTTATGTACCGTAGAGTGCCAGTATTTAATGTGCAACAGGATTAGCTTCACAACAAAGCTTGGACTTACAGATATGTTTACATCATCACATTAGAAAAAACAGAAGCAAAGATACTGGTTGCAGACAAAATTTTATCAAGAGCTACCATATCGGGCACACAATATGTCTGTCTACTCGTACCGAAATAACTAATTAAAACTTATGGTCGTAATTGCAGCTCCATTCTGTATAGGGTTAATTTTAGCTGTTATGAAAACTGATCCACTATCCAACAAATTGTAAATACAGTACTAAAGACGGCACAACACGAGATCGTTTTCATTTTCCTCCCACTCGGTTTCCACAATCAATTACGGCCAGTTTACAATAAGAAAGCCGATTCATATGTACGACGTCTATATGTATAGAGCACCGGTGCATTTACCCTGAGCTATAACAGTAAACGAACGATATATTAACTATTAACAATTTCTTACTTCTAGATAATATAAGAAACTGTCAGGTCGCAGCAGCAACTTACGTACCTTTTTGCACGCTATTTCTTTTGGGTGGAATAATAATATTGGAATAGTCCGGGCGGATGCCGCGCGGCGGAATCGCGGGCGCCGTGCTCCCGGATAGCGCCTGTTGTACTAGGCCGGTTAAATTAGCCAAATGACGCTCCATGGCGTCCACTCGATAGCGTGCCTCCTCATCAACAATGGGCGTCGCGGTGCCCGATCGACTCGGAGGACGTTTCTCCATGGTATTAGTATTAGCATAGATGGGCTCATCGTACAGCGATGCTGCAAAATTTGAATAGAATGACCATTGGAATTGTGATGGTTGCGGCAACGACGGTAACGACGTCGACGATGACGTACTCGCATAACCAAAACTACTCCGCTGCGGCTTCGGAGGCACATTGGGCGGTGATGAATAGGGCGGCGGTGGGATGGGATTGTTGGATGATGAGGGATACGAGTGGGACATGGTGCTAAATGACAGTGACCTTTAGAACTGTGGATGATAGCACAGTGAACGTGTGTAGCAATTGTATATAACAGCTACCCTTTCATCGGCGGGTAGACACGAGGACTCTTTGAGTGCAGGCCCGAGTAACGCAGTGATTCAGGAAGAGGCTCAAATTCCGGCTCAGAGTAATAGTGCATCTCGTCGCTATTCAGATGGGAAAGTGGGCCGTGGGATGGGCCGTACACTGATGACGCAGCAGATGAGGATGCTTGAGCGATCTGATCGGATTCGAATATTTTCAAAACTGACCGATCGCGGATATCACTACAAATATGATTGTATGATATACACAGGCTACTGATAATTGTTTATGCAGTCTTCAGCAATCAATACATTTTTCCCACTCTCGCCACGTACAGCCGCGTTTCGATACATTTTCAAGCGATCTCGAGTACGAGTCAAGTTGAATTGATATCGGGTTGTTGCGCAATCTAACAGCAGTAAGTGGCAAAGTCAAAATAGATTTCGAGCGGAACGCAAACTAAACGTCTGTGTAATAATCTGGGGATGGATGAAAATACGGTCTGTAATTTGTTCGTTAGGATGTGGACAATCACGCAATCATTCAAAGAATACGAAGAAACCGTTAATACAGCGATACCGCAACTACAGTACACATTTTTACAAAATTAAAAACTAATGTTATACAATTATAAATTATCGTTGTTTAGTCTCAAAAGGGTGTATCCCCGGAATTAACGTTAAAATCCTAAATGTACCTATTAATACTAATCAGTAACCAGATTCAGAGAACTCTAAAAGCTGACGAACTGAACTTTCGCTCTGCAAGCCAATGTTCCCGGTATAGGTCAATTATCCGACGACTGATTGAGGAGAAATTCAGAAATAATTTCTGCTTATCAAATCAAAATTTACAGATTAATAAGCGTGCAATCTTTCAGTTTATAAGAAATGGGCGTGTAGCTACCTACTAGTTCTGTGCTTCAGTGGTTGCTGTTCTATTGTTCAGACGGATTAAGTACTCTGTATATTTACGATTGCGTATTTCGATTGCGTATTTCGATTGCGTATTTTAAGGTTACGGCAAGCTTCCTTTTTTTACGTATGCATTGCAAAAAGTCAAAAATTATAATTTTTCTATGGTTTACTCTTTGCTGCAGATTCGTAAAAATGGACCGACGACCACTCTGATTTTTCAAATGAAAATTAAAGTACTGTAAATGTTCGATCATTCTAAAAAGTTTGGCGTAAGAAAATTGATTCATTTGTCGGCAAACGTCAAATTAAGCCGCCAAAAACTATTTCCCATATTTTCCTGGGTAGCAATGATAGTAAACATAAGCCATCTACAACTGTCTAAAAAGAAGGCCAATGGAAAGAAAATTTACAAGCATGTAATTATGGATGCATGGCAGCATGGGCAAACGCCTCATTAGGCGTACACAAACGACTTGAAGTTGTAGAATTTTTCACTCGATTGCCTCTGACCGGCAACAGATAATGAAAAGACCTAACAGCCAAATGACTGGCTTCTCAATTGCACTTTCTCGCATCCACAATAATTACCGTAAATCCTCCAGCTCATAGAACATATCCTTGCGCTGATCCAATATGTAAATCTTCCGCTTATCGGAACAATCCAAAAATTGCATAGTCAACAAGCGGGGGAAAGCACGTACGAATAAGGCTTTGACCTGTGATCAACATAAACAACAACAACATAATTGGCACATGGCACAACGATATGCAAAACAGGGGAAAAAAACAACATCATAACGGCGGTGCGTACGGTATCAAGTGTGGTGACTTCATTGGGTAAGACCGTGCGTTTGGTCTCGTCGCGATACTGCAAGAAGACGACACCTACGGGAGAAAAAGCGCGCACACTGTGAAACTGTCGCCATCAAGTTTACATTCTTAAATAGATCGTTGCCAACATCAACGGCCATCAACGGCACCAAACTAGTTGGAGATATCCAGATGACTTGATCGGGAGAGCGCGCGAGTGCATGTGTTGCGCGATTGGGGCAAATGTACCAGCTGATTTATGTAGATTACTCGACGGCCACCGGAAACCGACTGACTGCTACATCCGCCGCTTCCCTTTCCCGCGCTCACATGCACTCGCTCCACACAACATATATACATGTACAACTTGACTCTTTCATGCACTTCTAATCAATATTAATACACCCGGATGTACTTATGTAGGAAGCCCGGCGGATTTAGGGAAGATGGAAATTAAGTAGGAAAAAAATCCGCTTTACTTTGATGAAACCAGAAAATGTCGTGTAGCGTCAATATCAATTTACTTTTGCCTCAGCGCAAACAAAGGCGCATTTTACGAACATTATAGCTTTTACCGTATTTGCAGAATATGTCGCCGTTGGTGTGCAGAACTATCACAATCCTGATGAATGATGATGCATAAAAATTTATTTACTGTCTTTGTGCACTTTAAAACGCGGCGAATTAAGCAAAACTGGCGTACTGGCATTTCCTGTCAGGTGTTGTACAGTTTGCAGCCAAATAATTCTATTTCCTACACATTTGTTGTAACAGAATCAAGTATATTCTGCAGATCAAGCATATTCTGACTGTTACTAATTAAACCTAATCAAACATAATGCACGAGTACTGATCACATATTTTAACTTGAGCGTACATATGCTGCCGTCTGATACAAATGTAATTAAATCAGAATACGGCAAATAAATACTTTTAGCGCCGCTTATGTCACTTCTGATAATGATTTCTATCGTATCGAAATTTACCGCTAGACGCAGCAAAACATACCTTATAATATTATTGTACCGGTATACATACATTCAGAATGAAGAATATCGCATAGCTGCCATATAAACGCGCAAAAAAATTGTATTATGATGACTAAACAGCTAAATCGAAATCTATTTCGTAGCGCACCTGTATGGTGCATGTTCCTGCACGTGTCTAGCCTCTACATCTTTCTGATCATTGTCCGGGTGTAATACAATAGTTCACGCATCCAAAACGTCGTCTCGAACGGTTTGAACTTGATTTACACGTAGTGTTTGTAAATTTATATGCATACATTTTTTTCGAGCCAAAGGTTGATACATTTTTTTCGAGCCAAGAGCCAACTTGTTTTAAAAAAAACGAAAAGAAATGTTTTGGTAAAACTACCTGTAGTAAAACTAAAGGTATCAATTTTGTTTTCTTCGTTGACAACGGACATACCGAGCGGTTTTTCCAATGTTTTGGAGGGCGTCTTAAATGCCGGCAAGCTAGCCCGGGCCCTGCCACCGCGGTGGAAAGCGGTGGTTGTTGTGGTATCCACTTCGGACATTACGCCCGGATCATCATCATTGAACGGCAAACGTGACCCCAGGGACTCTAAGTAATCCATGCGAGGCTGTAAAAGGCAAATCAATCGATCCACATCGTTGTGCGTAGATTAACATGAAATTTCTTTAGCTATCTGCCACTTGTTCATCTATTTGGGATTGCGGCCAACTATATCAATCGGGATGCTGGACAATCCATAGTGCAGCATGCTTTTACACCGACTGTCATGCAATGGGCCCGCGGGGAGACATCTTAATTTGTTTAATTAGCTAAAGTGCTGAAACTGCATTTTACTTAAATTGAGCGCAATAGAATAGTGAGGATCAATGGGGAGGATCGGTGGTATGAAACATTAGTGGCATTGTGCATGTGCTTAAGCTGACCCACTTTGCCAACAACAGTGGTGGGCACGATGACGGGCTCAGTATAGACCGGCAAGTCCGGTCGCGGTGGTGGACCACTTGACAGCTGGGAGACGGGAGCGGGCTGGGAGAGCGGGGCGTGGCCGTTGCTAGCATACGGGGCGGGGGTGAGCGAAAGCTTGGCAGGCGGCACCGGGGCGGGGATTTGTGGTCCCTACAACAGCAAGTTCAATTCAATTTACGCGATGCAGGTTTTACGCAACACTTGTGAATTGCCCACTCTGGGGTCACTCAGAATTTATTCGCAAGGCTGTGGTACCGGTAAAGTCATGCGTATAATCAACAAAAACTAACTGCCAGTGGTTCATTAAGTTAAACAACTACTGTATAGTATCTCTTACAGTTATTAAGAAACAATTATTCCTTTGCAACACATATGAGCAGATTCAGTAATACGTATATTTTGTTGATGCGAAAATTCGACATTGGTCTATATAGCAGGGAGATGGCTTCTCAAGCTCCTGTATTTGAGCATGGTGCTACATAAGTTGAAAATCTGTAATGTCTGTACTGATTATCTGGTTTGCAGTTTTAAAATTAAAATTATTTGGTTACAGGGCTTTCGAAAGGCAAACACTATCCGGAACTGTTAGGTTTATCTTAGGTTAGGGTTAAGATAAACCTAACAGTTCCGGAACTGACCACTCAATACTCGTAACAGTTTATATATGGGATCGGTGCTCTAGTATTGCATTTGTCACAATTAAACAATGAGATGTAAGAAATGTGACAAGAATAAATTTTATCCCTGTGTCACTCGAATGCTAAAACAAATTCACACTGTATCTATGTACATAGTACTACATACGTTGTACTATGTTTAATAATTATTGGGTGTTCTATGTACAGCACGAGATAAAGTACAGTATGGTAAGTACAAAGATCTGCTAATTATATTAAACGGGGAGCCCGTCGCCCACTTGACGCGCTCAAGGAGGCCACAGACAACATTTTTCAAAATCAAATAATGCTGATTAGGCAGCTGAAATAACTGATTATAGTGGAGAAAATAATAAATCACTAACAGCATGCATTTATCCATGAACAAAAACAGAATATGCCAGAAAATTATACAAAGAACGTTTCATTAGCATCGTTTCCGCACGGTCGCCCGCGAGCATGCGAAGACGTCAGGCGCATCAACGGATCATCTTGCGGCGATTGCATCACGAGATCACACGCCTCAAGTACTATATCTCAAAGGTGAAAAAAATTAAGAAAAACTGATTCACGAAGCTTCTGCCTGAACTGCAGCGAAACAGAAATTTAGCATGTACATCGCACACACACAATTGTACAAACATATTCGATGTATTACCCAAACTATTAACTGAAACCCATTTTTTGATTGCAAAAATACTGAAATTCAGTAAAGTATCAATATTAATATAGTCTTACTATCAATTTTAATATAGTAGTTAAGTATCAGTATTAATGTAGTATTACTGACTTGTTAATATGGCGGAGTGCATTCAAGAATTATGCAGTATACCACCAGTGCATTGCATAAAACACGTATCTATAATTTAAGAATTAACACTAGCAACGAATCGATAAAAAAACGGTTTCGCATCCCAAAATCTAGCGACCTCACTGGACCAAAACTGTTCGTTGACCTAACAACATACAGGTGCATCATCGTCAGTGCCAGGACGGTTCTACAGTTTACAGTCCAAACATAAAACCATTGTCACTGCATTTAATGTTTGTTTCCGCCGTAATTCTACGAATGATCGTTTATCGGATTTCTACAAGTGTGCGTGCGTATACAACATTGCACAGAAAACCGCCGATGAGAAAAACTGGAAAACTTATCCCGCACCAACAGGTCGGCATAAGCAACCAAGCAGCCGCTATCAGGGAGAACGGCAAAGAGTTTTTAGGGAAGTTTTTGGAATTTATTTCCTGACGACTGCACACTTTCCAGTTAAACCACAAGTGTGTCACATGTACCTACTGCAAAAAAACGAAACTGCACTAAAATACAATACATTTAAAAATTTATGAACGTAAAAGAATTTGTTAAAATACGAGTTCTAAAATTGGATGTAACAAGCGCGTAGGAGCAATTGATCAATCTAGAACCAAAATAATGCCGACACATAGACGGCATACGCTGTTGTGTTTCCTTTCAGCTTGGAACAATTTTGGATACATGTTTGACGTCTAGCATGATCATGTTCCCGGCATGACACACCATCAATTTGGCAAGGCCCGGGATCTGTCCCGGTGCCAAGAAGCTAATCGAGTCTGGTACGAGAGAAAAACACTTTGATTACGCCATAAACGAATGGCGATGAATAAAGACTCATTTAGTTTTATCATCACGTATGACAGATCACAAGCCGCATAAACCATTAGCCTGCTGCCCCTGTACAATCGCCGCACGCCACGAAAAATCGCCCTCAAACAATATGTTCTTATACTACATTTTGCCGCACACTCTTTGTTCAAGGGGCTAGGATATGTCAATTTACATAAATCGATTTTTTTTCTTTCTGTTTGTATGTGCTTCAAGCTGTGAAAACTGTGTGGTGACACTCACTCACACTTTCTCAATGAATTATAAGTTGTTACACACGACATAACTTGTGTGCGGCATCTATTGCTGCGAACAATTCATGACAGGCAATTTCGGCTGGGAAACAGGATGAAGTTAAAGTGTTTCGGGCGAAAACTACCTACTGTGCCTGTTCACACATGCTAAACAATTTAGTGCGATCGTGATCGATTTTTTTTAGAATGTGCAATAATGAACGCAACAGTTTTACATTTGTATACCGAATAGCAATTCTGCGTCAGCATTGGCACTTGTATTTTAGCATATATACACATTTGCAAATTTCGTGTGGTGTACTCACTCATATACTTACAAATTTCAAGTCAAAAATATAACATTATAACGGCACAGTTCCCATACTTTTTGCATAAGTTGTACAGTTTTCAGTTAAATTCTCCAGTGCATATAAAAACCGCTTATTTTTTAACTCAGAAAGCTCAGTCACATTTCTGTCATAAAATTCGTCCATCACAAATCTGTTGGATTAGAAAACATAGCAGAACGGAATATCGACTCCAAGAATCAGTGTGTTGTGTATATTTGCATACGTGCTGCCGGATTTAAAGGGTAGTTTTTCGCTGCCGCTACAGAGCAATTTAGGACAAAACTGACCGATGTACAAAATAAACAAAATGTAGAGTAGGTAATGTTTTCTTAAGTAAACACTACGTGAATGCAATGAACACGCATCATGCATAGCAAATGCGGTTTAGCGTGCAAGTCTCAATTACTGACTATGAAAATAAGTAGTTATTTGAATGCATTTAGATTTCTAACCCCAAAAGCCACAGGGTTGTTTTTCCACCTAGAATCCTTCGTCAACAACACCGATCTTAACACGTTTTGTATTTTGGACAAACATGCCTTGATCGACCCTGCGGCTACTGCTTGCTCTGATTTAGAGGGATGCAGAATGCAGTTCAAAGCGAATAAATACAATCTAATGCGATACCAATGGGCATTTGTAGTACAGCGGCTCACCTCGACCGATCGATGCATACTGGTCCGGCGACTCGTGCATGAATTAGCGGCAACTTCGATTTCCACTTCTTCCTTAATCACTTCAATCCGACCGGGAGGTATGAGCTTAACAGGTGATTTCAGAATGGATTTGTGCTGCAGTGCACCGTTTTGATTAATCCCGGCTGCAGCAGCTTGCTGTATTTGGTCGACGGTAACGTGAGCCGTGTGCCGGCGAGCAGATGAACGGTTGGGCAATGTGGAGGATTTTGTCCCATAATTGTATTTGTGCACTTGGGAAATCCCGTTAGGTGGACAGGATGTATCGCGGCTGATTACGGTCTCCACATGCCGACTGCTCACTGTACTACGACTGGAGATCGATGCGGAACCGATGGCGACGTGCGAAGTTGAATTGTCCGGGACTGTTCAAAAAACATAAACCAGTAAAAATAGACCGTATTTAAAAATACATATCGGTTCGGACTGTTAACGTTCCGTGGCTACGACACGGAATTATGAGCGCATAAATCGTCCGATGTCAGAAATAACACTATTGACTTTGAGAAGGCATACAGCGAATGCCACACGGCAGTGTATAGTGGGAGCTGCTTACAAGAATGTGTATTACCAGATAAGCCGGGTAAATAGCGTTCAATATTTGACTATGTCCCAATGACAATCCGGGCTAAAGTGATTTTTAAACAAATTTACCTGAACCAGATCGCTGTACCATAGCACCGCGCCAGCGATGAGCTTTAAGACAAGCGACACTCGACGTAACAGTTATCGTTCTCCGTAGACATTTCAGAGTACGTACAAACAAAGAAGATTTCCAAGATGTTCGTGCTAGTAGACACGTTTTTTGAACCTGGGCTTATTTTTAGAAATGTAACGTACATCCTTTGAACAGTTGGTACTATTAAGTTAATTTCGCAAACTGCGTTAGAATTGATTAAAATTGCCAACACTGAGTTTTCTACGGCAAAACCACAACAGCAGGCATATGCAGTAACGCAAACTGTTGTGTGTGACCTGCACAGTTCACACACAGCAATATTGACTAACAGGAACAAAAGGTAGCACAGCACAATGATCGATAAATCACGCAGCGATATTGCTCCTGTTACACCGTTTCTATAGGATGTATATAGTGCACATGCTAACGAACGCAATCGTCGGGTCGAAATCGTTTAATTTGCCACAAAAGTGTATTCTCTTGATTTGATTCTCTTAATACTACTTTTCAGTGGATGACTTTTACCTTCATTCTCCACACACTTCCGGTTTTTTTCTTGATCATAAATACCACACTGATCCGCAGCCGGCAGCACTAACACTTCGTACTCGGCAGTCAGCTCTTGGCTGGCACAGAAAACTTGACAAATCTGACTCATATTACGTTGCAGTGGTCGTCAAGCTTTGACTTTTAATGACGGGAAATTATGATAGGGCCTATCATTATCTGGGCAATTGCCGGGCAATCAGGATTACATTCTCATAAATAATCTCCAAAAAATTAGGTTTACTGCTCTTGAACGATAAGATAATTAAATCGGGCAGAAGGAAACGCCGATGAATATTAGCCCAAACGACAGCTGACCGGCGAAATACACACTTGGCGAATAAGGAAATAAGGATCAAATGATCATATGTAATCCCATCAATATTGGGCTTTTCTTATAGCACAGACGGCTATGCCGTTGCCCGGAGACTTTTATGGGGGCCTGTGTAAATTTTGCCATGGGATAGTTGTGGATGGGAGTTGGTTTTGGATCAGACATTTATGCGCCACAGTCTGGGTTGGTTTTCTTATATTGGGAATGTACGCTATCCTATGTATAGCGAATTTCCATACGACAGGGTCAAATCGATCACCTCATTCGTGTGTCTGTGTTGTGTATATGCCAGCCGTATTCGGCCCCAATATATATACATACAGGGATGCACACTGGGATCAACATACACAAATACAACCCCATTCCACTTTCATCATCATCAAAACTGACACCAGTGCAGGCGCTATCGTTTCCGGTCCTGGTTAGCGAGCAAGCGGTCACTTGTGACGGAGCCGGGCGGGAACGGGAGAGTTTTAACGAATTCAATTCTGGGGGAAATGGCTAAGGCCGGGCCGGGAATGGCCACTCGACAATTCTGACCAACATCTTCCCCCTTCACACTCTCTTAATGGCGGGAAGAATGACGCTGACCCGCTGTTTGTGTATTTTAGAATTTAAATCTGCTTAAAACTGGCGAAAGTAATCGATAAGACGTTGTGGAAGATTTTGTATTAGAGGAAATCAGGTCAGCAACCTGTCATTCATTTGCGATTTCTGGAGTGTGCAAAGTGCACTTACACGCATTTGCACCTGCAAGTTCTGTAGCGACGTAATTTGGCATTAATAACAGACCACTGAATGGCGTGTATGACGAGTGCATAGATCAGAAAACGATTCACTTTGCAGCTTTCCGAATTTACTAGAAGAAATTCAATTGCCATTTTGCTAAATCGTTTATGTTAATTAAAACATTGTGTTCCATTTAATTGGAAAGGGGGCAATTTTGGGAGTAAATTATCGAAGCCTAAGCAATGTAATTAGAAAAACCCGACCGAGAAATAAAGAAATGGAGGAAGATTCCGGGTGAAGCATTTTGATGTAACTACCGGTAAATACCGCAACCAAATGTTTTAAAATCGGGTGTGACTATTTAAAAGTGTTTTTGACGTAAAAGAGCAATAAAGATATAGTTTTCGCATAGTGAAGTTCTACATGAATAATATCTTCCGTGATAGCGAAAATTATAATAGGAAACAAACTGTACCTTTGCAAACCCATATCGATCCACGATCTTCTGGACTCTTAAAGCGCACACGTTTCATTAATCATACAACTGCCTAGTTAAATATTCCACGCATTCACAGGTGAAAACAAACGGCTTTTCAGTAATCACAGCTCTTGCAAAACACACATTTGTCTACGCAAACAAATATGCGGTGCGCTGGACTCTCGGCACACAGCCGCTCCCATCACCATAAACATTCTGTACGATGTTTCCGGTCATAAAGAAATTCTCCGACAGTAACACAATCACTGAGCTAATATTCGTGTTAAAAGAAAATAATGCAAGAACGTTCATGGATGCATACAGATAATAGATGTCAAATACAGAAAGCAGGCGCAACACATGTTGTTCAAGTATTCATGATATTCCGATACTTTTCAGAGATCATTTTACACAGCGCAGTTTTTTCTGAGTGAACACTATTCATGCGAAACAGCTGGACGCGGAGAACTTTCGAAAGTCAGTTCAAAATAAGTTCCGCTTTTTGCAACATGTTTCTCTCCGTTTGGGAGAATCTATTGGGCTTACACAACATACTGAGCAAATATAAGACAAAATAATTGACTATTCATTTTTTTCCTCCAGTTTATGAGCGGAACAACCAGCACCGGATGGGCACGCGCAATGGATCCATTTTGCATGCGCCAAAGTGAATTAGCCAACAGCCGCACAGCCAGCGCGCAGAACGTCATAAACTCATTAGTCGATTCTATCTGTCTTCGAGACCGTCAGACTTTAAAAAAATTAATGAGGATTAAAATATGCCTTGGTCAACAGACATAAGATAGATTTTAATGTTAGCGAAAAGTGCCGGTACTCGTACAGCAGCTCGATTACTACGTTAATTACGGAGTGCGTATATACTGCGTTGTTATGGTCGTACATCGATGTACTACGTTAGCTGGGTTAATAGCAGGTGATAATTGATAACAAAACGCTTTCGATCAGGATCTTTTTCAAAGCTATGCGGTAATATAACAAATGTTTACACTATCAGAAGCATTAAAAAGTGCGGTGGAAAAGCTCGCAGAAGTTTTTTAGAAGCTGAAATTATTAATAATTTCAGCGTTGAGTGTAGTCTTGTGGCATGCACCGCACTTTACTCTGTACGAGTACGCATTCTTAGAGAGCAACAGGAGAATCCAAGTTCTGAATTCGAAGTCATTTCTTTTTATTGATTGGGGTGGCTTCTCCCATCTGTTAAATTTCTATGTAACAAACCTACCGATATGTATATTTCATTATTATTTATCAAAAAGCCATAATACTCACAGATATTATAAAGTTAGTAATATGTATAAGCGTAACGGATGCACCAAACACGCAAGGACAACAAATTAAACGTTGCGGGTAAGCTATTGGCATCACGCTCTGCGTAAATCATCTTTCGCCTGGTCCTTTCTGTCATATGAACATCGCTTTAGACTTTCTTAATGAATAAGTAAATTAGAAATTACGGCTTTAGCGACGCTGCAACCCATCTTAATTAGTTCTGCAGCTTTAATAAGAATTTTTGGCATGCCATAAACTGCCAAAAATTTCGACACGGTTATTTATGTGAAAGGTGTCCAATAAGCAAACGAATCGTTAAATCATGTAAACTGTATTTGTACTGCAGATACTGTAAAAATTCATCAACCTTTGTTGATTATCAGTTCAGTGGAACTACAATGGATATGAATAAAATTAAGGGAAATTAAATATGTAGAAAAGTACAATGCAGTACTTCCATAGAAGCGCTGAACATGAAGTTCAAAGCTATCGAGTTATGCTCACGTAGTATAGACAGAGATAGGTACCGGTAGTAGAAGAACCTGTAGTAGCAGAAGTACTTACTCGTATCACGTTTGTACAAGTTACAACTGTGTTGCAATTGTAAAAAAATGAAACCACCGTTATATAAGTACTTTCAGTTGGTAATTCACACCAATAATTAAAATCGTGGTGGAATAATTTATTACCCAGGGCGCCATTAGCGGCGCGCAAGAACAGACGCATCACAAAAACATCAGCAACAAATTACTTAATTAATTATAAATACGAAAAAAGCAATGCAGTTTTTACGAGCAGCATCTGACAGAGTCAGGTTATTCATATTTTGATAATAAACAGTTTGCCAGAAGATAACTAATAAATAATATCACATAGACCGTTTTCTGCGAAATGGGACGAGTTTTTCATTCACATGAATTCAAACGAAAACTTGGTAAAGTATACCGGAAAACGTTTCACCGAAATAAAAAATGAATCTCACCATTCGTATGTGCATGTCATTGCAAGTTTGCAACAGGTTTGCAATCTTCAGAATAGACCTCTAATGTGGCATAAAATAGCCCATCATCAATAGTCTATCAAATATGCACGCGTAAATTCCGACTTTGAAATGCAATATCGTAAAGCAAATCGTATCTGTTTCGTTGGGATGTTACAGCTTTATAGCGTAAAATTAAGTTAAAACTAATACGCGATTGCGAACAACTTCACGTACTGGCGCTAACTTGTTCGGCTTTTGAATGATATGTACGTATGCGCCCATTTACTGAGATATTGACAAAGGGAAGTAGAAATTATCAAATAATTATTTACAAATAAAAAATTTTCGTATGACGACGTACCGTACTTGCGACGTTGGCCTTTGCCAAGGTAGAAACTTTTATAGAAAAAAGTTACATGAGGTTTTTTAACGTTAACTAGAATTCGCTGTATAGTTCACTCAGCAGTAACCAAAAATTCCTAAATATGCGTTTTACCGATTTAATACGCCGCAATAGGATGTACATGTGTACCAGCCACACTACACGTATATATGTAGTCTTACCTTATTAATGATATCCCGCCAGGAAAACCTTTTCAATAACCGCACTCGAAGTGTAGCAGTCGACAATCACCCGTTTATCGAATTCTCAAGTATATTACGCTAAGCAAGACAATAATTTCAGTGGGGTACACAGTACAACTACACACCACACAAGGACAGCGTTTATAACATAACTGTGTACATTATGAAATATCCGGCTGCGGTTTCCCAGCCGGTAACGAAGTGAACAATCATAACCCATTACATTTTTCCGCGGCTACAGCACACAGATGCGGTGGGAGTTGAAGAGAAAGTTCTACATACTCCAAACAAACTGGATAGACGAGGATCTATTCGTTGCAACCGCAGCATCATCATGCCAGCATTGGCTATACGCTTTATACTGTACTGTACACGGCATCACTCGATGGTCCCACAAGCACTCTCTTCACTACAACATCCGCCACCAACTACACAACGGACCACAAGGCGCCGCGCTTCAGCATACTTCCCCCACTTGAAAGAACCAAATTAACGTATAACGGATTTAGAATTGTCAAAGCCACTTAGCTTGTTGATACCAGCTCATAAAAACCGCCAGCATAAAATATTATTAATGGGTTATGTGGAACACCGTGTATACTCGTTCCAAATTCTGGTCTATTACTCTATTAGTATCGGGATCAGATCAGCAGGATGGGAGCAGTGCAACAGCGTGCAACCGAATGATTTATGTCGAACCCATTCCGCACGCCATATCCATGATGCTAATAATTACGAGTATTACAACGAGATTTTCAGCCACAAAAAACCTAACAGTAACGTTTAAATAACCTCATAATGTGAGCTTTAAAGTACGGTTTGGAAAAGATATACACTTCACAGTATTATGTCAAATCCGATTTAAATCTGCAGACAAAACATTTGAATCAGTTTTTTTCGGGAAGCCAGCAAACAATGATTGACCAGATGCCATTTAGCTACGTACCGTAAAAGGAGTGACTGACCTTTAAAGAAAGCAGGGCATGCTATATTTTGTACGTAAATACAGCAAATAAAAAGTAATTCAGAAGAGCAACATCTGTATGATAAGTATGTTTCTGCTCATATTTTGTTGTTGCAATGCTATACCGGCTGAATCACAATGCAGCAGAGTGAGAGCCCCGCAAAGGTTCGACCAGATATGAGACCTTGACAACATCGTTTGCCGGCTGATCTTTTCACAGTCCCCCGTGGCCATATGCGCGCAACAGTGCTTCCGATATGGGAATGCCAGCTGGCAACTGAAGCGTGCCGTGGTGGGACCGGAACGCCGGTGGACCGACCAGCCGTTTTGCATCTGTACATCTTATATGGACTATTCATTAGGATATACAAGCATACAAGAAACCAAACCAGCTAACTGCCAGTTGAGCATGGAAAATGTGATTAAGCAGCGACCGAAATCGATAAATCGTTGCGGTTCATATTTCATCTTTCGTCCAATGAACCGCTATTGCCGCTTTTTATGTTCTACGTTGTTATATACGAGTATTTAAGATGGACAAAACGTGATTCCGATGGCACTTAAAGCTCCAAAAATGGCGCAATTGCTACGATTTGGCATATGGTTCTGGTACAGACGAATTACCATGCAATCTCTACGGATCTGAAAACTGCGCTAAAGAACATAAACAGATCCCAAATGGTAAAATGGCAGGCTACATAGCTGACTGGGTTGTTGTAAACACTGACAATTAACTAGCCCCGAAACTGGACGGCACAAGAAAAGACAACCGAAAGTTCTTGACGACTCCCGATGTTGCAGTCACATGCGTCCCACCCCACAAACCAAAGTAAACAATCTTTAAGGTTACAAATTCATGTTATTTTTATAAAACAAGCACGAGTATGATGCGTCATACACTTTGCAGTTCATATAGAACTGTACAGAAATAATCGAGGGTATACATGTACAGATATTACATATATTCTTTAAAAAATGTGTATTCCTAAGAAACTTAACTTATATACTGTTCTGTTTGTCGTAGAGTAAGTATTCGATTCCAGTTTTCACGAAACTTTCAGTCGAATACATAATGATTTTTCCAGTCGAATTTTGCGAAGTAAAGCTCATACGGTTATACGGATCGAACGCAAACGAACATACCAGATCAGCACGCATCTAATATGTCATTATATAGGTCAGTTAGTTAACTTGATTTAATGAGAACTATAATTTGGCTAATTCTCGCCTCTTCTAAGTTTAATATGATTGCTTCTCTATATGGCTGTAGCATGGTATTTGTGCGTCTCTTTAATGTAATAATCAGACTGAATATTTCCGTCAGCCATCATCGTGATTCACTTTGTCGCATCATATATTCAGTACTAGATCAACAGATGGAATAGATGTTGCCGGCAGATCGACGAATAAGTCAAGCGGCATTTTCGTGTAAATTTCGGCGTTTCCTGTCATAGCTAATAAACTCCCTACTGTTTTCATTATGCTATTCTTTGTCCATAAATGCGGCATTTTTGACCGATTTGTAGCTGCACCTTGCGTTTATCCGTCACGCGTATGCGAACATCTGCCTTGTTCGCGGGACAAAAACCGTTCCACACCTTTAACTTCACGTTGTAAACGAGTCAATTCGGCTGTCCTTCAATGAACTACAGAAAAGACCTCTCTTCCCAATTTCAAGGGTTTGAATACAAGAGTGCTGCGTGAGAATAAAACTCCCAGTTGTATATTTATTATCACATATTTATTAATTCTGCATTGCTGATATTTTACGACAGAGCGCTGGAGCGGTGCTAACACATACAGATTAAATGTGTGAATAAAACTAACTGTTGTACCTGTTCCCTATCTGTTAAACGTTTAGCAGTAATATTTATATTGCATAATAATATAATTACAAACCATGCATGTATATATTTATTTATCTATAACTTTCTTTGACTGATAACCGGTTCTACCATGATTCGAAGTTTAATTATTGACTGGACGTTTATGCCGCCGCCAATTTTTAACACAGCGTTGATACAAAAAATGTTTGATATAGCAGAATGTACGAGCAGTGACTTATAAACTGTGAACGCAAAACAGAGCTCAAGTTTTCGAAATTTTGTAAGCGAATTTCGTAATATACTGCCATAATCTCATGCAAATGCGAGAAAAACAATTGCACAAGCAGGTTTTATTCTATACAACTCCCTTACCTCCTAGCAGTTTGTCCCGAATTAACCGCAGCAAATTCGTCTTCGGTCCCGGCGACGATGCAGGCGCCATGGTCGGGGCTTCCTTCCCAGCGGTGGTCGACGGCAGCAGCGAGCCATCCGGCGCATTTCCGTTGGCGGTGGAAATGGTGTCGCTGCTGCGACTATTAAGGTGTTTAAGGACGTCAATCCGCATTTCCCTCGCTGTGTACTACCGGGGCAAATTGCTTCTGCAACGGTGCCAGATCGGATAATATTAATGTGCAAATAATGACCATCAAATGCGGCACATCGGGGGCTTTACGGCTTACCGCATCCGATTTCACGTACAATGTAAATATTCTTTCACACGGCAACGTTAACCATTACCCTTACATATGGTGACGAATGGACGATCTTTGCTTGCAACACTCCGTAGGTGCTGCAATATAACAATCAAATTTTTAAAAATGTAAGGCAGTTGCTGAAACGATGCCACTCGTATAATCGGAGTATCACCAGCGGTCATTCGAAATTTCCAAGTGGAAAATGCAACTCGGGCTGGGATTGTAGATGAATGACACGGATTGAGAAACATAATCTAGTTTCCAGATATAAACAGCAGAACTGCGTTTATTCTGAGCCAAACACAAAATGGAAACAAAGTGTGCACCTCATTGGAAAGGATGAAAAGGCCAAGCCCCGATATTCATGTCGACATATCCACAGTGAGCACTTTCAAGTGAGCATGCAGCTGATCAGACAGGCGTCCATCCTATATATCTCAATGCCGGTGCCGGCTGGACAACGGCGACTCTTATCAATGCCAAATGTACATATCAGATATTTCACATCAATTGTCTGCCACGAAAGGAAAGTTTGATCGGTGCACTGTATTGGACAGCCAGGATAAAATTAACAATAGCGTGTGCGAAATGCAAATAAAACTTTTAAAAATGATTCTGTGTTCGCGGGATCTTCTACGGGGAAAAGAACTGCAATAATATTACTTGTACTTGGTATATATATTTACACGCACATATACAGTGGCCAATGTCCAGCCACAAGCATAACCTATTACAGACTATTGTTGTTCTGTACTGTACATGGCGCAAGTAAAATAAAGTGGCAAGATCAATAAGTACTCAACAGGAAATATGAAAGCCGACATCAGCCAATCATCGACGATCGCACTGTCCATGCTGTACACCAGTGTGGTCGACCATGCTAATTCGTACTGGGAGAAGGGATAAACACATCCTGACGGCGACATATAAGATTAGTCAGTCTGTGTATAAACATGCAGGATATAATGTAGTGCTGATTAAAACGATATCATTTAAATCCGGCAGCGCTGACAAATATAAATATATGGGCATACATACATATCGGGATGGATTAAATTACCCACTGGTGGACTTAATTGACTTAATACTTTTCCCTTCTACAAATATTCCGGAGTTGCACTTCATCCGCACAGATTGACTATGTCAAACTACTGCAAACCATCGAAAGGCCGATGTGCAAATATTATTCTAAGCAGCGATCCCGGGAAGGTGCTCCACTTTGAAATCTGGAATTTACTCTGCTCCATTTCTGTATGCGCTAATTGCGAAAAATTCATAGTGTGAAGAGCTTCCAAAATCAGTTAAAATCGAGCTGGCATAAAAATCTTCAACAAATTTGTGGGGTATTGCTTAATTCAAGCAGAGCTCTAAGCAAGTGAACTTTCCCTAATTCATCAAATAATTAGCGCTTCCACTGGCCTTATTTCTGCGTATCAGATATTGCTACATCACCACAGAGGTATAAACTGACCACTTAAATTACTCGAATTCCATCTAGTCAGCTTCCATTTTTTCAAACAGACAACCAGAAACAGCTGCATAATCCTTCTGAAAGACGGCAAAATTTTCGAAATTCAACATTTCTATCTCAGTGAACCAGTTGAAAAGAAAAACGATAGATTACATAAAATTCTGCGAAGTATTCAACTTATTGACTAACAAACGAAGACACTGTTCATCACATCACCAGCAATGGATCACCAGATGGCTTCGATAGCCGGCACAACTCTCATGAAGCCCGGAGATTCCCGAAGTGTCCAGTAGCGGTAGGTAAATTCGTAAATATCAGGAATGTCGTTTCCGCTCGTCTGTTCCACTCGCCTGTTAAATATGACCAATTAGACGCATTACTCTACATACAGCATCTTCACACATTTAGGACAAATCTGCAATTTAACTCCTCGACTCTTTTACTACTCCACAAGTACATACCGAAACCATCGCGGCTCATAAGGATAATGATCTTTGGTGTATTTCGCGTTACGCTCGCGCTGCGCCTGTTCCACACGCTTCTTCTCGATTTCAGCGGAAGCCAGGTTTCCACATTCCAGAAGCCTGTTAAATGGGAAGCTTCATTAGCCGTAACACTACAGAGACTGACCTATTAAAATTCCATACATTTTTCCAAACTATTTTCACTTTAGAATGTCACCCCATTCATCAAAAAATGACTGGATCAAAGCAAAAGCAAGTGACACAAATCTACCCAAGGGTCCGAAGATCGGCAAATATAGTTCCCATCGTTTCTTAACAGAGGCCAAATAGAATCAAATTTTTCAAGTCGGCGGTGAGAAAAAATACAATTAACTGATTCTTGCATGAATGATATCCGTTAAATAAACGCTTTTCCATTAAATTTTGGATAATTACAACTCCACCAGCATTTTTCATCTGACTCTACTGAAGTCACACGAACACCGACTGCGACTCTTCATAATTCATACTGACACCGTGACACGGTACCCAATCCCGTCGTACTGTACACTGCAATGCCGCTTTAATTACGTCATGGAAAATTAAAAAAATGGAAAATTCAAAAAATTACTAATCGAGAAGAAAGTACCAAAGTGCAGCAAGAATCTTCCACAACCCAGTCTTTTTCCAACTAAAGAATTTGCGTACATGTTCGACCGAAATTAATGTGTCAGTACCACAACGGCAACCGGCACACACCGTAATGTGATCGCATTACTTACCTTTGGTCAGGCCGAAGCCTGGAGTCGGTACAGGGTAAAAATCGAGTCATTTCGTCGCTGATTTCGTTTAATTCAATGGCGAAACGTGTGAAGCCATAGTAAACATCGTGGTCAGCCGGCATGGCTCCAGCTCGCCAAAGAACCTTCGTCCCGGCGCTTCGACTGGTGCCCGTTCGCCCAGGATCCGTCCAATAAACACATTCATTCCAACTGCCAAAAATTGCAGTAACAGGTGCTCGATCCGGCCCATATACGGTACCTTCGACATGCGTTGGGGTGCCTTCACTGGATGACTAAAAATACGAAAAAATGTCAAATTAATACAGAACAAACGTCACCTAATATAAATTACTATCAAAATTGTAGAAGCAACAAAAAGGGTTTTGCGTAAACCTATTCCAGTAGCTAGTAATGGAATGCATTCTATTTGTTCTACAGATGTTTCGTCAAACTTCGGGTCAAAGTGCGCGGCTGCAAAACTTTTAAACCCGTTCAAACGTCACCAACGGACAATCTAATTCATTCATCATTTCAACCCTTCTTTATAAAAAGCACGCGAACGGCTAACCTTTCCAAATGTCAAATTGGCGTAATAATCGTTGCTGCAGGTGATCTTGATGGTTCCGTACACTTCCACGTGCCCCTTCTGAGACATGAGAGCCGAAACGGCAACGCGCGAACTCGGCTTATTCCAGCGATAATGCTCGCTCTTATTAATATTCACATGCACTTCGCCGTGGTTTGTCACTTCGATGGACCGTCCCCAGAAGCGTGTTTTCGGCCGAAAATCTGGAAAGGAATGTGCAAGTCAAAAAAACCCAGCAGAAGATCCGGTAAAAATCATACCTTGCCAGTAACAATATTTGTCACTTAAGGATTCGGCGTGGCACGCGGAAATTGGCGGGTGATGACTAACTTGTTCGGCAACATACCGGAAGCCTTTATCTTCGCGGACGCATTCTGTATAGCATACAGAGTATTACCGTACAGCGTGATCGGCAGGTTCTTCTTGTTGATATTCTTTTCTCACTCTCACCATATGTTTCGCCGAGTATTGGATTAAATGGCTTAGTGCTGGCTCGGTAGAATGTCGAAGCGAATCCGGAGACAGCGAATGTGGCCACGAGAGTCTAACGAGCCAAATTAAACAAAAAGCCCCGTCAATAAACTTCTTAATCCAGAAGTGTAAAGCCATCTTTTAAACACTAACCATCCGTTCAACTGGATCAGCACAATCCGCAGCGCGATCAAGCAATTCACAATATTCCAATTCCTCCGCTAGCCGCTGAAAACAGCAAACAAATAAATGGGTATATAGATACCCATTTGTAAGCCACGAAGTGTAAAATATTCATGGTTATTACAGGGGCTCCCATACTGCCACGCTTACCACAGTCTAACACAAAACTATAAAAAAACTGTTACTGTCACAAAATTGTAAATTCACAACAATTGTTAACTGTTAATTATGATATTATCAGATCAAGTGACATCATTACTACGTAATTAACACCGACCTGCAACATGCTTAGAGGCTCGTTCACTTTAACAGGGAGTGCTAATCTGGTCAAATCTTTGCCGATAAAACCGCCAATCATTTTTAGCAGGCTTCCGTCGGCAGGCGGCCTTTGGCTGGGGAGCACAGTGCGCCGTCCCGTCTGACGTTGAATGTCACCACGATTAAAATTCTCGTTATCGATATCGTCTACATCGGAATCCGAAGAACATCCTTCATCTCGCGAATGCGAACGCTACAAACATATCACATTCACACTACATTATTACGTACCTAAATAAGTACGTAATCGCTTGTGCGGGTAGTTCTTTTACTGCAAAAAATTCATTAAGCCAGAATCTGTATTAAACGCTCCGACGGCCAATACTGTGTTGTCGCTTTACATCATCATGCAACCGCCCAGCTCTTTCACTAGTGTCACAGAGAAAATAAAATCGCTTACACTCAAAGGAGATACAAATTCATGTGCAAATTTGCCCCAAGTGCACTTCAACCCCGAAACATGATCACTTACGTCGGAGGATGTATCGGACATAAGATGAGCACTATGCTGCATGCGGCTGCTGCTGAAATGACTGATGGCCGTGAAAAATGTGTCTCCGCTCCCAATTGTACCAGCGCTATCCGACGATAAAGTGTGCACGATTCGTGTCTACAATAAACAGCATCTGGAACAAGTAGTTCTACATGTAACAAGAATCCATAATTTTTACACTACAGCACACATTTTTTTCCGGTTACAGTTTAATTTATGCAGATCAAAATTCGGTACTATAATTGTGAATAGAGTAAAAATTTGAAAGACAACTGTACTATTGCAACAATAAACTATATATATCAAATATTTATTACTCGATGGTAATGAATACTGTATCGGTGCATCCTATTAGTTTTTTATTAGCCGTAAGCCACGTCAAATCAAAAAGTACTAAGTGAGTCACCTCGTGTTTATAAATTATTGCATTTTATCAACGCTTTATCTGTTCGCATTTAAAATTTCAAACAGTGGTCATACACAAAATTATATTGCAGACTGGCAGTAACACACGCACAATATCGAAAGTAATCTGGCTTGAGCGTACCTGAACCATACTGCCGGTTAGGGTCCCGTCATCCGATAAGGCACCATTAAATCGATTATATAGCTGGCGGAAATCATTGCCAATGACTCGAAAGGTTGAGATCACTGCAAAATAACCCAGATGGCCACGCATTCGCACAACTGACGAGTGACAAATAAAGTTTTCGGTACGCACATTCCCGAGCCAGCAGTAAAGAATCCACATCCATGCGAGAAGTGGTTGCATTGTTCGGTTGACTTTCGTTATACTTCGTAAGACTTGACTGCGAACCGTGGCTAATATCACTGAGATGACCACCCAGACTGGGTATGGGGGAAGACGGTATAGCCGGTATGTTATCCGGAAATGAAGCGGAAGCATTCGAACTGGGCAACTGCAGGGTTTCCATAGTGGGCGGGCGTGGTACCGTCTACAACAACAATACCACGGCTCACCAACAAGCCCATTAGGCGCTTTTGAAGGAAATGGGTATTGTACCGATCCTTTTGATGAACTCCCACTTGATGCCATTAAGTCCTCTTTTTTATCAGGCTTCTTTCGCCTTGAGAAGAATTTCTTTATAGTACCTCTTTTCGAACCGGTATCATTCACGCTGTTCTGCTGCATCAACAAAAAAAGCAAATTACATACGATGCACTAAGCGCAATACTTGGTTTGTACTAGCGGGCTATTGCCGCGGTAAATATTACGCAAAATATGTGAGAAAACAAACAAAGAAAATTCTGCGGCACCTGGATATCGCGTTCTGTTATTGGCTCATTGGCGGCCATTTCCCATTGTTCGACAAGAGCGGCTGCGCGATCGAGCTTCTTGAAAACAGCATCCAATTCTACATACCCAAAACAGAATACGGTGATGTACACACGCATGATACGCCAATTCTGGTTCCGCCACACTAAACAATTTGAGTACACACAACTCACGGGCTTTTGAGACGTCTAAACCAATTCGGCAACCGGCTGCGCTTGGCTGATTAAGCAGCGTTGCATCTTTCAGTGTGCCTTCCGCATCAGCGTCACCTAACAAGCTGGCCATCGTGGCTTGACGGTACAGACGATGATCGTATAGCATTTCACGCCATTTTGCAAATTGTGCATCCGAATATGCCTAGAGAATATGAAAAAAAACAGCATCAGACACAACCGACCAGAATCCGTCTGTCAGATTCGTTATGTACACGAAAGTGATGCACAGCTTCCGTTGCGTCGATTTCAATGCCACGCTTCTTCTTATTGAGAACCACGAAAGACAATGCAATATCAAGTTTCCCCAAGTAATTTCCCTTCTCCATCTGCAAACACCATGATATGCAAGCCATCCATTCAGAACTGTTCACTGATATCGTTTACCTCGCCGCGATTTTTTGCATAAATCAAATAGCCCTCCTCCAGACGGCAGAAACGCTGCAATGATAAATGCCGATACAGACCGGAACTGTAATCTGACAACCATTGGATAAATATGGCGGGGTAACATTTTTATTTCTGATACAGATCCATCGGAAGCTTTTTATTTCTGAAAAATGATACACACCACGAAGGATGGGTTGATGAGGAAAACAGACTACTTAGTCCGATCCGCAAATACTGTACTAAATATTACAACGTACAAAAACTGGTCGTTCAGCTTTATCTTGGCGATCAATTACGTATAATTAGTTGGACTAGGTGCGTTCATTCTACACAATTTCATAGCGGTTATACAATATGCAAAACGTAACCGCTCACAATGCTATCTGGTCGTTAGTTTATTGCTGTTTTAATGTAAACTGTACACTGGGATCATAATCAATCACAAAAAATACAAATCTGACGAAAATTGCTCTTCTAAGAAATGGCTCTCACCTCTAGTAGTGCCGAATTAAAGAGCGCTTGCGACGCGAATAATTACTGTATTACAGTATGTTCATAGAAATCTTATGACTTCTTTTCTGCCTATACGAATCAAGTCCATATGACTATTTGCATAAATAGCTGAATAATTGTAAGAAAACTCTACAAGTTCATACAAGCGACGGAAAATAATAATATCATAATAATTAATACGAGTATAGTAGTCAATCAGAAATTATTAACTCACAAATCAAAAGAGAAAGCAAAACAGCATAATCAGGCAGAGTTTACACCATTCACAGCACACACATTTTTCAGCCGATAGCGGTCACATAGGGAAACGATTTCTCACAAATTAACCTACAAACCTCTGCTGAGTCTGCTCATTCGAACATAAACATGAACCGCAAATGTGCGTGACAAACAAGCTCTGATAGGATCAAGATGCAATCAACTGCTTACGCCTGTCATCCGCATGCCGTCGGATAATAAAATAAACAATAAAAAAATTACACCACGACACATGCTTACTTTCTGGAAACCTGTTCCCCGTCGCCGACGCTTCTTCGACAGCAGCCCCTCAAAAACAGGCACAACCTTCTCGAATGTCTCTCCGACGCGCAAACCCTTGATAATTTCATAATCCGTACCCACGGTCTGATTAGCCCGTGAATCGTCAAATAATCCCACCGGTGACGGCTTGATCGAGCCACCGCTTTCCTCCGCTTCATAACTAAAATACTCGGACTGTGAGGAGGAGCCTTCTCCCGACGGCGTGGACGACGACATGGAGACGCTGGATGGTGAATGGCAGTGGCCCTGTTTGCGAGCTGTGCCATTTTTACTTCCAACCGGACTGGACTGCTGCTGATTGACTCGGTTGGTCAGATCCACCGCGATCGAATTGGGACGTGGCATGGTACTACCACGCAGAATACTAGTTTTATCTTTCGGATCGCTGACGGTGCGTAGCAGTTTCACAGTATCAGCAGAAGCAGTGTGGTCCATCGTCGTCGCCGTGGATGGCCGCAAAACTCCAACATCAAAACAAAACCACGAAACCAGTCTTATTACGGCGTCTACTTGATGAAGTAATCGTCAATCCACAGATAAGATAACATTTCAGTTGGACTGTACGACAACTGTTATGCCAAATATTAAAATTTCAGTAATAATTACCGATTACATGATCATGAATCGTGATAACGCAACTGTAACAATTACGTACATCGCACTGAAAAATCAAATGGGCAAAATAAAATTGGCAGCGCTGTATAGCTGGCACGAAATATTTCCAGAATGGTAGTCGATTTCTATTCGGAAGCTGAAACACGTCACATAGTGAAACACGAGTCGAAAACTACGTTGCGCTGACACCGACTTCGTTTCGCGAACGGAAATTCTGTAAAATGTTGTCTTCCAAGTTGGCAGCCAATAAAATTTTTCCACACACTGCTGAATATTAGCTGTTTTTCATTTTTGATTTATTGAACTAACAAAGAGAATTTCCATAAAAAAGATTACAAAGTTCTGTTTTCCGGAAATTTTGCGAGCGAAGGGATCGTTATCCGTTGATACTGCCTGGTGAGACGTGGGTGCACAACCTGGGGTTGACAGTTACACCTTCGGGGTGTTTGGATTTATTTGTTTTTGGGCTTGTTGCTGGTTGCACAACAGGCGCAAGCAAGATCGCCAACTCGTTTCCGGATCTCTTTTTGGACTTTTTTGTTTTTGTTTGAATACTCCCGCATTTACTGATTGTGCTGCTCACCAGAGAATGTCTAAGGACAGGACGCAGGAGTTCAGCAGTATTGTCCGGAATCTCCAGCAGAGCCATCTGCATCAAAATGGATACCGTGCACATTCCCCTGCTGCTGCTGGCCAGACTGCCACCAGACAGCGACAAGCGCAGTTTGCCAAGGAGTTTATGGGCTATGCCCGGAATATTGGGAAAGATCTGTCACAAACCTATGCCAAACTAGAGAAACTCACGCTGTTGTCTAAGAAAAAATCCCTGTTTGATGATCGGGGATCGGAAATCGAGCACTTGAGCCAGATGATCAAGGAGGATATACAGCATCTCAACCAGCAGATTTCTAAACTGGAAGAACTAAAAAAACACGGTCATAATGTCCAGTCGACACCTCGTCATCATTTGGAGTCGCATTCGACATCCGTTGTAATCGGATTACAGTCGAGTTTAGCGAAGATGTCCACCAAATTTAAGGAGGTTCTGGAGATTCGTACGGAGAACATGAAGCAGCAGCAAGAAAGACGCGACAAATACTCTTCTTCGGTTCCAGCCAGCGAGTATATCCCTTCACGTCCTACTAACTCCATTCTCCTGCAGCCGGATATTGTTCCTGGAGATGCGCCGGTGTCCATTGATATGTCCAGTTTGACACGACGCAATACATCGCAGCAGCAGCAGCAGATGCAGCTGATTAACGAGCAGGATGCGTACATTCAGTCCCGAGCGGATGCCGTTCAGAATATTGAGTCGACGATTGTGGAGCTTGGAGGCATCTTTCAGCAGCTGGCACACATGGTTAAAGAGCAGGTAATTGTGATTTCAGAAAATTCTGGGAAACAATGTTAAGTATTTTTATTGTCCATGTTTTTCATTACTGTAATGGAGTAGCAGTTTATAAATCATCACAATTTCGAAGATTTTCCGAAAATAGTATAGCTGTGGATGGTTAATCTTATTCGGCTTATTGCGACTGTTGAACGAAAATGCTTGGCACCATCGTTCACTCACATAATTTAGCTTACGCGGGGTGGCCTTTTTGTATTGCCTTAGAATGTATTATAATAATTGTGTTCTTTATTCTTTAATATTTTACGGGGCATGTTGTTTGAAGTCTTGAGATGTATCTGAATTTTGGAAATTTGATGCGTATGTTATTTTTTCTTTTAGGAAGAAGTCGTTCAGCGTATCGATATGCACGTGGAAGACGCGGAGAGTAACATCGAAGCCGCCCACGACGAGCTGCTGCGTTATTTTCGCTCGATATCATCCAATCGTTGGCTCATGGCCAAGGTTTTTGGGATCTTGCTGGTTTTCTTTTTTGATTTTTGTGATCTTTTTTGCTTAATCATTCATTTTAAATCGAGAGACTATTCCAGATGAACCTAGTAAAAGATTATTTATTTCTGTGGAACAACTTTTAAGTTTAATGTGATTCTATCATGAACACGTTTTGGTCACCCGTTTTATAAATCGTAAGGTGTGATTGTGTAAATGAACGAGTCCTTCGCAGCGACACGGAATGGATTAAAAGCGGTGTAAGTTTTTCTTGTATCCATTGTTTTGATCATCAGTCAGTGTCCTGCTGGGTGTGACTACTCTGGCTTAAACTGCTTCGACCCAGGAAAATGTGAATCTCTTTTGACAGCGATTTTTTATTAAACAGATGCTTATCCTTTACAAACTGGCAAGTGAACACAGTCATCGAATAAACAGCTAAAAAAAGTAAAAATTAGTCGTTGAAAATACGAAAGTAAAAATAAAAACCAGTGCCAGAATATGTATCCTCGCTTCAAGGCAGCAGCAGCCCATTAAACACCCCACAGCATCAGCCGTTAAACACCAAGCCGAAAGAACATGACAACCATTCAAAAAGGTTCACAAGTGGACTAGAACTGATAAAACTGTAGTTCTAAAATTATGTACGATATTAAATGAACAAATCGGCAGTCCATGAACACCATAAATAGGCGCGGCGTGGACCATTCGACAGGCACAACGGCAACGAAAGAACTCGTTTCACCATTACTGCGCAGCAGGCTGTTCTGCTCGCTCAATGCAAAAATATCGCTTTCCATTATCCATATGCAAATAAGGCACCAAAGAGGAATCAGCTGCGTTATATCATCACCATCGAAGGATTTCAGTAGGCGCTCCTTATTCATCCTTATTGCCCCCAGACATCACCGCCAGTTTGGATTGTTTAAGCTTGTCCAAGCGTTTTTGCAGGTGGTTGTAAGAATTCTGCGATTCTTCGGCTTTGACTTGGGCATCCCGAAGCTGTGAAGAAAATTTCCTCATGAATCTTGAATTTTCCACACAAAAAACTCCCGCTACCCCCCATTTACAACATAAAAAAGCATACCTCACGCTGAAGTTTACGCTTCTCAGCTTTCAGCTCTTCTTCGGATGCTTCCGCTTTTTCAGCAGCAGTCTTGAAACGTTTCACCTGGCCTTCTAACCGGTTTATTGTAGCCTGTAAAGTACTGTTGTCCTGTTCCGCCTTTTGCAGCTTCAGTTTGAACTCGTTGACTTTCTGGGCTGCTTCCTCTGTAAAAAAAGTAATAACACACTGTTAAACGCATACCCTTCACATTGTTCCCACGACTTTAACCGCTATCGACTACCGAGACAACTACTAATTAAAGTCGGCCACTTTCCGGGGTAGCAAAAAACCAAACGACACATGCTACAACGTTTTACAGAAAGGAAGAAAATAATTAATACTTATAGAAAAAAATTTATTACATTTACATCAATGATAATTATACTTACACTTGCTGTTGCTCACAGTCTGCGACAACAAACTTTTGACAGATTCGACAAAATTATCTTTCTTACTTTGGGCTGCAGCAACTATATTCGAATCCGGTCCATTGAGCTGAAGCGTTTTGCCAATCAGATCTCGTCCAGCACCGCGAGCTTTCTCCTCCTCGTAATCTAACTTCAAACGGTGAAGCTGATCCGTCAGTTCCTGTTTCTCATCAGATAATTTCTTTAGCTTCTTATCCAGAGATCCTTCTCCCGCGTCTTTAAGGATATCCGCAGCTTCTTTGGTAATTAGCGCAGGCTTCTGCTTTGGTTTGGGAGTACTTCCCGAAGCATTACTGCTGATACTTTCGTCCTCCTCCTCGTCGTTCGGCTTCTCCTCACCGACTAGCACCAAGTTGTTCTCGGCAATTAAACGATCTCGAACATCCAGTTGATATTTGGCAGCCTCCAAATCTCTTTGCAGTTTTTCGAAATCGCGTTTAAGCAACTCGTGTTCCTGCAGCCCATAAAAACTGCGTCAATGTAATTAAATTAAAATCATAACCACATTTCCGGAACACCGATGTCTGAACAATACAATCATTCGAAATACCGGTACCTAAACTTTCTCGTACTCAAATCAAGTCTCTGGTTTAAGTCAATAAAGCGTAAACCTTTCCTGAACAACACAGCCAAAAATTCGTAAAAGGCATTACATATGCCATAAACAAGTTCGTGCAAAAAAATCCTGTACATTCATTGTCAATATCGCAAGAGATCACAACAAATGCAATTTTACCGTGCACTTTTTCCGATGTTCCTTCACCAAACTAATGTGCTTCTCGTCTATCTCTTCCATATCATCCTTAATATTCTCCAGTTCAAATTTCAAACAGACTTTCTCATTGTCAAGTTGAGCATTATTCAGTGTGGCTTGTTTCAGCTTTTCCTGGACTTCATTATAACGATCCTGCAAAATCCGCATGAGCAGTTAAGATAACAGAATACAAACTGAAACAACGCATCCATGTGCACAAAACCACGATAACCCACCCTCAGATCTTTGTCAGCATCTGTCGTGGTATCACTACTGCCCCTCCGAGAGCCGTAAGAAGCAGTGTAGCGAACTCGACTGGAACTCGGAGGCGGCAAAGTGGATGGCATGGATGTTCGGTAAGACCGGGAGGATGAATCGGCGCCGTGATCGTCATCCATTTCGCGCTGCTGTTTTTCAATTTCCTTCATCCTAGCTGAGCGATATTCTGCACGAGTGGCTTTCATGGCTTGCAAGCGACTTTCCGCCTGTAATAAATCGGCTGGTAGGTATTGACAAATCAACAAAATTAAAAAATAATACTGCGGAATTTCCGAAATTTCGGATTCCGAAAAACCCTGATGCAGCACGACTGTTTCATTTTCACAAAGCAGATCGTACACACCAGCACCACAGCTGAGGAGAATGATCCGAGCAAACGATTCTGCCGCGTTGTGTAAAATAGCCAGTCCAGATATGCAATAAAGTCTATAATCAATTTATACTATAATCTACTTATACTTAAATGCAAGCTTCTTGTGCCGGTTATCAGATTAATCTCAAAAGAAAAATCAATATTTAAAAAATAATATGGTTATTCGAAATTTACCACAACATATAAAAATCCATCCCATCCTAATTTGCTAAACAATGTTTACCTTATTGTTAACAGCTCAAATTGCACGCACTTTTGAACATAATAGCTGCTTATTTGCATTACCGCTTAGCACACCAAACCGACATCGAAAAGAAAACACTCGCGCGACCAATACAATCGCCCGCTAGTTGAATCGAATACTTCTTCATTTTCTTTATGTAAACAAGACAATTCCATAAAAAAGACCCTTAAGTGCTGATAATCAGCAAAAATGGAGCCTGTTACCATTTTTTAACCTGGCGTAATATTGGATTGTTAATTTTTTCTACAATATTTTCTGTGATCAAGCGATTTTCGCAGCATCCGACTACACCAAGACTTAGTATACTGTCGTGTGAATCTAAACAACAGGCGCCTGAAACGGCGTAAATAATTGCTAGTTTCCAATTAGAGACTATTAATAGCAGAACTAACGAAATACGACTATCATGATGCCATCCCGAACACGAATACGTCGTACGATCCGTGCACACATAACACATTCAACACCGACGAGTGTAAACTGTAACCCATTTACGATTTCAGCCTACCTCTCGTGTAATCGACGAAAGGGCCTGGTCCTCGGCGGAATACCGCTGTCCCGGACGACGTCTGCCCGACATTGCCCCAATAAATTAACTGCAAAATAAATTTTTCATTAACGATAAGAAGGCAGGATTCAATTAACGATCACGGCTTCTCAAACCACCAAAACCTGGAATTTCGAGTTACGCTACAAGGAAAGTCTAATTTTAAAGCAATAAAACGAAACTTAGAAATCCAGTCATTACCTTTACGCCGCAGATTTCCACAGATATTCCAGACTGTTGGATAGAAAGACTGAATCATTCGATAAATTTCATAAGTAATCCTGGATAAGATAGCGTTCCCGTAAACTTGCGAAACGGATCATAAATGTGAACAGCAGCAGCTAGTGAGATTCCCACTGAGATTAGGGCATGTTCCGCTCGTTAGTATCTCGTACTCAGGCAAATACTCGTGTGAATGATTCGTCTTTCTGAAAACAATTCGTTCAACAGGGATTCTCGAATATAGGGAGATTATGGTAGTCGAAAAAATCCTGATTCCGACGAAAATCCAAAAGCAAATAACTTTTTAGCAAATACTAATCAGTACAATACGCGCGTATGCATACACAAACAGTACAACAGCCGAAATACCGTTTCTTATGATAAACCGCAGCAATATTAAAACCGGAAATGCTGTGCTGTAGTCGAAGTTCGACTGTACAAGTCGCAACTCACAAGCCACGGACGAGATATGCGGACTTGTGGTGAGCATGGAGCGCCCACGCAAAGCATGCGGCTTCATATCTGTACTTTACGAAGCACCACCATCTGTAATTTCATTCGATATTTTTTTCTCTGCAATGCAGATAGATAACTACGGTAATTATAGTAATATATTTGACCGTTATGTAGATATTTCTAAAAAAATTGCGTTTAACTCTAACATTAAGTGGGTTTAATAAGGTCTGTACTGCATTGCTTTTTTATGAACCGCCAGTGAAATGAGTGAATACAATCGATTATCTGCGCCTTTGTCAACGATTGCTTGTCTAGTAAGTATAGTGTCTACCGGTACAAATGGCACTTTGTACCGGTATATGCTATGCCTATGGACGCAGGAAAGATATCTTTTAAAACCTGAGTAAAAAAATTCTTATGTTATACTCATTCTCATATAATACATAAAACATTACACATCGAAGCTGGACTTCAATTATTTATATCTAAATCGCCAACTGATGGTTAAACCGTAAATGCGTCTACCATTATTTTTAGCCTAAAATATTTAATGCACGCAATGCGGTTTAACTGGGACAATATTGCACAATTGTATTCCCAGCGGTAAACGGCATTTTTATTATACTGATAAGCACTCGTTTCATTATTTTGTGATCCAAAGAGTACGTATACAGTCACGACAGCATATACGACTACACAACCGGCACTGTTGCAAATGTAAACTACTTGTAATACTGTAAGCACAAAAACTGCATTTCTGTATACCCAATTGCGGCAGGCATATTAATTTGATTACAGTTCTATGAACGTCAGTTATTAACGACTTAAGCAGCTAAGAACGTCTTGTCATCCACAATTGATTAAAATTCCAAACGATCTCCTACGATCTCGGTGAGAGTGTGTGATGCAGCTGTGCCCAAGTTTTACGGACCGAGTAACCTTTCGACGCACCTCTGCGGATCAGCTACGCGCGTTTGTATAATCCCGGTGGTCGATTCCGTTACGGGATGGATCGAGTGATGGTATGCGACCAAAAACCACGTTTACACTATTCATGACGAGAAAATGTGCGCATTGATCGGTAATGCATTGACCCATGGCAGAAGCCACTGCTCTGCATTTTTGTCTCTGCAATATGCATATATTATTGCATATTTAGTATCAACTATCGAATGCAGCCATCATCTATACCGCACTATCGATTTATCAAAATAATATTTCGGAATCGAAGCGGAAAGGCATTTTACTTTAATAGCTTGACAATACTGTTTGTGTGATTGGATAACCCGCTCAGGATTGTTGTCAATAATGTCCCAAGGTTTAGCGGCTACCAGGTTTACCGAAAACGCGAAATTCAAACCCGGGCGCGGTGCTCGCATGTCACTTGATGTTGATTATGAACTCAGTCAGGAGAAGGGATGTTTGACTTTCATAATTGCAAATGCTGGAGGCATATGCACAAATTATTGCGTCCACCGGAAGTTGCACTATTTTTTTCGTTTTTTTTATTACGAACTCCGTGGGCTATGACAGCAGATGTGATATTAATTAGTGTGCATATTGGTAATAATCCTCTGTATGGATACTTTGCTGCGGCACCTGTCTACAATGTTGCGGTTAAACACATCAAGCAAATATATCCAACAACGTTAAGCAGTCTGCGGCACATACCGTTATTCTTACCTGGATATGACCTTTGCGCCGATGGTGGTGATCGTATGAATGAATTTGTTACGGCTTTTTATTTTACTCATCCGGAAATATTTAAAAACAAAAGCGTATATCCAGTTTTCGGAAGCCCAGGTAAACCGTCCAGTTTTTCAAGTACTAGAGCGGAATAACAACTTTCCTCAAACACTTATTTATAACCTATAGTTTTAAGGGGCATTTTAGTTTCTCGCCAAGTGCATGACAAACCAATTGCATATTATTACACGCCGCCGAGCATTAAAAATAATGTTATGCTTTGCAATCGACTAGTACTCTGAATTTTTTGCTGAAAGCGGTTCTGTAATTTTTAGAATGCACAAATCAGGCTTTGGCACTGGCTGACTTGTCACGAGGTGAGACTTGTAATTTAGATCTAGAATTAGATCTAGCATGTAAAATTTTCTTGTACAGCTCGCAATTTTAATACTGTTTCTTAATGAAACATATTGGCAGGGATTTTACGTTTTGGTGATTTTACTCACGGCATTAAAACGTTTGCCCACATCAGTTTGTTTTAATTTTATAAAGGCACTACACATTTAACAAAGATATAATTCCTAAATGAAGCTTTTGATACTACATTTTTGCATTCCTTTTATGCATCCTCACGCTTCTAACTTTTATACAGAGTTCGATCTGCCGCTTTTCACAAGGTAAGGGAGGCTATAATTTACCGTTGTATTGGACATATTGCATTGACGTCATCCCTATTTTGAAAGTTTCATATTTGGTAAGATGACTAAAATATTTTTGGTCGACGAACACTAATTTCACCAGCTATCTATTCCTCGAATATTGAAATTTCTTTGTAAAAGCGGTTTATAATCGCACCACTGGGTCATAACCTGCAACCATTTTGACATTTAGTGTTGCCGGTGATTCACGTTTGACCAACCGCAAACGTTATCCCACAACTTCCGCAATAGCACCTCTTGCCGGTCCTGATGTGTTAGGCTGTGTTGACGCCCTGTTGAAGCGCTTCAACTGGAAAACGTTAGGCTTAATCTGTGATAGTATGAGCCATCTTCCGGGTCTTGCAAATTTCTTTTACGCCCGGTGTGTGGATTTACGGAAGTTTCTTACAAATCAAAAATACAACTGGTACAATAAAGAATACGACTCAGCAAAGGAGCGAGATTTTCATAGTTATCTGGCCTTCCTGAAAGATTCTGTTCGAGGTGACTACATAGTGGGAAAATGCTTGTCCAAGTAGGAAACGGCTAATTTAACTAACGTTATTTCACAAATTTTGCATTTTTCGCAGTGTTCCTTATATTGACCATTCCGGAATACCTTTGGGAGTTTATGGTAAGTTAAAATACTTCTATCGCAAGTCATTGCATGTATGCAGCTACCAAATTACCTTCTAACTGCATTTGATAAAACTTTCCATCACATTTTATATTTTTTTCGTCCAAGCAAATCCATAATGACAGGGAATTACAGGACTCAGTAGCTTATCATTAACGATTTTAAAATATGTCTGCGTGTAATGTACTATGCTCTCGCTTTTCCAGGTTACCGCTTATTCGATGGGTCTGACGAATGGAGAATACGTAAGCACGAAATAAAATATAATTATAGTAGTACTACTCTAGTTGCCTAGAATTCAACTAAAAAAATTTTGCAGCATCATAATGCGTTAACATGCAGAGTCAAAATATTTGATCCCGTTTTTCAAAGTTTTGCGTTTTGAAGGAGATACCTTCCGTACTTCAGTGCTCATATATCTGTACTGTATGACATATTTTATAAAGCAGTATGATGCAGCTGCGTATTAATACTGGCAATAACAGATAGCAGCGGAAGTCAGTTCAATCCACTTTGAAAATATATTCTTTTAACATTACCAGCTAAAGTGGAGTAAGGGGGAATGGCATTGTTGATGACACTTTAGGATCCAAATCTAGCACGTGCTCAAGTCCCTATCATAATCAAACAGCATATAATCCTTTTCGATTTCACTAAATTTGATGACAGCGGAAAAAATACATTGCAGGTATTCATCGCTATACAGCCCACAAAACGACCCGGCATTGATACTGTTTCATGGAGCGCCGGAACAAACAATGACCTGGTAAAAAATGCAAACGATCTATTAAAACGACGTATACCGCAAAATAACAACTGTTGTTAACTTATTGCGTATAACAATTATTTGTCCGTCTGTATGGGTTTATAATAGTCGACCAAATTCCATAACTACGGAATACTATGATTATCGATAATATGATGTCGACTTTGGGTAAAATTCAGTTTTAGTGATCGTGCTCATTAATTTATGCGCTGCGTGATATTTTTGATTTGACAAAGTGAATTTTATTCGGTAATACACAGACCTGAAAATCGTAAGTAAAAAGTACGGCTCGCAAAATCATTTACCGGTTTATACCGATCACTGAGGGTATTTTTAGGGTGCAATGGAGGCTTATAAGACGCTGATTGTCGTAACTGGTGTTGTCCCCAATTGGAACACAATAATTAACCTAACGTCGGAAATATCTACTACAGCACAGAACTTGTTCAACTATTCATATCCGCCTAAAGATAAGGTAAGAGCTCTCATAAATGCAATTCGAGGACCAAAAACTGAAAATTAATAACGTAGCACTTGCTAGCTTTTTTACTCCCATCATAATCAAGCTACTTGATCTAACGTGCACGGTAAAAATTTTCCTCGAATCACTGCAGCAGAATTTTAAAGACTTTTTTAAAGTGGAGCAGTTCCTCATAAACGATAGCACTAGTTTTATTGCTGAATAAAGGTAACGCTAAATAAGGGATACAAATCATAAAATCGCATTTTCGGTGGAATAAAAAATCTGTACCAGTAATAACCTGCACAAACCGCACCATGAATTTTGCTTAGTCGATGCTTCTCTAGTAAATTTTTGCGGATTACAGGAAAATGACATGCAAATTGGAATTTACGAATCGACACGGATGATGGCTCAGGTACAAAAACATGAATGATTTGAGTTTCCCCGCACAAGGTCAAAATGTGCACTACATTAATTAAAGTAGCAAACGATTTATGTTTATAAAAATCTAACGAATTCACTTCGCCCGCCAAGTGCAAATCTTTGCATACTCTAGAAAAAGTGGAATTTTTATAGCAACCAAATTAAGAAATCTACAAATGGGCAAGTAGCAAAAAATATCGTTATGGAATTGCAGGTATTCGACGAAAACTATCCTGCAGTACTGGGAATGCCGAAAGCCAAATTCATACAAAAGTTTTTCAATCGCTCATTTAATTTTGCTGCCCGAAATTTTTCACTGGATGCTGTGGGTTCGAAAATAAATGATGTTCCTGTTCTGAGACTGAATTTGCTGACAAAAATAATGGAGGTGCGTTAGAAATATCTTGTACCCTATTAGCAATTTAAACCGCGACAAAGCTCCATTAATACTTCAAAACATACGAAATATGTGCTATTGTTTCGTAGCCGGCCATGGTGTTCGATACTGTGGCAATGAAATTTTATGGTGTCAAAAACGAACTGTGGTACTGGGTCGGCAGAAACACTTCTCCTCCCGACAAGCCTTTATGCGGTTTTCGCGGAAACGAATGCGACAACAGTAAGCAAGCAGGATCCCACTTACGTCTGGATGATAGGGTGTTTGTCGTCATTCGTACGCTGACCGGTGCTCAAACGAATGCTGCCATCCTTCTAGGTTCGCCCTTAATGCTTGGAGCCATTGCCGGTGGAGTTGCAGCAGGGGTTATTATTTCACTGACTTTGGGAATTGTTTGGTAATTGTCAAATTGTCCTGTTTTACATTTTGCTCAGTGATATGCAGATATATGCTATGCGAATAAGTGTGACTTAACATTTGTATATGGCCATACCGGTATACACGCCCGCCACTATTATTTTAAAGCGGGTATATGGTAACCTTTGGGCTGCAGTTACATACGTTACTGCGGACACGACGATCACATGCGCTGGCTGCTGGATCCATCAGTTGTGACCCTTCAGACTAATGCACTTACGGTTGAGGACTCTCCCTGCAAGATGTATCTGGGCCGGAAGGGATTTTTAGGCACCCACGAGATCTACGCTCTTCCAATTAAGCCGACTACTACTGTCGATGGCGAAGCAATCAAGAAAAACAAGAGACTTCGTAGACTACTTCATGAGGTGGAGTTTCACTTTAAAATTAAACGAAATCAGAATCGCTTGACGTGCATGCTGTTTTCACTATAGCTACACCATCTTCAACATGCGAATATTTCTCACTTTTTCGGAATTGTTTGTCCTGTTAAGAGCAACGAAATTCTCTTAATATCCAGTGGAGGCGGTAAAGGAAGTCTACGGTTGTTGTTGGATGGACAGATGCAGATGCTATCGGATGAAAGAGTCCTGTCATCCGTTTTAAATGATTTGCTTGAAGTGCGCCCTGCTACTGTATAATTTTTTCTGCAGGACAGATACACGTATCTGCAAAACATTTTTTCTTGTAGGGCATGGATTACCTGCATGGAAAACATCACGGTCATCATGGAAACATTACCAGCCTCAACTGCATTATCGATTCCAGATATATTTTGAAACTATCCCACATAAATCACTTGAGACTTTATCATGACCTTTATGCAACGAGACCAATAATAAATTGGTCTTCAGCTGATTATCGGACTATTGACATGTTATGGAAAGCGCCGGAAATCCTTGTTGTACGAAATAATATCGAAGCATTTCTGAGGAAATGCTCCACTAAAGAATGTGACGTATATGCATTTGGAGTTATTTTCTTGGAAGTAATAACAAAATTCGTGCCTTATAATGTGATTTTTGACTCGGAAAAATCAGTGGAAGGTAAAACAAACACTAATTTTATCCGCACTGGAAACTAATTTAGGTTTACTGTATTAAGCTGCTGTCTTTGTAGCAATTTTGCAATATCCAAACCCATCTGAATAATCAAAGTTCATAATTCTGAATTCTGTATTATTACAGCTGCGCTACAAATAGCCGCTCAAACTGGTTCGCATACCAAAGTTATTCCCATTCCGTTTGATCAACTTCCGGAGAATGCTGTGTACTTAGTCAACAAGTGCTTTTTACCGCCGCATAAGCGACCAACAGTCAAAACGCTCAAAAAAGATCTCCAAAAATATCTTCCGAAATCACACGACCTAATAAGGTATTTAAGCAAGAAACTACAAGAGTATTCTGAAGAATTAGAAGTGCTGGTATTGGAAAAAACGCGGGAACTTGAGATCCAGCGGTTAAAAGTGGAAGATATACTCAGCGAAATTTTGCCCAGGTAATTTATTGGGGTGCCATATCACTGGTGTGAAAATTTACAGAATAAATACGTTTCTAGCATCGTGATCCAAAAATTACGCAGCAAGGAAACTATTTCGCCGGAGCTGTACAAATGTGTGACCATCATGTTCAGCGACGTCCCGGCATTTTCTGATATGGTACAACGGCGTCCACCCAGTGATTCCATATCGTTTCTGACACTGCTGTATTCCATTTTCGACGAGATTCACGGCAACTTTGACGTGTACAAAGTGGAGACCGTGAAGGACATCCATCTTGTAATATCAAGAGAGTGACCTTTTCGGAATTGTGTTCACATTTGATTTACATAAAACTTTGGTACATTAGTGGCGTTGTTGCAGGTTGTTAGTGGTCTGCCCCAGCGCAATGGTGATACGCATGTCTTCCACATATGTGATTTCTCGTTGGCGTTCCTACATTCCGTTAAACGAACTAACAGCATCGCGACATCCCAATTCGACACCACATTGCGTGTAGGAATTAATTCAGGTACTGCACATAAAACAAAAGAACTAGTACTGCGTAGTATGCGCTGTTTAGAGACCGCAATATAAAATGCAGTCCATATAAATCGCTGCAGTTACTGGACTTCCGGTGTATCTTTACATGCTTCTGAATACCGTGTATTAACCATATCATAATTTTTTGTTAACTTAGGCCCGTGTGCAGCGGGAGTTATTGGCCTAACCTTGCCAAGATATTGCCTGTAAGTGAAAACTGCGCAGTAATTTATTGTACATATTTACAAAATACGTGCATTTTTTGAAAAGTTAATCCGTACTGTTTATTGTTTATCATTTATAACAGTAGGCGGCAGATACTGTCGGTTCTACATGCATATTGCAGCCAATGAGTAATGTTTTATAATTTCTCAGTTTTAAATCGGTTTAGCTCTCCAGGTAGAGTATAAGTGCTAAATTGCTTCGCTGCTGATCTGCGAAGATCCATAATTAATGACTTTTGTCAATCAGCATTAATTTATCCTTTAAGACGATAATTTTATTGTTCTCAGATTCGGGGACACGCTTAATACCGCTAGCAGAATGGAAAGCACTGGAGAAGGTGAGAACGATCTCATACATTCACTCGACTAAAGCATTTCGGTAGTTGTTGGTGTGTGACTCGTTGTTTTAATCACAGTGACCCTTGATAAAAAACGTTATTTTGCAGCTGGTAAAATCCAGATCAGCCAGTTTACACGGGAACTTATTGGAGACTATTCTCCATATAGCATAACCCTGAGAGGGTTTGTGGAAGTAAAGGTGCGCGCGCAGTCACCACAAACAATTGAATGCACAATTATCGATTGTATATCGTGTATTTTATAACTGAAAGAAGCAATTCCTACAATTTCTTCAGATAGTGTGATACCTTTAGCTTTTTTTAGTAATATGTAGTTCAAATTAATTTTTAACTTCACTTTTAGGGTAAAGGCTCGATGCGCACATACTGGCTATCAAATTCTGATACGAACTGACAACAGACCCGAAGGAGCCAGTTACAACCTTAAAAAATTCTTAATGCCGGAGGAATTTTTTCTACTAGCGCATCTTCCGTTCTGTAAGAGATGCGGCGTGCTGTTGGTGTTTTATTTTCTTGAATAACAATTTAAATGCCAAGCATATTTGTATGGAGATGTGCATATCAGCGTGCAAGAAAGTACTCTTTTGAGTTATGAATCAACTGCAGTGGCTAACGTGCAGCATGCTTCCTGACACATCAACAGAATGCAGCATTCAGCATTGTACGAGCGTTTTTAAAGTAGAAAAAATCATGCAGTAAATTTGATGCCAGTGGATACAACATAGTAGAATATCGTTAAGTACACACTAGAATTACGCCATATCAATAGCCTTGCTACAAACTGAACAGACAAAATAAAGATCAGGTTAATTATACATCGCTGACTTATTAATTATATTTGCCATATCATATATCACTTAATACCTTTGTAATTATATCATTACATGCTCGCTGTTTGAGGATTCTGGTTTAGGTATATGGAAGCTGTATACTGTACTTGTCGTTACTTAATTACATGCGAGTGCAAAGGGTACTAGACACTGTTAAACTTTTTTTCAGCTTTTAGGACTCGTACAATAGCTATAATGGTAAGCAGCTGGCGTATAAGCACGGCATACCATTTATACTAGCATAGCGCATTCTTATTCTTGTACTACGTTATAGTGTGTGTATTATGCCATGGTGCACGCATGTATTCGCTGTCAATAAGCGATTGTTCCCGAAGTTGTTGTGAAAATTTTTGTGAAGAGATAATAAAATTTGCAAATCCGTAAAAGTACATTTAAAATCATTTTCCGCTGGTGTACAAGCAATACCATGCATAAATGCTGTTGCAATGGGCTAACATAAATACGTAATTGTTCTGAAGCGCAATAAATTAAGCATATCCCACTCGAGCAATGAAATTTGTTTTCATATTTTAAAATCAATATTTTACCATACAGCCCAGAAAGCGTGGAAGCATTTACGATAATTATCCCTTGGTCGTACAGAGTACAATGGAATTTGCGTTACGCACGACACATGAAAATGATCCTATGGAACAACCGCCCAGGTCAAGATCATTGTATCATTTCGCTGGAACTACAATCCTTCGCAAGTCATCAATACCGAAATAAAATTGCTCAACATCGTTTTGGAGGATTTTTTTGCACTACAGAGTACATACAGTCTGACGTACCTTCAAACTGCCATTTAAACGCAAAAAATATCTTTAGATTCCATGCCCTCCATCAGGACTTACGTACTGCCCTCCATCAGGACTATTTCTTGCACTTTTGGGCGAAAAATTGTGCAATAAGGTGTTCAGGTTATAAAGAACATAGCCGTACTTTGCGATTGCTGCATCTAGTTTCACTTACAATAAACAGACATGAGCACATATCTCGCATTTTATCAATTCGTATCAAGGGTCACTAAATTTCCGAAAGGCCTTGGGAAGGGGATAGTACTGCATTATACGAGTGCTGTATAAATAGAGCATTTTTTCCTGGAACAGATTCTCTGATCTTCCAAGCTACTTCCGATTATGGTGGAGAAACTGGAAACCATAACGCCTGCTGCACTAATATTATTCCTGCGCCTGAGCCGTTACGGCTAGTTCACGCTTTGCTGAATAATAAAAGCCTTGCACATTTTATTTGGCATTCCTTCGTTATTAATTTGCTATTTGACATCGAAGTGTTAAGCACCGATTTAAGCAACTGCCGAAAGCCGAGGATGCGCCGTGGCTGTTAGTAATTATTTTATTCCGTAATATAAAGAGTAGAAGTACAGTATGTGTATGACTGCAGTTATATGCAGATGTCCCATACTAGAATATCCTACACAGGCCGTCAGTGCTGTACGTTCACTACGTTGTGCATTAGTTATTGTACGCGCGTGCTTTAGAAGATTTTGCTATTCGGAGTTTGTGTACGATCCTGTTAACTCAAACAAAACCGCCGACGTATCCGATGTGCTCCTTCCTACTCTCCCGCTTGCCGCAAGTAACCGGAAGCGCTGTGCAGATGCCGGTATAATAATGCAGGTATATGCACAGAGTACATGCACAGAGACGTCAGCACATTTAAAACCCAACAAAGCAGTTTATCGCTGCAGGTATATGGGAATTCGAGCAGTTATTTTGATAATTGAGATCACTTTGGGAATTGCACGGCACATTATTCCAGAAAAACCATCCGACCAGTCCGTGATTCTATTGAGACATCCGGCATTTGCTGTAGCATTTTTAGCAGACAGTAAATATTTTTTCTCAGCATTTAAACGATCGGGACTCCATGCATGCCTGGCACGACCTACGTTTAATACACATATTAGGCGTCTCATTATTGTTAATATTTTGCTGCTTCAAATTACTGGATTCCCAGCTAATGAATGTCACTTTAATTACCATACATATTGGTTCGAATCCACTGTACGGATATAATCAGTCTGCTCCCGTTTTTTCGGTTGCGGTTGATCATATCAAAGCCCTGTATCCGAATAGTTTGAGCAATATGCGGCATGTGCCGTTTTTCTTACGTGGCCATGACCTTTGCCGGGAAGGGGGAGACTTCACACCAGGTAAGAATAAATTTAGAAATTATATCCGTATCTGGAAATTGGATACGAGAATGAATTCAGTTCCGGAAAATAATTTCGTCACATATAAGGTAAACTTGATTAGATTGCAAATGGAAACGATGCAAAACACCATGATAGAAGTACATGCTGTTGCTTAATATGGTTTTCGTTGAAATAAACAGTTATTAAAGTCTAAACAAAATCGACCTACCTAAATTCATTATCTTGCAAAACCAAATCTGTTTCAGAATTCATCGCCGGAGTCTATTATAACAACACAGAAATTTTCGATAACACAACTCAATTTCCAGTGCTAGCCCACGCCGGTACGCAGAATATATTTAGTGAATATTTCATGTTTTTATTGCAGCGCTCAAAGAAACCCACTGTTGCATGCACAATTTTTAATACCCTTCTGATCATGAGTGTATATTGTGGCTGAAGTCGAAATTGTTATTGTAGTTATCATACCCGCTTTTGTATCTATTTTGACCGTATAGTCTACACATATTCAATAGAGCACGTGAACGATTTATGGGCATAATTACGATTAAATGCGTTAACATCTTGCAGATTGCTCAGATCAAAGCATGCCCCTTGCAGATCTAGCACGAGGTAAGATTTACTTTTTATTCATCGCTAATATTGACATAATTTGCGAACAAGCCTTTGTGGCTCCTGGGAATCTTTAGAGTGTCTGACATTTTTTACCACATTGTTGATTTTCCATGTATCAGGAGGCTATGCAAACAGTCTACAAAATTATTGCGGACTGCAGAGCTTCTGCTACGTACTCCTTAAAATGTACCCTTTTATATATACATCCATATGTAAAAACATAGATGTATTGAGAAATCGTAGAACGACAGAACTTTTGAATGGCAACGTTTTATTATAACTAGAACCAGTTTTTATGTTGCAGAATGGAATTTACCCACTTTTTACAAGGTAAATATCCGGTACATGTTCCTATACCGTGGTATTAATGTCTGAACAAGTGTAATACCGATGGGATTACATAAAGTCCGTACACTTTTGCTATTTAAATATAGTGTTGCCGGGGACACTCGACTGGTGAACAAAAACCGCTACAGTACCACTTCCGCTATTGCTTCGCTGTCTGGACCTGACGTTATTACGACAATATATAAACTTTTCGAGAGATTTCGATGGCGTACGATAACCTTGATCTGCGACGAGCTGAAACAGTCACCCGGCCTATCCAATTTCTTCGTCATACAGTGCGGGGATGCCAGGAGAATGCTGGCCGACCGTGGTTACACGTGGTACTTTAGACAAATTAACACCGCCGAGGAACAACGGTTCCATGACTATCTGACAGAATTTAAGGACAGATGTCGAGGTAGGAACTCATCAATTATTCCTACGCGCTTTTGTGCAAACTCCCCATACCGGATAACATGTCAGAAAATTTTATATGTGTTATGCATTCGGAATGACATAAAAGACAATCGGTGTCAATATTTCATAGAAGCATAAGTCAGGTCCTTTTCGATCTCAGAATGCACGAACCGTTAAATTAGTAAATCCTACTCGGATAAACAACCGGAAGGTCAAAGATGTTGTGTGCTACAAAACGCAGCTATCGGCCACTTTCCAGAAATACGTCTTATACAATTAGTGCGAAATATCTTCTGTGCAAAGCACATATTGATACTGAATACATATCGTATGCAGGCAATGACCAAAAGGAATACATATCCAGAAATAGCAAGTCTGTTTTCATTACAGTGTTTATTTTCCTTACTTTACCAACGTTTCTCCGCAAAATAATGGTAAGTGTCTTTCTGCAATGATTCTTACCATGCACTTAGTCAAATACCTACAAAATGCCGCCTTATACCTGTTTGGAATATTTTCTCAGCTTGCAGCAAGCGAACTAGGATTAACGCAAGGAGACTATGTAAGTTGTGACAAACGGTACAAGTACAAACGGTCTACTTCTCGTGCAGAGTAAAGTCCATTAACGAAGGGTAATTGCGCCACGTAACGTTTCTTTTTTCTACTATGATGGTCCGCCATGAAGGGTATAACAGCTAATTTAATGAAGATGCTCTATGTGTTTTTACATCAAATCGATCCATACAGTCAGCGCTATTGCATTAAGTCGCTCGAAGTAGTTTGTGCTCGAATTTAAAACCAACTATGCTGACAACGACGTTCACACTCGACGCACCGTCGCACCTACTGCAATCCTAGCTACATCATCCGTATATTCGTTTACCTTCTCTGAGTCCTTGACGCGAAAATTAAAGGTTCACTTAAACATGACCGCCTGTTTGAGTTGATATATATGTAGGTATTCGTTACACTTCAGCCCACCACGAGACCAGGCATTTCTCCAATTACCTGGATGACTGCTCCGGATGGCAATCGTAGCTATAATAATATCAGCCGCGAAGATGAGGTACTGTATTTCCCATGCCAGCAATATAGGCCGGATCGCTGCAACACATTATATTTCGGCAGCACTGCACTGTCATCCAGGCCGCTTCATTTCCTTTTTTAATGTTTCTAGATCATATTCCGGGCTTATCAAAACCTAATTGTCTTGACCGGTGTTAATCCTGACTGGAACGCAATAACCAACTTAACCGATGAAATTGCCAGTAAAAAAAGGAAGCTCTTTGATCAGTATACGCCGGCAGGGGACGAGGTGCGACACATGGCATGCAATACTGCTATTGCTCATTATTTAGCATTTTCGGAACATTCTTCTCTTGCACATAAATAATATTTAACTTTCCGTGGTGCTAAGGCAATTTCATTTCTGACCTTTTGTGCCCCATTATATTTCTGTGTATTTAGCGGAACGAACTCCAGATATGTATATACGAGTCGACAATGATGTTCGCACAGGTAAATGCGAGACTCCAGCAACGACTACATACGTAACTCGGTCAAATAAATTAATGTGTTGCGTATATGTTAAATTTCTGTTGTATTCATAATAATTGACAATCTGTATCATGCATATATTATTTATAATGTTGTAATTATTTATTAGTGGTAGAAGTACATACTTACAAGTGGGTATATACTTCCAGATTTATAACGAAAATTATCCTCAAGACCTGACCATGGCTAAACCGGAGTTCATATCCAAAACCTTCAACCGGACATTCAATTTCGCAGCAAGGAATTTTTCTACGGATAAAAACGGTGCCATGATAAACTACATTGTTGTCCTTCGCTTGGACCCCGTTAGCAAACTTTTCATGGTAGGTTGTGCTTAGCACCTTTATTGTATGTTGTGCTTTATGTATATCACATATTTTTTATAACATCAGTATTTGAATCTTTGGATATAAACGCAATCATAGAATGTATACTTCTACGCAATTTTTTTGTTATCGGCAGACAGCAATGATATATAATCCGATGGTAGAGGCGTTCACAAATGTGAACTATTCCTTGTGGTACTGGGTCAATCGAAATGATACGCCTCCAGACAAACCGCCTTGTGGATTTGCCCATAATGAATGCTCATACACCGAAGCAGGTAATTTACAATCTATAGTGACCTATACAGGTTAAGGCTTACCTCTGCGAGATATTTTGTTTTTAATTTAAAATTTACCATATCAACTGGTTACAGAATCGGCCATGACCAAAGGTGTTGCGGCAGCATTCGCTTTGGCAGTGGTAACGATTGGAACCGCGGGCGTCATCTTGTACGAGTTTTAAATAAAAACATTTAAGCTTTAAACAAAGACATTTTTTTATATCCATATTACATATTTAGATTGATAAAACGTCAAAGAGATTTAGCCGATTTATGGTGGTACATTGAGCCGGGCGCTTTGACATATCCTGCTAACAAAGCCCACATCCAAAGGATAGAATCGTTTACGGCTGTGGAAGACGGAATTGTTGGCCTTAGGATGCATTATCGTTATCAAAACGTTTATGCGACGATACTGTCTATGAACAATGGACAGGGCATTCCGCTATCCCGGCATCGGAAGTTACTTGCGTATTTGTACAATGTAAGCGCCAGCGTTGACCTTTATGAGTAAGACATGAATGCAACGATTACGGAAAGAGAAATATTTATAGTTACGTCACATCGCACACGAAAACATTGCTCCACTTGTCGGCATTTCCCAAATTGAACACACGGTAATACTGGTAAGCGAATATGGCTCAAAGGGCACTTTACGCCATCTGCTGAGTATGGGAGAATTCAGGATGGATCCTAAATTGCACTGTTCACTGTGTTGGGATTTATTTGAGGTACGTGAGCGGCGAATGTACTTTTCCGAGGTTCGTGTCCAGTATAAGATTCTTTTGATTCATTAATTTCAGGGTGTGGAATATTTGCAGAAAACAGTATTCGGCGGTCACGGAAATCTAAGCAGTTTTTTATGTTCAGTTAACTCAAGATTTTCACTTAAAATTTGCCAAACCGGTTATGATAAAATTTACGAAATTCTTAATGCTGTCAAAGAAGTCCATGACGCTGGGCATCTGGAAGCTGTACAGAGTTTATGGAAGCCTGTCGAATTTATTCGGTTGAAAGGTCAAAGTGCCTACTTTCGCCAAACGCTCAAAGATATAAGGGATACTGATATCTTCGCTATGGCGATGATAATTTATGAAATTATCACGCACAAGCTGCCGCATAACATCGAAGATTTTTCTTTCGATGTTGTAAAAGGTAACCACATATTCGACAACTGTTTTTTTTAAGCAGCGGGTTAACGTTGATGATGTATAAAGTATTGTCTTCATTACAGTAACTTCAGCCAAAGTAATTTACGAAGGAAATTTTCGTATCACGGAAGAGGAGTTGTTGGTTGCGTTCCCCTTGCGGCACTTACTGAATTCGTGCTTTTCGAGTCTTACTGAAAATCGTCCAAACACCAAAGTTTTTCGTGCTAAACTACAGAAAATCATGATCAAGCCAAAACCGTATTTTGAACAAATTGCTCGGGATCTGGAGTCCCATTCCAGGCGACTGGAGGAAGCGGTCAGGGACAGGACTCTGGAACTTTTGGATGAAATAGAAAAAGCTGATTTGCTTCTGCAGGAATTACTCCCACTGTACGTACCGGCTATAATATATTGTACTTGTGTATATAGTCGATCAGCTTAGGATCTCTACCTGTACGTTAGTGAATCTTTCTAAGTACCGTACAAATACTTATCATTAATGCAGGTGGTTGTCCTAATTTTATTTATCACAATTTTATTTTCCTATAAAGCATTAAAGTTTCAGAAATTCTTTTAATTTATTGCAGACCACTCGTAAAACAACTTCGCAACAAGGAATTAGTTGCACCGGAATATTATGATGGCGTGACAGTATTATTTAGTGATCTACCGGAATTCGCACAAGTCGGCTTGCAGTGTACACCCATGGAAGTTATAGGTTTTCTCAACACAATTTACTCAACGTTCGACGAGGTCATACCACAGTTTGATGTGTACAAACTGGAAACTATAAACGATAGTTATGTTGTAAGCAAAATAATTTGCATAAGTATTTCATAAGTAGTAAAAATGCGACAACATTTAAACTACGAAGACAGGCTTAGTAGTGCAAGTGCTGTTCTGCATGTTCTATCGTTATAAGACACCTTTTGTTGTGACAGATTACAAGTGGAGCACCGGTCCGCAATGGATCCGAGCATGCCGTTGTGATATGCAATCTGGCTCTGGAACTCATCAAAACATCGAGGAAAATACACAGTCCTCTGGATGCGGACCGCCCGGTGGAAAGTCGCATCGGCGTAAACACGGGTCAGTGGCACGCCCATGTGTCCTTTATCCTTTGTGTGGCTGAAATAATTGCTACTTTGTAGTACTGTTTGTCTGCAGGTCCAGTAGTGGCTGGAATCGTTGGGAAGAAAATGCCGCACTACTGCTTGTACGCATTTGCTCATCTATGAAACCTAACTATTATTTTTTTGTACTAGTATAGTAATGACTTTTAATCTATGCAGGTTTGGGGATACTATCAACATATGCAGTAGAATGGGAAGTCTCGGAGAAGGTAAAAAAATCGAGCACGTCTTGAAGTTTTTAGTATTACTGTAATTTGCAATGATATGTGCGGCTTGCGCACCACTCCACCACTTATACGAGTATACAAACAGTAGAGTACAATAGATGCATAAGCGGTGACAGGTAACTCGTTACAATTTGAATGTTACTACACATTGTGTCTATCCTTATAAATGTTTTGCAGAAGGAAAGATTCACCTCAGCGAAACAACTAGTGCTATGATAATGCATCGAAAGGATTTTTTTGTGATACCACGAGGAGAAATATATGTCAAGGTTCGATTTATTGTTCTTTATCTATTGCTGCTTTGTTGGATGTAGACGCTTTCGTTGGGTATTCATAGGCCTTGTTTTTGCAGGGTAAAGGAGTGATGAACACGTTCTGGCTGACGAAATAATTAGTTCGATTTATGTTTTTTCGCCTTTAATATACGATGTGCGCCTGTTTCAGTTGCCTCGCAAAATGTGTTCTGATAAAATTACGCATTTTTCTCCTAAGCGCCGTGAAAAATTTTTTGTGCTCACAATCAGCGAAGTTTTTCATTGCCGCAATTCTTTGCACACTTAACATAAACCGATGGCTACTGGCTGCAATATGTGAATATAAGGACTAGCTGGACATCTCATTTGCTCGCGCAATAACATAGTTTTAAATTCAAACACAGTAGCTGTATTAGATTAGTGCAAAAATATAATTTGTAGATGCGATTCATTCAGTTTCAGAACGTGTGGCATGCATAGTATTATGAATATCCACAAAGCACAAAAACAAGTATTAAGTCATTCTAGGTCTATAACAATTACGCAAAAATCCCATATAATCATGACTCAATTACCATATGTACGGTAATAAACATTATAAGCATAAAAGCGTTAAGCCAATCGATTTGCAGCCATTTGTACGGCACGAAAAAACCGCAGATTCACGATAAATTGGAAACTAAAGGCACTGTAGGAAATACTACATAGTAACAGTTCTTCTTTGTGGTAAGGTTTCAAAAGTTAAATTTAGTATTTTCTCAGTTTTGACTTGATGTAATTATTTTCCGGAGCGAGTGCGTGTTTTGAGGTTTTAATTCTGAAAGAGCAAAGCAAGGCTGCGTGCATTAACGAAATCATACTTTCTCGATAGCTATAGCGGGCAGTGTATTTAAGACGTAGCGGCTAGCGTTAAGTATACGAGTATCTTGGTAATTCCGTCTTGTCTATTAGATCTGGACAACTGATGCTGGAACCATGTTTGGTTCCGACGACGTCAAGTAAGCTTACAATCAGAAGCTTGTATCCGATATTATCCTCTAAAATGCACCATAGTTTTAATTAATGCATGAAAAATGCACTGGTGCATATGTGGCTGCACGCATCAGGTGTCTGTTGTTCGGGATAGACGACATTAGAATCTGCTTATTATATGTTGGCAGCCTCGGGATGATCATATAGACTTCCGATTTCCGTTAAGCGGCATATTTGATATGAAGCGTATTATTGTTATCATTGCATGCTCCCCACTTCAGTATCAAGTTTCATTAGCCTATGTACGTGGTACCCACCGATAAACTTTTCTGGTACATGCACATTATTTGCTATGACAGTTCCCGTGAGAATTAAAATCTGACGGCAGCGATGGTTACTCCCTTTTGGTTATTAGACCGTACTTGTCGTTCCAGCTGCAACTACAGTACCTGTATTGTTAACCACATTCTTATATTATCGAACTCAAAAGATGCTCACGTTGAGCGTGTTGGTCATGTATAGTGGATATTATCAAGATGCTGTTTATTGTAATCCGTTTAATATTTTTCGGTGTTTGTGGAGTGCAAGGGATAATTAAGAACGTGGCCTTAGTATCGGTTCATGTCGGCAACAATCCCATATACGGTTATTTTTTGGCTCGACCTGCTTATGAAGTTGCCGTTAGACATATCAAAAAGCAGTATCCGCTATCTTTGGGGAATATGCAATACTTTCCAGTGGTCAAAGAAGGCTACGATCTGTGTGCCGAAGGTGGAGACCATGTGCCTGAAGCTTTCTTGGATTTTTATTATAATCGCTCGGATATATTTAAATCCGATGATGTCTATCCTGTCTTAGCTAGCCCTGGTATGCATACAGTACAGAACTCGTACAATCACGCTCAGCTAACATTTCTTTAAAACTTGATTTAACCGTATTCGTCTACAAAATATTGTTCTGCTGTATACAACAAGTATTGGATTTCTAAAAGCATATAAGCATTACTTTATAAGAGACCGGCTCATTATCAGATACGTGAACTATGAAACACTACTTGCACTAGTTATATTCCTGTTTCTGAAAATTATAAGATTTAAAGCTAACATTACGATTAATTAATTAATATTATTGAAGCATACACGAACCCAACCTTTATAATTTGCAGTTCACGGATTATGTAGTAATGTGATTGAGTGATTCAATAAATTTTGTGTCAGGGATGATATAACCAGTCGGTTATAAGTTTTCCGTTTGTTAGTTCATTACCTGGTTCTACCCTATTGCAAGCGCGTAAATTTTGAATTTTCAGAGTGCTCCCTTCAAGCAATCCAGCTGGCTGATCTTGCTCGTGGTAAATGAAATTGCTTCTTGTAAATAGCTGTTGTTCCGTATCTCGATTTTTCAAAATAACTCCTGAAATTTTTGTTTCAGAATACGATTTACCTTACTTTACAAGGTATGATTAGGTCCTATTTTAGCTGACTGGCTGATTGTGGTGACTAATTTTATTAAATTAGCGTGGCAGGAGATCTGCGACTGACAAACAAAACACGATATTCCACAACAGCCGCAACAGGTAACGTCGAAATTATGTAAACACTTTGTAAAATTACTTAAGTTTTATCATAGTGTGTTGCTGGTACGAGTAATTCTGAGAAAAGCTTTTCCTGACCATATCTTGATCAATGCAGCTTCTCTTGCCGGGCCGGATGTTGGAGCCGCCATTGCCGCTTTATTAGAATTATATTCTTGGAGAACGATAACCTTAATCTGTGATACACTTTCCCTTCACGTGGGATTAGCCAATTTTTTTGTTGTTCAATGTGGGGATGCCAAAAAGTTAATGGACAGAGAAAAATATCCAGGTTATGTTCGGGAAATTGACTCTTCCATTGGACAGGATTACACTGAACTCCTACAAAGTTTTAAAGACCGTAGCAGAGGTAAAATAAATAAACCGCATCGATTTAAACTAAAATTAACCACTTAAATCAATAACACTGCTTTACTTTCAGTGTTCATATTCCTTACAATGCCGGTTTACATAAGGCGTTTAATGGTGAGCAGATGCTTGTTAATGAGTGAACCCAGCACCAATAAATTACTAATATTGTTGATGGTCAAGAGCTTTGCTTTCCTAGCAAATCTCTTCCACTTGTGAATTTGATCCAATTTTTGTATACTTTTTTAGATAACGGCACATCTGCTAAACATGACGTCTGGAGGATTTGTAAGTGGCGGTTGTTTCCGGTCGATTCACTTACATTTTAAGAGTGTTTTGCGAACGTAAATGTTACACTTAAAATGTATTGATCATACCAATTAGTCCTAATTAATGTATTGCTTCATCGATAAATTCTTAATTGTGGTGTTGTATAAAGAAAGCGCTGCTTCTGTTAAAGGTTTTTATCACACTTCAACCTACCGAGCGTCCCGGTATACAAGCTGTCAACTGGAACCAAAAGGGAGACGAAAAGAATAACGCGGTAAGCGACGTGGTTATAAAATTTTTAACAGAATATCTGTAGACGACAGTTCTTGCACACTTTGTTAAAAAGTATATAAAATATCGCTGCCAAGAGGTGCACTCTAAATAGTTGTACTCAGCTTTTAATTATTTTAATTTGGTGGATTGTTTTAGATAGCGTCAGTAGCGTACCGGAATCTAATCGTTCTTAGCGGAATGAATCCGAACTGGACGGAAATCAAGAATTTGACAGATGAAATAGCCGAAGAGGGAAAGCGGCAGTATAACACGACAACTCTTCCCGGGGACGAAGTAATTCCCGAAATGTCTTCCTTGAAATACATAAAAATATAAGGAAGTCTGTTTACCCTTTCCGGCATCTTTCCTTGTAGAAGAACGAACAAATAACATCGGTTTATGAATCAACAATGATGTTTGCTCAGGTATGCAATCTCTCACGCGCAGCTGTAAGATTATTCACATGCATATTGCATATGCAGCTCCACGAAAACGCCTCGGCACAGATATTAAACTTTAATTATTATGGAATTTTCTATGCAGATATTCAACGAGTCTTATCCGGAGGTGTTCACCATGCGTAAAAGTGATTTTATTAAAACGTATTTCAATCGGGAATTTAATTTTGCCGGACGGACATATGCTACGGATGAGAATGGGGGCATGGTGAACTACATTGTTGTCAGCCGATTAAACCCTAATACGACAAACCTGGAAGTACGAAAATAGTATTATTGCTCTAATGCGTTAGCTGGCTAAATATCTGAGTTTCTGACTAGTTAAGTGCTACTTGTAGGTAGCAATGATCTACAATGCCACATCCCGAAGTTTTGTTAATATCGTGCCAGAATTGTGGTACTGGGTTAACCGAGACGATCCTCCTCCCGATAAACCGTTGTGTGGATTTCGAGAAAACGAATGCGATGTTTCCCACATAGGTACGCTAGCGTAAGCGCAATAATATGGCATATTGCCCGTAATCATAAAAGGCACATGTGCAAAAATATTAACCTGATGTGTTTTGTCAATCTGCGTTTGCCTGCGTAATTTTTTTTGCGTTTTGTGATGATTACTACTTCATGCACTGTTGCTTCAGGTTCGGCCATAAAAACTGGAGTTTCGGTTGCGGCGGCTTTTATTGCTCTGGTGACCTTTGCCAGCTTTGCTTATTGGTACTGAAGTACATACGGTTGCAACATGGTGTTTGGGTTTACAATCGTATACCTGCACATGTACTGACAGTACAGTATGAAACAGCTGATTTCAGTCTGTGGTTTGCAGCTGGACAAAACGGCGCCAGGAGCTTTATGATCCATGGTGGATACTTGATCCTGAGAAATTTAGTTTTGCTCCAAGATATCAAGATACGACCGACAACTTTACTAAAAAGCTTGCGGACTTGAAGCTAGGAGTTGTTGCCAGATACACTACGCGGCACGTCTATGCTTTAAATATTTCCAAAACTCCAGAGATGGACATCATCCAACATATCGCAAATAAAAAACAACTTCTCATCACGCTTTATCAGGTATCATATAAATAGTATTTGGTACCTGTCGAGTATCGAACTTCTCTGATGCGTTAGTTCAGCGATAGCGAAACTAATATCTATAAACAGCGACAACATATGTACACGTATGTACTGTTGTAATTAATTAAAGAATCTATTAACCATAACGCGTAGCGTATAGTAATTTTTAAAATACATGAAGAAGTTTTGAAAGCAGACAACGATTCTAGAACACTCGTATAGTATTCGCTCATTATACAAGGCACAGTAACATGGTGCATTGACTGCATTCATTCGAATAGCTGAGGGGCGTATCTCACTACAACATCGCACGCTTTGGAGGCATTGTTCGGTATACGGCGGATTATTTTCTTATTTCCGAGTACGGTTCAAAAGCAACGCTGCGCCAGTTTATTGAAAAAGAACATATAGTGATCGATAAAGATCTAAAGTCCTCGCTGATGTGGGATATATTAGAGGTAACTCGCGTCGTGATACTTTAAGAGAAAAAACATACAAAAGTTACTATATTGTATCGGTGTGTGCATGTGTGCTGTTACCATTAACAAAAAATTGCGATGAAATTCATTGACTGATTGATAGGGTCTGGACTACCTGCACCAAAGTTCAGCTGGACTACACGGAAACTTGAACAGTTTATCTTGCATTCTGGATGCCAGATACTGCTTAAAAATAGCTCAAGCAAAATATTGCAAGTTTTTTGACTTGCTTAACATATCAAGAAGTCTCGAAGTCGATTGCGTGGAATTACTGTGGAAATCTCCGGAACTATTGCCCCATAAAACAACTAAAGGAGAAAAGCATAAAAAGATTCATTTAGCAACTAAAGAAAGTGATATATATTCGCTGGCAGTCATATTTTGCGAAGTGTACACCAGATCTTTGCCCCACGGAGCGACTCTGGATTCAATCAACTCTATTCATGGTAACTGCTCTCTTTTCAATTAGCATTTTCAACTAAGAAATTTAAATTAATTTTTTTCTACACACGTTGCATTTGATACTTGTAGAAGCTGTTAACAAAATCATCGACAATCATGGATACAGAATACCTGCAATACCCGAAAAGGTCATGCCTGAGAAGCTGCAGTATTTACTCCGTTTGTGCCTTGGTATTCCGAGTAAACGTCCAACGATCCGGATATTCCGCAAACACTTCCGCTCTGTCCTACGAAGACCAACTACGTACCTGGTTCACATAATGAAAAGGCTCGAAAAGCAAGCCGAAGATTTGGAACATCTGGTTGTCGAGCGGAACCGCGAACTGGAAGGAGAAATGCACAAAGCGGACTTGTTATTACAAGAAATGCTTCCGCTGTACGTACTGTTACATTTCCGCATCCGGGTTATACACGAAAAGAAAAATCCAATAATTAACTTTTAATAACTATAATTAGGCAATAGACCGCGAGACACTTTATTAAGCGTGTAAAACGATTTACACTAACTATTAGAAATTAATATTCTAGTGCTTACAGCATTGTGCTTAATTTTCGTACAGTTCATTATTTTGTGTTCTAGATCGATTGTTAGACGTCTTCGCAACAAACTACCAATTGCTCCTGAATTGTTTGAAAGCGCTACTATCATGTTTTGTGATATTCCTCTCTTTCAAGACATCGTTGTTACCAGCTCACCATTGGAGATTATTATTTTTCTCAATATGGTTTATTCCCACTTTGACCATCTTATCGAAGCCTTCGACGTTTACAAAGTTGAGACCATAAACGATTCCTATGTAGTAAGTGAACGACACGCATTTATATATGTATTCTGCTAGGCAAAATATCTACCTGTTCTTACAAATTAAAATTACTAATTATAACGAACTTTTATAGATTGCGAGTGGTCTTCCAATGCGCAACGGAATAGAACATGCGTATGAAATTAGCAAACTTGCACTGTCGCTTGTCAAGGCAGTGAGAAGGCTTCCGAACGCTGGTCTTGCCGAGCGAAGTGTGCAATTAAGAGTTGGAATTAATTCAGGTACAAATAAAACGGGCAATAAAACAAGTACTACTTTATTGTTCTCGCTACGTTTATGAAAATTAAATATGTTAATTTATTTTTATGCCAACGGTGAATGTGCGTTTCTGACGGCTTAAAAGTATTCTTGGCAATATTTAGGTCCCGTTGTGGCCGGGGTTATAGGAAAGCGTATGCCGAGATATTGTTTGTGAGTATAATGCATGGCAAATACTACAGTACAGATAGATCAGTAAATTGCAATATTTGATTATTCTTATACATCACTCTGTGACATACAGACATGGCCTTTTAATGGCAGGGAGTGCCTTGTTATTTTTGTAAGATTGTATAATTTAATATTTTCAGGTTCGGGGATACAATGAATACAGCAAGTCGAATGGAGAGCAATGGACAAGGTAAGCTAAGAGAGTAATTACAGCGTACTCTGGTAACATTTAAATGGTACGGCCATAGTGTAACAAATTACAACTGCCACTATAGTATTGCGATAATGATGACATTCAGAGGTTACTAGTGTCAGTAAAGGTCAAGTTTCACCGACAAACTTGCAGTACTCCCACTATAACGAGGGGAAAGGAGAAATACTGCAGTGTACTGTATACCCAGGATTAATATCCATGAATAGATTTTTTTGTGCAGAAGGAAGAATCCACATTAGCATGGCGACAAAGGAAATGGTCGAGTCAAGCTTTTACACTGAAGCCAGAGGATCTGTCAATATTAAGGTACCTTTCTACCAAACTACAGTCGAAGACTTGCAGCTAAATAATAAGAAAATTAATACAGAAGTGTTTTACAGCACTGCATAAAGCGTTGTGTTGAAACACATTTAATTCACTTCTTGTCGTTAATTTATTGCTACTAGTTATAATTCAAAATCTTAACTGACGTCAGTTAAGATTTTGAATTATACCTTATTATTTTTGATTATTATACCTATTTTTGAACTATTCGTCATATGACGAATATCTGTATTTACATATACCGAGAATTTAGAATCAAATTGTCACAGCAGATGCACAAGTTGAAAATATCAGCGTTTTAAACATTGCTAAAGTCTTCAATTCATATTCATAAAATTGGTGCTACAGTGATTCTGCACTTCTTGCTTGGTATGCTCAAATTTTCTGCCGCACAGGGAAAAGGGATAATGAAGACCTTCTGGCTCATCGAGAACTACGAGAAGGCGTTTGCTCTGTGATGAAAAAACAAAATAAAGGACACCATGCCGGACGTAACGGAGCGATCTCAAGAATGCATTTCCAGACCAAACAACGTTGAATGTTGACACTCTTAAAATTTTTTATTTGTATAATGTAATGTTTTTTATCCAGCTTATGGAACGGTATTTTGCGGAACACTTGATTCGGTGACTGATGTATATGCTACAATATTGAAACCAATAATTTATTAACAACAGAAGAAAACCCGGCGTCTATCCCACCAGTACTGTGATTCCCCGACACCCTCGACAAAAATTATTATGAACGTTCTACATAAGCATGCAAAAGAATATCCACAGTAATACTACCTAAGTACATACTACATATAAATGTGGTGGCGACGGTGATGCAGAGGAAGTTGTGAGTGTTCGCTGCTTGGCATTCCATTGTTATCAAAGTGCATGCTTTCCGAAATTTTAAGGCGTCGCTATTGCGCGAATTAGGTGCGCTCTGGCTTTTTTTAACCAACGACAACGCACATTCACGTACGTTTCGGCTTCGAAGCCGCAAAATCGTTATAGGAGATTTCTGTACTCTTACAGTAATCCCAATATACAAATTTCAAATCTATCGTAGTTAGAAATTATATTAATTTTGTAAAACAATCAAAATGCGGCTGTCAAGCTATAGCGGCTATTATTATAACTTTTTCAACCTTGTCACACAACAAAATGAAGTAATCGCACAATGCAGTGCGGCTTTATTTTAGGAAAACCCTAATGAAATCATGTTTGTCACAGTTTTGCCGCTGCATGTGTAAGAGAATTTAAAGAATTTTTATCTAAAACTATTCTGAACAGCGTCTATAACACAATTTGTTGGGTAGTAGTATTCTATTTGCCGTTATAAATAATCCGATGGGTGTGCCCATTGCGAAGGTATGATCACCCCAGGGACCACAGATACCCATAGCCAAAGGTGTTTCTTTGGTACCATACTTGATCGTGCCAGAATATAATTCAAAGATGATTAATTAGCGATACTGCTAATTTACTTGTAGGTTTTGCGAATTTGTACCGTTATTTAAAAACAGCGCATGCATTCATAATTATTGGCAGTGCCTTACAGTCTGCATATGAAATCTTTTATTACTTTATATACATACACAAGAAGTATAAATACATAGACTACAGAACACCCAAATATAACATACTCTGTATAATTGCGTATTGTTGTAAGGCACTTCAGGTGAGCGTTTCCCCATATTGCTTACCATATCTCATACATGCATTTGGCTGCCATGTTCATTAGCCGAATTGGTTCAGAGCAGTTGTGTATCTCGATCTTCTCGTTATAATGCATGCGCTATGGATAAGGTCTGATATACTGGCGAGCGGCCGAAGTCCGCTGACATGCCTAGCGGAAAGTTGTTCGAGCTGAATGTGTCGGACCACATGCAATCAACACGAATGATGTACTGTACCAACGTTCTACCTCGAAGTCCCGGCCGGCTTACAATCTACTACATGCTACGGTAGATTACATTATTGTTTACGGCTCCGGATTACACCTTATACGAATTCGTGAAATATTTCATAATTTCGCCATAACGCTCTCCTGCAAGACTCAACTGCAACATGCAATTTAACGAACGAGTTTCTCGGGATTTGATTACGCAAAGTGAATTTTCGGTTGTTTCCCGATAGTTAATGCGGGCACCTGTAATTTTCAGGCATGCAAATGCTAACTGAACGTTAGGAGCGATATTTTTTTGGATCGGCAGTTGGGAAAACATACTTTTGGAAGTATATATACTTGCATCGTACTCCAAAATGATTCCGTTTTGCAACTCGCCGTTGTGGGTAAGTAAATGCGTATTTTCCACGTCTCTCGATGTACTCGTGCATTATAATTACAGATGCATTAAACCAAGTATACTCGCCTCAGATATTTGAAAATTTGTGTACAGTAAATGCACGTGCACTGTCAAATGAATATTTGTTCTTATATCTATATACAGGATCACGAAAGAATCTGGAATACAACGGATCCAGACTTAACAGAATGCTTTCAGCACACAGTGTTGGTACTGCTGCCCTGCGCCTTTCTTTGGATTGTTTTTCCCATTATCATGTTCCAGTATAAAAAGCTCAAAGATATTTCCACCAAATGGACGATTCTGGCAGTAATCAAAATTGTACGAATAGAGCATCGGCAGCCATACTTGTCGCTTCGTAATCATTTGGAATTACTCAAAAGTCTAAGAATTATTCTGCAGTTGCCAGCTGGTGCCCAAAGGCTATTTGCGTTGCAACTGTTGTTATACAAAAGATTATGAGTGTTTTTCTGAACTGTTTTAATGCTCTAACAGGCGTGTTTTTTTGCATTTATGGTAATTGGTAACATAATTAAGTGTACCTCATAACTGTATCTGCCCTTATTTTAGGTGGTGGCAGTCCTGTTATGCTTTATCTGCATATGGCGACTCGCATACCTGATTTATTTGACGGCGTCCTATAACGATGAGTACGGCTCATCAGTTTCGTCATTTGTCGCGGAAATCTTTCGAATCGGAACATTCGTAAGTGCTCTTTTTTGGCGGCACTGGCTTAATTGTTCCTCAAAATCATCTATCCACTGCGTGTGGTTTAGTGAATACAGTTTTTAAGAAAAACATTAATAATAACAAGCGAATATCAGACGGAACAACAGTTGTCTGTAATTAAATTATAAATGGCCTGTCTTAACTAGTACACTACACACAAGAAAATCCCTTTTCTGAATGACGAATTCCTTTCTTATCGGCTATTGTCCCAGTTTCTTCAAATGTAGTTATATTTTCTGTTATTATCACAACCAGAATTATCTAAAAGTGATAAACGACGACTTCTGATGCGGTAGATTGTAGGTCAATACAACTGTGACAATGCAAGAATATTTGAATGAAATTATTATGAATAATATAAGAATGTGTCGTCACTATATCTTTCGTCTGGTGTATCACACACAGCTCTGGTATACCACAGGCATAAATTAATAAACTTCTAGATCAACACACTAGCTCAAACAGCTGCTTAGGAGTTTCTTTGCAGTAAACATTTTACGATAATTGGAAAGGTGTTTAATACTGTTCATGCTTATATACTGAAGCTTTTGTTACTTATACTAAAACTACTTAATATTTAATGCTTTGTTACCAACAACGTTTTACAAACTCCCAGACTCGCAACTAACATGTAATATCATTATCTTATATTTAAAGTAAAATATATTTGACAGGAAATCTGTTGAATTACGGCTGTAATATTTTGGCACTGAAATAAAATACTGAATTTGTTGTTTATTTTTGAAATGTGCGCGTAATATTGAGTCTAGTTTGTTGAAGTGTAACATGTACAAATATATGTTCTGGTAGGTTATATGCGGGTCCATGTGCCCGTATCCAGTTTGTTATCTGGATTACTTAGATATACAAGAATATATCAATTAATTTTGCCGTTAACGCTTTTAGGTATGAATTAAGTTACAAGTGTTTTTAAAATTGCATGAAATATCAGTGTGTGGAAACGATTATTACTTTTGCAGTGCTTAAGCGCTTACCTAATCAACACGGAGCGCAAAAAGAAGATAACATCATCGGGGTACAACTTTATCTTCTGGTTGATGATGACCGTTTGTGGAGTAGTGGAATTTCGTTCACACTTGAAACGGGCACTTCACGTGCGTGGTGTGGTTTGCTCTTTGCACTATATTCACAATATCCGTTTGTTCACCGATTTTTAACTGACCAGTGCAATCAAGGTTACTTACCTTGCAGGAGCACGCGTACAACCGTTTCCTCTTCGGCACGGTCATGGCGTATTATCCCTTGGTTTTTGCGCAATTATGCCTGCACTGTTTTGCTGATGAGGATCGTGCGGCTAGGCAAATACGCAAGGTTGGGATATTATTAAGAAGCATTCATTATCATTATCGATGTACATATACATTGTATATACCGGTGTTTATTGCAGTTACATTGGCCAGAGTACCACTCGTCATTTCCCAGCCGGTTGCTGTTTTCCTGGTTTTCCGGGTAACACAAGATTACAAAAAATATTTCTGATTTTCTCATTTGGCAAATTATTATTAAGCACTTGTAATTTACCAAGCTCTGAAGCCGAGTATTTAAGTTCTAAAGGCATTCAAAAGTGAGCACAAGCCGCCGAAGCCGGTCACACTAATAAAATTTTGTAACAAAATCAAAAACTGAGTTACAGCAACCTCAACAGTCAGTTAATTAAAAGTCATTCCAAAATTTAATTACTAGTATTCATGTCAAGCTGTATGACTAACCATATATTACTCCGCTTCATTTAGGTTGGTATATAAAGGATGGCGACGCCCTCTCATCCAATCCGATCTGTGGGAACTCGATACGCCCGACAAGACCGCTGTTACCGTGAGAAAATTCGAAGAGCACTGGAAGCAGGAAGTAGAACGCGGCAAAAATGGAGCATATCAACCGTCCATTATGAAAGCTCTCGGTAAGACGTACTGGAAGCTGATGCTGATGACGGGATTTCTGCAACTGCTTTCCACGGTTATCCTACAAACGGTTGCCTTGCCCTTTGCGCTACGATACATAATCTGGTTCGTCTCGGCGCCCCATGTCGAAATGTGGAAGGGATATTTTGTGGCTATTGCTCTCTTTTTGATCTCGGTGGGATTTTCCATATTCCTGGCACATTTTTATCACTGCGGTGCTTTAATTTCATTGCGAATGCGATCGGCCTTAGTCGGATGCATTTACAAAAAGGTCAGAATTTGTGTTTTTGCGGTTTTTGTTAATTCAGTTTATAAGTTGTTTTTGAAAATAATTATTTAATCTCATTGTGGTAACTTACGTAGCATTTCTTTTTTTAACTTTATGTATACAGTATACAAAACACATATCATGTATACAGTAACTTTTTAACTTTTTGTATACAGCACACAAATAAACAAAACGCGCATTGTCGCGTTCACAGTGCTGGAAATATGTTATTTACAATACGGTGTATATCTATATGTTCGTTTTCTTTGTGTCTTTAATCATCTTAAATGTTGCTGTTACTTTCATTTTTTGCTATTATTCTGCCAAATTATATCACATTATTTCTTCTCTATGGTTGCGTTTTACAGAGCTTAAAAATATCGGCCGATGCCAGACGTGGAAAAGAGCGCAGCCGAAATTGTCAATTTAATGGCTGTTGATGCTCAGCGTTTCACCTTGAGTCCCATCCATGTGCACTCGTTGTGGGGATGCGTCGTGCAGATTGTCATTGCCGTCGTATTACTCTACCAGATCATTGGTCCCTCTGTGTTTGCCGGGATTGGCGCTATGCTGCTGACCATCCCTTTGGTAGGGTCAGTGATGAGGAGAAACCGCGTTTTAGAAGTAAGTCCGCAACAAATTTTTAGTGACTACAGCGTTTACTCGTGCAAAACTGCAGTGATTAAGCTTGTGTAACAAGCGATAGCCACCTGAACTAAGTTGATTAGTATAACTTTGTTAAATTTTTTTTCATAGGCAGCGCAACTGGAAGAGAAGGATCAGCGGATGAAGGTGATGCACGAAATTCTCAATGGAATAAAAATCTTGAAGCTCTACGCTTGGGAAGAAAGTTTTGAAAACAAAGTGGAAACCGTCCGAAATAAGGAGGTGCGATGATTGCGATCGTTCGAATCAAAACATAAATGGACCGATATATATGCTGATGTTTAGAGCGCCGAACTAACAAAAAGTAATGTTTTCCCAGCTGGTAGCTCTGCGGAAATCGGCCAATTTGAAAGCCATTAACATGATCACTTGGCTGTTCACGCCGTCGCTCGTGGCTGTGGTCAGCTATACGTGCTACGTTTTATCGGATGACCATAACATTCTCAATCCGGCGAAGACATTCGTCAGCTTAGCGCTGTTTAGCATTCTTCGATTACCACTAGCTTTGCTTCCGGCAGCTATTACCGGTATTATCCAGGTAAAGGCATACTATTCATTACAACTTTCATATTTGAAAATGCATAAAAGAAGTTCTCGCCATGCTTTAACATACGGCGGGATAGCGACTTGATTTTTTTCGCAATATTACTGTACTGTGATAAAATACATGAAACCGCTTGCAGTCAGCGTTATCACTTAAACGGATTAGCTCCTTCCTGTTAAGCGAGGAACTGGATCCACATAATGTCACATATCTGCCGGCAAATGACAATCAGATCACATCAGCCATATCACTGCAGTCAGCAAGTTTTGCCTTTGGTAAAAAAGATTCAGAACCGGTACTGCGCGACATCAATCTGGATATTGTGCCGGGAACTTTAACTGCCGTTGTGGGACCTGTTGGATCTGGTACGTACCTAGTACTTCTGCTTGAAAATAAATCGATAAAGCAATTAATAAACGGGATCGACACACGAGTTTTGCTTCGGAATAAACTTTATTGAAATGAACGCGATCAGATTACTGGGATATGGTTAAATTTTAGATATTTATTGTCGTTATTTTTATGTTTTTAGGTAAATATTTTATAAGGTCTACATTTATAGTGACGTATTTAAGAATAGTTCACTTCACACCAACAAGCTAGCGCAGATGCAGTTGACCGACCGACAGAATTCGCGATCGGCAGTACTTCGCCATCCTAACAATAAATATTGCGAAACCGCATAATTTTATTATTCCTAATGTCAGAATCACTGGCTGTCGATAAACCGAATACGAAAATTACTTACATATGTGTCTTGGCTATCACACTTTTGCACAAATCGGTATCGTTTATTTACGCGTGCTGAGAACGAGACTATTTCCGTGGCATTGTTGGTGGATTCGCTGATCCAGCACGTCATAGGTCTTTCCGGCAACCAAAGGTTCCCGTCCGTATTGATACGTAGCTACCCACGTAGGAAGCTAGGCCGATAGACAGGAGGAGCAGTAGGGACAGGCGTCCGGGAATGTGACCGAAGGTTCGTTTCGCCCGAAATGAGGCTAGCTTGACCAATCCGCCGGCCAACGGTATTCCACATACCATTCCAATGGTTTCACCATAGGATCGTTTCCGGTAATATACACCAATCAGACCGCCCACAAGGCCACCGCCTACGCAGACCGCCACTCCGATCGTCAGGCAGCGACTGTAGAGCAGCGACCACGTCATTTTTAAACCGGCAGCAGGAAATAGGAGCGAAGATAAAGATCCAATAAAAAATCCAACCAAAATATTGCTGCACAAAGTTATGCGTAATATTATACCGATCAATAGCAGTTAGTTCTTGAACCAAAGTATAATAGCGATAGTCCACTCACGCTTAAAGATATTTCATGAACAATGTAATTTTGGAAAGATCGGTGCTAATAAACCCAGTGCGCCGTACGTTCGTACAGTAATCTGCATGCTGCAATACTAGGGCTGACTTGCATAACCTACCGTTGTCTGCACACTAGACGATCAGCCCGCCCCTTACTTAAAAAAATGGTTCAGCTTACTTCCAAAATTATTGGCGTGAATAGAAATGTTGTCTGACGAGAAAAAGACAAAACTTTCATCAGCTCACATGGACAAAAAACGTTAAATTTATGGAAAGCGGAACCTATGACCACAAAACTAATACATGCATGCGTCATTGCGGTAATTTAGTAGGAGCCAACCTGTTCGTGCGAAGCTGTCAAGCGAGCCGGCGACATCGTACTCGTATTATGACGTCAAGGGATATACATGAAATTTTTTTGCAGGTAAAAGTTCGATATGTTCAGCCATAATCGGCACATTGGAGAAGCTGTCTGGATCGGTTTATGTTAAAGTATGTATGTGTTTTACCCAAATTATGCATTCTGATAACGTCTTATTTAGCGGTATAAAATCATTTCCCTTATTATTCTTTTGATGTATCTGTGTACACACTTTCTGTTTCATTTATGTCTAACTTGGTTTCCTGATGCGTAGGGAAAACTGGCATACTGCAGCCAGTCAGCTTGGATTCAGAACCGAACCGTAAAGGAAAACATCCTATTTGGTTTACCGTATGACGAAGCCAAGTACGCGGAAGCAATCGAGGTCACGGCGTTACAACCTGATCTGGACATTTTACCAGCGGGAGATGATACGGAAATTGGGGAACGCGGGATAAATCTCAGTGGTGGACAGAAGCAGAGGATCAATATCGCCCGGGCCATCTACGCAAACGCCGATGCAAGTGTGTCCGCAGTTTGTTATCTTCGCACAGTAATAAGACAGACACGCAATGCTGTTCCAGGTGTACTTACTGGACGATCCGTTAAGCGCCGTCGATGCTCACGTGTAAGAATAAATTTATACTATCCAGTGGACTGCACAATTAATGAAAAATACTTTATTTTGCGTTTGGAAAAAGAGGAAACGCTGTACATATCCACCTGTGAGCTGTGGCAGTAATAAATCCGCAGTTAGTTTAGTTTACCGTGAGCATGCATGTTATGTTTTCAGGGCTAAGCACATCTTTGATAATGTGATTGGGCCTCGTGGCGTCCTGAGGAACAAGGTATTTTGGATTAAGTTAGCGGCTGCCGCCTATTTAATTGATCCAAATGTTGAGAATATTTTTTAAGATTGCAAGCTTAATAATGTGGTGTTAATTGCAGACAAGAATTTTTGTTACACATGCTGCGCACTTCCTCCCCCAATGCGATCGCATCGTTTTTATCCGGCACGGAGAAATCTCGGCTTTTGCGGATTTTTCTCGCTTAATACAATCAGTGGATTTCAGTGAATTCCATGAAAACCTTAAAACCCGCGCTGAAACGGAAGCCTTAACCGACGAAGTAGAAGACAAAATTTTGCCGGTTTTAACGGATGTCGATGAAGACGCTCCACCGCCTATAACAAAGAATAGAGCGGGATCAGGCAGCGAAGCCTTCGAAATGCAGGATAAAAATCAGCCCGTTGGACAGAATATCCGCCGCGTCCACACCACGTCGGGCTCGGACGCGCCCAGTTCCGTTAAAGGCGAGAACTCCAAGTTGATCATCGAGGAGCACGCGGAAGTGGGAAAAGTGCGCTGGAAAATTTACGCGACATTACTGAAGTATGCCTCGGGTGTGGCAACATTTATTACGGTGCTGTCGCATGCGATCTACACCGGATTTGTTCTGGCTGCCAACGTTTGGTTAAGCGTTTGGTCCGAGGATAATATGACAATGCCAGATGGTGGTGTAAATACGCAGCTGCGAGATTACCGACTGGGAATATATGCGCTGCTGAATTTTTTTCAAGGTGACTCTGACGCACATTATTCCCTTAATTGCACTAGTGTTGTACTACGCGTATGCTCTTGTACCGTCTCCAGACCGGCACTACATAATCTGTACATGAACTTTTTGCTATAATTCCGCTTAACAGTTTTCTGCTCCAGTCTAGACATTTTCGTAATATTATTCATAATTTATACATTTTAGTCATTTAGTTGGTATGTTTTCGGATGCATAATCGTTTATTTACTTGCAGCGATTTTTATTTATATTTCGGCGTTGGTATTGGCACTTAGTTGTGTTCGAGCAAGTCGCCGGTTGCATTCGGAAATGCTGCATCGACTTCTACGAGCACCACTGTCCTTTTTCGAAAGCACTCCCGTCGGTCGTATTGTCAACCGCTTCAGTCGGGATCTGGATACGCTCGACAACCAACTTCCCGCGCATTTTAAAATGTGGTTAAACGGACTGTTTATATTAATTTCTGTTTTAATTTTGGTAAGTACAGGTATTTGGTTTTTATAGAAACAATGTTGACTATATTAATAAAATTGAACTTAGATTTGCATCAGTACGCCGATTTTCGCCGCGGTGGTGCCGGTAGTGGCCATCCTATACGTGCTAATACAAAAAGCCTTCGTTCCGTCAAGCCGCCAGATAAAACGCCTGGAGTCGGTCTCCCGTTCTCCGATTCTATCGCATTTTCAAGAGTCTCTGAATGGGCGTCAAGTTATTCTGGCCATGAATCAGGAGGATCGTTTTATCGACATTAATAGTCATCTCAACGACATTCACAATACTTCTTCGTATGCTAATGCTGTGGGTCAACGGTACGTAAAGGGACTGCAATTTGCACGAATAAAGCGTCATAATAAAAAAATACAAAATATAAAAAATTAAATTAAACAGCGGCAAGGCATGTGTGGCGACGAGTCAGTTTTATGATTAAAATTCCCTCGTTTTGTCTTTAATTTTCTGGCAAACGCATTGTTGTACTGCTCGATTTATGAGCAATAGAATATTAATCCTACGACCCGCTGATTTCTTGATGTTTTGGTAGATGGATTCTGGTGCGAGTGGAAGCGCTCGGCAGTCTTTGTGTTTTCTTCGCGGCGCTATTTGCGGTCATAGGAAAAGGTCACTGGGAAAGCCATCCGGGTTTGCTGGGGCTGGCTATAACATATGCAACAACTGTAAGAAAGCTCTCTCCCGCTGCCAAACTTCTTCATGCAAGATCATCGAACTAATCTGCTGTTGTTATACAGATGACATCATCCTTTAATTGGCTTGTCAGAACAAGTAGCGATATCGAAGCTAACGCCGTGTCGGTTGAACGGATGCAAGAGTACACTCAGATCCAACAGGAAGTACGTAATTACGTATACATCTGCATATCTATATTGCATCATCAGTTCCATGCCTACGTGGAGATTTCATCAAAACCGTTTTACTTTAGGCATCATGGCACATTCCTTCACGAAAACCTAAAGACAATTGGCCAGAACACGGCAAAGTTGAGTTCTATAATTATGGTCTTCGCTATCGGGAGAATTTGGATTTAGTTTTGGAAAATATAACCTGCACCATTTCCGGAGGAGAGAGAGTAAATTTTGAAATTTTTATTATCATAATAATTCATAAATTGAATTTTAACGCATCCTTTTAACGGTAGATTGGTGTTTGTGGCCGAACCGGAGCCGGAAAGACGTCGTTAATCAGTGCGTTATTTCGCCTGCTAGAGCCGGCAACCGGTATAATAAAAATCGATGACCTCGACATTACACAACTGGGTCTGCATGATGTGCGCTCCCGGTTGACCATTATTCCACAAGATCCTGTATTGTTTAACGGGACACTACGATCCAATCTTGATCCGTTTGGCAAACATTCCGATGCAGAGATATGGTCCGCTCTGGAGCTGTCATACTTGAAGGAATTTGCGCAAAACAAAAGCGCCAAACTGGACCTTCCCATTGCGGAATCCGGAGATAATTTAAGGTTACCAGGTTTTAATTTTCTACAGAAGTTACTATTCGTTTTGAAAGTAAATTTAAACGGCTATAGCAGTTTGTTTACTGAACGTTGCATGTAGGATGTAGTCGTAAGGTGAGAAATCATTTTATTAACTTTCCCTAATGTAGGGTAATTTGCCGCTGACATCTGACACAGACAAATTACAGATTAACGTAATGCATAAATTAAAATAAATTTTAAAAGTGCTTTAATATTTATTAATAATGGTTAAATATTTTTTGAATAATTTAGTGTTGGACAACGCCAGCTGGTATGTCTTGCTCGTGCGCTTCTTCGGAAATCGAGGATCCTAATCTTAGATGAAGCAACAGCGTCCATTGATTTGGAATGTGATGAACTAATCCAGACGGCGATCCATAAGGAGTTCTCTCATTGCACCGTGATCACAGTTGCTCACCGTTTGAATACAATTATGAACTACGATAGGTACTGTAAACCCTGTTTGCAAATGCCGTGTATAATAATACGTACCATAGTGTGCACATTTTTTCGCTGTTAATCGTAAGTTTTTTTTACCTTTCATTGGAACTGTACATTACTAGTGATAGTACTACTCACTCGTGGCGATTACGAAGTCATTCCACGGAAACAATTTTGCACAAATTTTTCTTATTGCAGAATCATGGTACTGGAAAACGGGAAAATTCAAGAATTCGATACTCCAAATAATTTGCTCATGAACAAAGATAGTTTATTTTATGCTTTAGCCAAAACCGCAAATCTTGCTCATTGAGACAACCCTGGATTCTTTGTTGTCGTTTTAAATAATTCATTGTGATATTGGGTATTAATGTCGGTAAATTGGTAATGACTATGAATTATGAACCTGTTTGCACTGCATCAACGCTGGAATCAATTAATTAGGTACTCTGTAGGTTCGGTTCAGCAACTATGCGTTGCTGCATCGAAATCAATAAAGTCGATTGCACAAGCAGCTATAATTATGTTTGCCTTCTTAAAGTAATTGCTGGTCACGTTTCTACTGTTGTAAGCGATACAGTCGCATTTAAAATAAATATCAAAATTTTAATTAGACCGTTCTGTTCCGTACGGGAATGCAGTATTAGTCAAATCACCGGACTGAAAACACGTAATCCGTGGGCGGTAATCTCATGGGAAACCGGATAGTACTAAGATTAGAAAGTTCAAAATCCCCCAGCAGTACGGGCTACACAACGACCACCGGGAATTTGGCCTTTGATGAACGTGAACTTAATCGGTTTAGCTTTAGTGATTCACTCCGCCCATCAAATCGAAAGGATTCCGTATTAGCAAAACGCTCCTGACTTTTGCGGGTCCGTAAATAATACTGATACTCGTTGTGGTTGCCACGAAAACTCCGTGCATCAAAATTCGGCTGATTACCGGATGAGTATTCTCTTACTTTCACCGTGGATTCCGGCACAGACCGGAAGCAGCCGAAGCGCATGACCTTCCGATAACAATGCACTTTCAACAGGCCGCGCACTTGACGATTACAGAAACAATACAGAACGGCAACAAAAAATCCCTGTATGGGCAGTAGGATGGCTGTGATGATCTGGAAGACGGCTTTGACAACGGCGGGATCATTGGGCTGCACGAGGACTATAACGTATGTTAATCCCAGAAGTGGCATGAGGATCAGGAAACTGCGTACACCCCGGCCCACCAGTGATGACGGCTGCGATATCCTGCCAGATTGTTTCTTCAGGATTGTGTGAAGTCTATAAATTAACACCAGTATAATGTCGGAACTCTGCAGTATCAGTACAATTGCTAAAACAAAATTTTCCACTGAAACAAACCCGTTTCGAAATATCATATACAGACTACAAGGGCATTAAACCATTCCTCATAAACTATTTGGCATTTGAGGTCTGCAGAGTACAGTAAGCAGAACATTTACTTAAACAATGTACTCGTACGTAAGGACATAATCTTTGGGATAAATGGATACATGACAAAAACGTGCAATAAATTCTATAATAAAACTTTTACTGCATGCGCTTCTGATGAAGGATATAATATTTTTATTTGTGTTGTACTAAAATGTTTATTGTGCATCGGATATTTACTTTTCGTTGCATTACTAATTAACTGTAAAACTAATTATACGCTCGACGAAAAAGCATCTCGGTGTATGAATTTATATAAACAGAGATACACAAATTAACCATAAGCGTACTTACGACAGGAATAAAAGGATTAAGTTCACCTGAAAAGGTCAACAAATCAGTGATGGAGAAAGCGGTCACGCGGTATATCCTATGGGATTTACGCAGCTTACCATGAGAACCGTCAGAACTGGTGCAATGAAAATGAAATTATATGGCGACATCAATTCCGTACTCAGCCAGTTAACATTTTCCTCATAATTAACTTTCACCAGTGTCCATATTAGCGTGATTATAGCCGGAAGTACTAATCAATAAAGCAAAATTAAACGCTAAATCATAATCGGTACATTCACGTGACTTACACCATCCTATTGCCCCAAACGGCCAAAAGGTCAACTGTTCCAATTTGTGCGGTTTGAACAGTATACAAGTCATATATAATCCTTCACAAAATGTCCAAAAAAACGTTGTCATTTGGCAGTACGTAAAGGCAATTATCATTCCATGGAGGATATTCTAAAAGTCCATTAAAACCCATTATAGCACAGCATCGCTCGCCGAGCGTCATTTGGAAGTAGGCCACTGTCACCCGTTTTATGATGGGAAATTCCCTTTCTTCGGAGAACTCCATCTTCTCCTCGTTAGACTGGAAATTTTGTTGACTTTTAAAGTAGAAAAATAAGGTCATTGTCATCCAGACGGAAGCCGAAAAGACGTAGGTCGTTATGAGATTCAAATGTATCACATTGCGGAGACGGCAGAGCGTCCGAAATTTGGCATAAATGCAAATGGCCAATATACACGTTGCCAACGATAAGGAATAACCAAAGTAATGGAGGACGGTACTTATCAAATTGATAATATCCGGTGACTGCAAGTAAACAACACATCAAATCGTCACGTGTACATAATGACTTGCGAAATATATAACAAGTGGTTTAAAACAAATTTGCCGCTTATGAAACAATTCAATGTATTTGCTACAGCTATAAACATAATGCTTATTAGTTATTACACTCATTGTTAATGCAAATTATTCTTTAGCTCATGTTTTGGGTATTTTGTTTGTGAGAACCGTACGACAGCGAACAATGTGACAAAGTATCGATTGTATTATTACTATTATTATTATCCCATATTATTATATACGCAGTCGTCGAACGGGTTAATATTATAATTTTTTCAAAAATTTTCAACAAGCGCGGTGCGGTGCAAATTCTTGAAACAGCAGCAAGAAAAATTGCAGTTTAAAAAACCATCGAACGTCGGTTTACAGATAGTACAAACTCAAACTCAGCGGGAAACAATTTTTTCCTTTTTCTGTGCGTGTCCCGGACTGTTAACGGACGAGACCACTTCTGAATCGGCGCTTTACAACCTATATCCATCCAGTGCGTTCTCCAACTACTTTTTCTGTTTCTACTCTAAATGCGATTGAGCCATCACGCCTGTCAACTGTGATTTCTGGACGATGCGATCCAATTAACGGTATGCGATGGGAGCCGACAAATACACTTTGCGGGCCTGTGCAGTTCAACTGGAAATGCCCACAGTTCGTCTATGGGAATTTACGAGGATAACAACTTTTTATGTAAAGAGAGTCAAGTTCTTTTATCGGAGACCACCTTCGTATCATTAACAATTTAAAAATGGAATCCGCAGAAGTATAGATTGTTCTGTCGTGCCTTCCATAAAAGAGAAAGGAGCCTTTATTGCTCAACAGTCATCATATACACTGCATTTATCCACAGTACTCGGATATCATGCAATTATACATATCAGGAACACGGATATCTGTACAATCAATTTGCACATGCAGCACAAAAGCTGTGGAGGGTAACAAAGACAGAAATGTACCGTAAAAATATTTTATTAACCACAGAAAACTAGCTGAATAATCGCTCACGTAATATGAACTGTATAAGTTCACTTACCGCGCCGGGAACAGCAGTATAATCGGTTCGGCCCTGGCTAAGGCATTCGCTGTAGTTACTCCAGCGATCCCATGTTCCATTTTCAAAGCACTGCCGGCTTACATTGGCTGCAACCGGAAATACTGGCAATTGACAAAGTGTGATTCGGGAATTGAAAAAGCAGAGTACTTAACCTTTATAGCGCAATTACAAAGTCGAGTCTGTTAAAGGCATCGATAGCATTCATCGTTTAAGGAAAATTAAGTGCTGAACATACAGAAACGAAAAGGGACACGCAAAAAATATTTATAACTAATTCAAAATAAATTTTCCAGCGTTTGCAATTTTCACGAATTTGCGTTAGTAAATGCAGTTCATGTGAATTAAAAAACGGAAATATATGCTCTTGTCAAATTTCGGTCTATTAACGTTGCTTTTAAGTGACTTTCACCGTAGTATGAGTAATTTGCTTATAATACGAGTATATGCTTACGAAATAGTCAATAATTTCACTGTACCATGAAAGTGAAGTCTTTTATTGTTATACGGCCTGCTATTGTAAAATAAATGCTTAAATAGTTACAGGACTGTATTAACCAAATTTATGCTCAAAAATGTTGACAGTGTATTTACCTTCTGTAACGTACGTATATCTGATTCCGTTCCATTCCTCTGGGCAGGGAATTACCGCCAGCATTCCGGCTTCCACCGGTGGCCAGCAGGACGCAACATTCCAGTTGGCTTCGCAAAACAGCTTTCCTGAAGACGGAAGCCATAAAACGTACCGGCTTGGTGTGATACGTGCAACGTGATCTGTTTAATTAAACGTCCGAGGCCAATAACGTATTATTTTTTCGCGCGCTATTTTCAGTAATTTGAATCTAACAGCTAGCCATTTCAGTGTTTCATCACTTATAAACCGGATGAGTGGGTGAGATGTTGGACATCACGACATTTGCTTGTACCGGAAGGAAGACTGCACAATGATTCGAATAATGAGCGCCGGCAAACGATACGGACAAATCATCCTGCCTATGCAGTTATAACCTTAGCTTATTGTTAGTAACAGCGGATTTTTACGATTTCTGGAAAATTCACAACAGCATAGTCGCTAGTTTTATTTTAGTTTATCGGCAATTGACATAGAAGTACTTCAAGTATGGAATTTTTTACTTAGATATCCGGGTGCAGGACTCTGTGCTGACAACTTATAAGAATATGATTAAACAGTAAGTATGTATCTGCAACATCTTGTATTCGCTTTCGCATGTGCAACAATCCCTTATTGCTCACACTGAACGTCGCAGAATGATACTTATTTGCAAAATAAGCTGTTTAAAATTTTTCTTCATAACTAACAAAAAAACGAAAACGCTTTAAATCTGTACTTGTAATCTTATTTGTATTCTGTTAGTTATTACAAATCTTACAAGTTTTAATCGATGTGGTCATGTTAAACCAAGAAAATGCAAGAGAAAACACAAATTTAAAATACAAATTTGTTTAACACACAGAATTTAGCAAAGGAAAGAAGTGCTGTGCACATGCGGTTAAACAACTGTTGTAAATCATAATCATAAAATCAATTAGCAAATGGATACACTAAATATCTAAATGCGACAGCCTGCATGCAGGTACAAAACAAGGGAATCTGAACCTACCGGACTTCCGACAACCGGACGACAGATTAAAATTTGCCGAAGAGCATTTGCGTCTACGGGCAGAATCGTACAGCCTGCGCAATACCGTCATGCTTTCCTGGAGCATATTCATTTTCCACAAGCGGCGCATTCAATAATGTATTTGGCTACAGATAATTAGTGCAATCTTCACTTTCCCAAAATTCAAACTTCAAAGGAACGAAGCAATATTAATTTTCTACAACTAACTAACTTCTCGTGCGAAGATTTAAAATTATCAACAATCCCCATGCACTAATAGAACATAGGAATTAATTTAAATTATTTCAGAGAATGCTTCCGGCAGAGGTATTATCACTGTTAATTTCAACTTAGGGTCTGCTATGTGCAAAATGCAGTCGCAATACGTATATGAATAAGCAGCGTCCAATCGGTTGAGATCCGTAGCAGATGTCTTAGGTGGCTTAATCGATTTTTCTCTGTACCGTACGTTAAACGTATTACACATTGGATACCTGCTAATTGGATAATGCTTTAAGAGTCCAGCTTTTAACAGTGCTTGACGCCTTATTTCCGGTCGACGGTTCTCACTTCTCACCAGTTTGGGATTGTAATATCTGCGATACACCACGTACGTCACCGACAAACTTAATTTGTACCGCCACAAAACAATCGCAGTCTCTTTGAGAGTTATAGTTCATAAAAACGTATTTTCACTTTCCTCATCTATTCCTGGAATCACTAACGGTGATGCGCTAATGCTATCTTCTCAAACGGTCACCTGAATAATGTTTGCGTATCTGCATGATGGGAAAATACTAAATAGAGTCCAACAAGAAAAATAAGCGATGTTGTAATAATGGCTCTCAGTAATACAGTGAATTAATCGTCTACTACAATATTTCGGTAACCTTTACACGTACAAAGTATAATACTTTATGCTTATATAAAACTTTATGTAAGATATGGTTAAGCAGAAACCATGTATGCTTATGGCACAACCGCAAATGGAAGACATTAGAGTGCAGAAATTGGTAACCTAAAGCTCCGATCGCCGTTCGTTTGGCGGATGAACCTCCTAATACCCTTGTTACATTTCGAGTTTCCTTATGCTAGAAAGTACCTAATGGTAAGATCTTAACAGTTATTAAATCTTGGCTCACCTGTTGCTGTTAACCGTTCTGTGTCATTGACAAATTCCAACGCACATAAGGTCTTAGAGGTTTGCATATATTCCACGCATAATTCCGGATCGGTTTTATCCTGGCATAACTCATCATCCGCTTCCATTCCTGTTGGAAAGGCAACGATTAAATAACAGTGGAAACATGTTGCGGAACGGATATGCTAGTGCCTTGTGCAGACGTTGGTGCTGGTCTTGGATTTTAATTTAATGGAGTCATACGTACAGAATACAGTACACGAACCGCGCTGTCTAATCCTCAAGGAATTGATTAAAATTAACCGTTTCACCAACATACAGCAAAAGTCAGTTAAAAGGTAATTTCTTCAATCAAGCTGTCGTCGATTGCTGACTGCCACTGGGATTTCTTTGACAAAGCATTGCCACGGATCATGCTGCAATGGAATATGGTGTCATTTTGCCGCCGTGGTACATGCTTTGTATGGACCATATTCAGCAAACGTAACCCGAGTACGCAATGAAATCCTTGTTTTGATTTGCGCCGAACGCGAATCCCTACCAGTGAGCCGGCATAGTTTGCAAGAATATCTTGCCGATTAATTACCGAAAAAAAGCATTCGTAGACGCATGTTAAGATGCCGCGGAGCCAAAATATGTCAATCTTAAGACAAGGTTATTTAAAGCTCACTGTATATTTAGAAACAACAATTTATCAACGTAAATCTCTTGGATAGTTGTAATGATACCCACATCGACATAATTGTCAGCACATTCCTTTACTGTTAAAGCATCTGTATGCCATTCCGGAGATCTTTTATTACTTTCAGAATGGTATGTTTTTCTGGGCAGTACATCTCCAACTGCTTAATAATAATGGGGAACATCTCATCACCGGCGCACGCCCTTGCGACCACAAGCGTATCAAAAAAGCCGGGTGTGATGCGAATCGTTCAGTTACTGTACCATGCAGAGGTCGGCTGGAAACGCTACAGATACGGTGGCCTTTTTTCATTTTCAGCATCACTGGAGCGATTTTGCATACATACTTCCTGTGATCCACGCATGAAGTATCATACGTAATTTCACCAATAACCATACGCTAATCAACATAATATTATGTAAACGAAGCACTTATACGGTAGCTACTGCAGATACACCTCGTATATAGACTGCCGCTTTGTGTGCTGCGCAGCTTATTTTGCTAGATGATCAATATACAATACGATAGCGTACAGCGTAAGTAAAACGCTAAATGACGGCATTTCCGTACCGAACATAAAAAACGCACGGCAATCAGAAGATAAACATTAAACGTTTCCCTGCCGTTTGTCCCTACATGCTGGGATGCATTTACCCAAGATTACGTTACATACCCTTGAAAACACTAATCAAATAAGAAATCATACATTTTTGTTTGATTTTTTTATCCTGCCATTTGGGCTGTGTTGACATATAATAAGCGCGAAGCTACCAGTATCGTTTGAAACGCCACTAAAATGCCCCTGGAAATTTTTGAATTTGATGCCGGTAGAAAAACAAGATTTTTTCGCAGAATCGCAAAAGATAAAATTACGTATGTTTCCTCATACTTCACTCCATCATTTGAAATCTTCACAGAAATCAGCAAAATACAGTAAATAAGTTTCCTGTTGCAAGACAATCATTATTGTCATATTTTGCATGAAGTCCATTCAAGTCATGAACAGATAGATGATACCGCGCATGGTCGCATATCGAGTACTTACGTTAACAGAATAGAACCAGTGTTGTAGTGTACGAACTACGCACGCGCCGTAAACAATAAATACAAGTGCGGTATCCCAGTTTTCGCAATCGCTTTGATCGATACAACCAAGCTTCATCAATCCAGAATAATCAGACCTCCGCCCGATCATTAGCCGGAAAAGGTAACAAAAAGCAGTCCTTGTACACGCAGAAAGATCAAGATGTATTTGTGTCAAAAACAGCAGGTCCACAGCGGTGAACTTGAATCTTGGTTATTCCCACATCTCATGTATAAGAAAAAGCGCGGTCAGTTGCGGGTGTATTTGCAGTATCCATGTTGCAGCGCACAAAAGAATCATTCAAGCGGGGAACACAGCATGAGAATCCATTAACCAGTTTTTCTTTGGATGACTTCCGAGGCTTTAAAGGATCAGTGAATGCTTTGAAATATTTTGATTGCTAAAAAGACTGAACTCGGACAGCAACAAATCGACCGCATTCGAAGTCAACGACTGTATTGCATAATTTGCAGACCGGCATTTTTTACTTTGGATGTGTCCTCGATTAGTCAGATATACATACGTTAATTATCCAGTCCCGGTCTTTTAAAGTGAAGCAAGAAATTACACTGTAGTCAGGAAAGTATGAACAAACAGATGACAACGTCGCGAAGAAATGACACACTGTCCAACTGGATAAAAAGTGTCAGAACAGTTTTTTCCGCAGACTACACCCGCACACACGACCGTTATGGCATGATACACAGACATACGCGTGTATGTACAAATTTATGTTTAGTCGCGCGCGATAGCGTCACTGGCAGTATGCAGGCATATGTTGATGACAGATAAGAACGGCTACTTGGGTCAATTGAAGCATGAATAGCCGAACAGGGATCAGGGATCGATTTTGGATGTTGTCGCCCAGATGGAAAATGTGAAATCTCCTAGTGAGAGCTGATTAAATTATCGTAGAATTGTTAAAATTAGGCAACACCGAAAATTTCTCTTGGCTCAACCAATACCGCGCGCCACTATATCACACTAACGATGTATGCGCGCGCCGGCCGAAGACAGCACGCGGTGGGTATGTTTCGGTCCCAAAGTATACAGTGACGTCAGAGGCGCCTTGACGACACAGGAGTGTCCCGACTATATCCACGAAACCGGCGTGAGTGTCAAGAACAGACCAGTTGCATTTGAAATACCTCAAGTAGCAAAGCCAGCACGAGTATCAAAGCCAGCGAGAAAGGCTGATTAGCAACTGAGGCTATTCCAAAAAGTGCCGAAAGCTGTCGCTCCAAATAAGAATGACACAGCCTATTAACGTAAAGGAACCAAAAAACTGTAGGCACGCCCGTCATCCTTGCATGCACGCCACATATGCGACAAAAGGATCCGCTATATGTTGTTGACATGTGGACTATTTATCCATAACGGGCTGATGTTTAGGTGTTTGTCGAGTTAAATACCACGAAAACCACAAGAAACGGAAGGGTTTGTACGTTGTGTGAATGGATGATCACCATCCAGATCACAGATACTTGGTAATATACTTCCGGTTGTCACCCATCCGTTATATAGCATGTCTGCTAATCTGTGGATTTGCCATGAAAGCGCTTTGCTACCGCAACGGAATGTCAGCCGCTAGCAACGGCAGCGGAAATATACATACTCACTGCGCAGTGAGCACATTTCACGCATAGCATTCTGAAACAAAATTTTATTGCTGATAATTAAAGGCCGCTGGATTCATTATCACTGCACACTGTGCACAGTCTGTACTTGTACATCAGTGCAATTAACTGGAAACTTTGTTACGGAAAGATATTATTTAGAACTTCACTTCGGAACAATATTCCGCATAGCTCGCGTTATTGTAATTGGTTGTAAATTGTAATTGTAATTGCTTTCAACAATCATACAGTAATTCTGCAAAAAATAATTGAATCAGTATGTAAACCACATCCCTATAGCTCTTGATCAAACACTGATAATTATTTCGTAAATATATAAGGTTTGTTGTTTAATTTGGTCAGTGGTCAGTTGCAATAATTACATATATCACGATTTACAGTTAAGTTATTATCTATTGGCAAACCCCCGAGGACGGCGGTTGGTCTACCATCAGGTTCTGACTGATAAGACCCGATATCGTCGGCGTGGACGCATTTGACATCAATCATATCATCCTATTCTTTTTATCTTCGGAAGTTTCTCGGCCGCGTGACAACAGTCGTCACACAAGGAGATTTCTGCGTTGGTTTCTGGAGTTTTTTTGGAGTAGCACCTCTGTTACTATTTTTTGACCATGTCTGGAAAGATCGAAGCGGAGTACGGATCATGGAAGTCACCGATCAGCAGCAGCATTGCTGCAGGCAGCGATATTCAGATCTATGGCATGGAACGGGATGGATCTTCGGCCGCAGCATCTGGTACTGCGTGTGGTTGTTTTCCACATTTCGCCGTCAGAATTTTAATTGTGCATTGCAGGTACGATTTACTGGGTGGAACAGCGCCCTGCGGATGCTGGTCGGAATGTTGTCTGTAAGAATGCCACCCACAAAATTTTTAGATGCGAGTGCAGCGTACTGTAAATGAAGTTTGTTGGATAAAATTTGCAGGCAGCTGGGATCCCGTGACGGCGAAGATTTCGGAATGGACTCCCGAGCGAATACAGTGTGAAGACAAAAGTTCACGAATATGGTGAGGAAAATCTGTTTTATAAAAAATATTCACCGAGGTTTTATATTTGCGCCTCGGCGTTTGTGACATGTGATATGTTGGGAATTTGTAGGAGGCGGATCGTTTTGCGTCTTTCAAAAGTGTTGTATTTTGTTAACAAGGCGGACCAGCAGATTTATGTGCAGAAATCACCCAGCGAGATTCCATGTGCGTTAACTGCTCCGAGCTCAGTGCACCGATATGCTGACTTGCATTACAGCGAATTTGTAAGTAATTTAATTGTACCATGAATTTCGTATCTTTTTCAAGTAGAGTTGCGGCAGATGGAAGAGATGCATATGATGCCGTTTCTTTCTTCCTGTCTCTTCATACAGTTTTTGAATTTTTTATTTATGGAACTGCAAAAACTTGTTTTTTTGGACGCTGAGCGAATAAGACGGTATCAGCGTTACTACGAAATGAAATGAAGACATCGATAATCCAGCATTTCGATTGCATTTTGTGATTGCTAGTTGCCTTTTTAATTACAGCACTGTTATTCTGTTTGACAGTTTGACTGCGTGTTTGCTGTCTGCGAGGAACATCCACCAAAGACCGGGGCGGAAGGCGATGCAGCGTCAGCGGGCGCTAAAATTCCACAGAATTATGTGGCGGCTATCGACCCACGTAGCGGAAATGTTAGACACGTGGTAAGTGCAAATTTGTTATCTTTCCTACCCATTTTTTGCTGTCGACTTAGTGTCTGATAGAAACCCGGGAGTTTACATAGCCAAATTAAATAGTCACTTTGGAATGACCTTCTGCTGTACCCTGTTGATACAGTCGTTTATTTTGTTGCCTTATTCTTTCCATTTACAACTTTGTCTTTTTTACATCGCATTCCATAGGTTGAAGGTGCAGATTTTTATGCCTGCCCTCGTACTTCTCGCACCGGTGTTTTAATGTGGATGGAATGGAATTTCCCAAATATGGTTGGTTGAGTTTGTTGTACATAATCTGGACTTTGAGCTTTTTTTCGTGGGCCGATGCTTTAATTTTAGTGGTGTTACCGGAAGATCGAAATAAAATTATGTTGTATCATGTATGTGCTTATGTTAGGTCTGTTACGCAGTATTCACCCGTAGACGTTGAGTGCTTCAGGGTTGATTTGAATTGTTTTTGTATTACAGCCTTGGGATGACACCTTTGTAAAATGGTGTCCCTTGAAATCCCTGGATGACAAAGTGGCGGATGCCAAAGTGACAACTCTGACTGCAGCCAAAAAGAGCAGTGATGTTGCGTTTACTGATCCGTCTTTTACGTACTCTGGTCATATCCTTTATATCAGTGATGAAACAAATTGGTCTAATTTGTACATGGTGAGCACAGTGCCTGCAAAACGTTATCAGAAATTAACGAAAGTGTTTTGGATCTATATTGTACAGAAAACTTACTTTCGTTTCCATGCGCAAGGTTTCATGAGCAACTCTTGTTGCAGACCAACACGGAACAATTGTCAAAGGTTTGTCTCGATCAGCAGAATCAGGATCTTGGCTTTCCGATGTGGGTTTTCGGCTTCAGTCCGTACAGTGCTGTCCAGAAAGGTGATAGCATTGACACTGTGATCGCTCTTTCATACGGAAAGGTAAGTAGGCAAAATACTTCTCAGTTTCATATGGCAGGATATAAAAAATATCTGTAAAATACTTATTAACATTTACATTTAACGCCATTTTAGGAAATGATCTTGCTTACGCTTGACCCCAAAGGCGGTGTATCCTCACGAAAGACCGTTGACACGGGATTTAAATTTCATAATTTATATATCCACGCCGTTCGCAGCGGTTTTTATGCCATCGGATTCGATGCGAAAACTCCGATGACCTTATTCTACATGGATTTTGCCACTGAAAAGGTGAAGAAAAACAGTATCTTTATTACATACTGCGAAATTGCTTTGAATGGCCTATAGTGTGCAGTAGCGGTTTCTTGAAAATATTCTTCGCCCACGGTTTCTCGACGCCTGCTAGTAACCTTGAACTTTGATTTATCGTGCAAGTTCTTCTTTTTCTTTGACTCAGGTTACCCACGTGAAAGTGTCATCAACCTTACAACTGGAAGGATATTTGAGCGAGCCGCAAGAAATCGAATATCCGACGGGAAGGGCGACGTGTCCTACGGATATTATTATCCACCGACTAACAAAGACTTTACCGCTCCGCCAGGCACAACACCGCCCGTGTTGGTCAAGATGCACGGAGGACCTACGGCTAGATCGATTCCTTCCTTGAATCCTAAAATACAGTTTTATACTAGGTGCAAAATTTTACTCAGTTTACTTTAATGCTGGAGTCCATGGTTTTACAGTGCATGTTTGACAGTCTGGTTTTGTCCGTATATCTGTTAATGGTTGATGCTGTAGTCGTTGCACGTTTTTATCCTTGCTTCTTAATTGTTATCGTTTTTGTAGCCGAGGATTTGGAGTGCTGGATGTCAATTATCGAGGTTCGAGCGGTTACGGACGAAAATATCGACAACTGTTGAATTTACAGTAAGTACGTTTTGCTCGCACACTATGTACATAGAATAAAACAATTGTCCTGCAGGTGGGGAGTTTCTGACTGCGACGATGCCGTAAACGGTGTCAAATATTTGGCTAAAGCGGGTTTAGCGGATAAGGATCGTTTGTGCATAACCGGCAGTTCAGCGGGAGGGTTATCCGTTTTGAATGCATTGCTTAATTATGACACTTTCAAAGCGGGTACGAACATCATCATATCAGTTTTTATTTAATATAATATTGTTAATTATTTCTTATGGTAGGTTACAGTAATATATTTCTTTTCGGCAGGAGCCTCTCATTATGGTGTAGCGGATCTGGAAGGTTTGGTGCACGATACGCACAAATTTGAAATGCGGTATTTGGATATTTTAATCGGGGAATTTCCGGCGCAGAAAGCGGTGTATGACAGTCGATCTCCAATAATTCACAAGGAAAAATTCAAATGCCCGTGCATTTTCTTCCAGGGCCTTGACGATTTCGTAAGTGCGGCCTTGTTTTAATGGGTTAGGTACTGCACTGCAAATGCTTACCTATAGATTTCATTTGACGGTATTTATTCTAGATTGTTCCTCCTCAGCAGTCGGAGAATATGTATCGAGCTGTCAAAGATAAAGGGCTGCCTTGTGCATACGTTACGTTTGAAGGTACTAGCTCGCTGTTATGACTTGTCCCAGATTTGATGGAATTCCTTTATCATGTTTGATTTTGCAGGAGAAGGTCATGGGTTTACAAAAAAGGAAAACATCCAGAAAGCGCTGGATACTGAATATGCGTTTTTTGTTAAGATTTTCGGAATTAATGCGCCCCATGTTACCTGTGAAGTACCAATCGAAAATTTATAGATTGGACGAGTTCGCACTGCTTTCAAAATTTTTGTTTGGTCCTGCTTACATATTTTTCCAATGCAATTTTTTGTGAATGGGTCAAGTTTTTATTTCCTGGATTGATTTACGAGGGGTGTGATTTTATAAGGCAGCGTTGATCTTTGTGATTGTTTTATTTGTAAACAAGTAGAGATACCTTAGAACCACTGTTACAAAAAACAGCGTTTACTGAGGGAGCTAAAAAACATACTAACAAGTTCAAAGCCGCAGTAAATCCAAACAAGCCATGCAATGTACAAAACCAATTTTGAGCACAAAAATACCCACAAACAATGATCACATACCGATATCCCTATTCGCTGAGTATAAAATTAATTGAAAATATTCAGAACTACAAAACTCAACGCAGTATAAGCGTAGAAACGGTATTGTACACTTATTCAACAATTTAAGGATGGAATCGAAACATCAGATCAATAAATATAAATAAGCAAAACGTCAAAATTTATGAATACAACGTAAGGGGCCAAAAGCCCCGAGAAACCTCAGAAACGGCGTAAGCCTCAGAAATGGTCATTTAAGGAAGAACGCATCCTTTTGTGCTGTGCGGGCTTAGGCTTGCTCGTTTTTCGATAAGCAAACAGCTCTTCTTCATGTCCATCAGCGTCCATAGTTTTATAAAACGGAGGATCGCAGGAGCTCTGTCGAAAAATATTCTTCATTTATTTACACCGCTTACTGAAGAATAAAATTAAAACCTGAACGTACATACCCTTAAAAATTGTGTACACACTACAGGCTATAAAGTATTAACGTTAAAGTACTTACTTGAAAAGACTCGAAAAATGCTTTATAGCCGCCTTCCAGCACGTACACATCCGGAAAGGTAATAACGGGATATCGGTGGGCATTGCGTTTTCGGTCCTCCTCTCGTAAAAGTCTCGCCCTACAATAATACCAGCAGAATGTGGAAAACGACAGCTTTTAATCTGAAATCGTGCATTAAACGATGATCAAGTATCAAGATTACTGTAACTACAACAATGTTTTCTCAGTGACCATTAAACAATCGGTGAGGTTAACGTATAACCTACAACTCATACAAGTAATGATTATGACCCTAATTTGAAAAACCAGTAAAACCGTAAACAGAATGAAAACCGCCAAAGTAGATTAACATTAAACAGACACCACAACAAAATACTTACATAACTACGTTAGCTTACACAATTCGGGCACACTGAACGCTATACAAGCACTTACAAGTCGGGGCCCCGCTTGGAAGAAAATTCACAATGGAATATGATGACGTTTCGCTCTTCCTTTGCTTCCACTGTACTGCTGAAAAATGCGGTTAACAACTGTTCCGATGAGTGAATATTGACGGCGCCACGGATGTGTCCGGCTTGAAATTCATATGGATATCGGCAATCAACAATGGACAACCTAGCGAATCCATGCATTAGCGGCTTGTGCATCAGTTGGCTCAACTAAAAGTACCAAAAGCGCTAAAATTCAACCACTTGCACATAAATTTATTTGTTGTTACTCACAGTTTCGCATGTGATATATCGGATGTCCCCATGACGTCCCCGCACAGTCGGCAAGCACTGCCAAAAAAGAAAAAATCTGAAAAAACCATAACTAATTCAATATCATGCGCACAACATACATTTTGATTTGTGCTCATTTTCTGACAATCCGAAGCAATTTTCCTTTTCCGTACAAGCACACTTTCTGTCACACGCTTGGTGCAGTTCGTATCCTTCGACCCGGTCCATGTTGGTGATACTTTGGAGACTTCGCGTTTCTTCTCTGGCCGAGTAGACAGTCGGGGAGTATTGGTGCACATAGTGGCCAATGGCTTTTTCGGTGTCCTTGGCGAAACGGATGGCGAACTGGAGAAACGGAGGGTAGACTGGACAAATCGCTTCTTTTTGTTTGTACACGGTCTTTTTGTGGTGACTGATACGATTTCCATATCAGTATCCATTCGTTCGTCCGATGAGCTAACAACGTAGTTGTTCCAACAGGAAGAATTTAAATTAAAACGAGAAACGCACACCGTAAGATTAGCGCACTAAAGAATACTGTACAGTACCTCTCCGATGAATCAAAATTCAGGGTTTTTCGAATTGCACCATTCTCGGTATCTTTCTCGGGGCTGTGACAGACATCCATATGGATCATGGCATGGAACGACAGGCCACTCTTCGAAGGTAACATGGCGATCACAAAGATGGAATAGTGCTGTGCAAAACGAGGAACCGAATTACAGCTGGGACGTCAGAAAACGGTCCTCTCAGGCATAGTCTGGCACACAAGCCATTCCTGAACTTTTGTAATCTGTCAGGGACGTCTCCAAAGAACAGTGAGCCTGATTTATATAAATACCAACCAGGACTTTCTCATTTTAGTGAGTTTAGAGCCATATAATGTCCGAATAGAAAACGTCACCTTATAATCATACTGAAATAAGTGAAATTCAAAGAAAACCTACGGCTCTGAAAACTGAAAATTTATTTTCTGACTCGAGTGGCTTGGTGTTTTAACGACAAACTTTTGTTACAATGGTTTTACGCAGTTTTTCAAAAGTAGCTGCCACCTGATATCAGTGCCACACACACACAGAAACCGACCGGAAATGTTAAATGTTTCATGCAGCCATATTCCAGGGTTATTGGAAATTTCTGTCTCTGTAAATTGTAACTGCCGACTAGCAGTAAAATATATTACTAATAGTACGAGTATATAATAAAAAAAAATTTCACGATGTTCCAGCAGATTTTTAATTCACTGCGAAAGCAAAATCCACTTGATTTAAATTTCGTTGGAGGTCTTATATCAATCATGTATGGGTCAACAAACTCAATACGCAACTGCGCATGTCCATTGTCCGGCACACAGCAAATCCACATTCCACATCGAGCCATGTGTCGCATTTTCCGTTTCAATCCTTTCCTTTTAGACTGGGGATCGCAAAAAATATTTTTCTCTGAAATTGTTTTGAGTGGAGGTCTGATGTTCTACTACTCTAGCAATCAAATTAAACACCAGGTCTCACATCAGGTCACGATGCCGTGAATGTTGCAGTCTTGCAGATACTGACTATATTATTAACAATAATGTATTCATGTACAATCTGTACTTGTGTTACTTGGTTAATTTAATTGTGTGAACTTACAGTTACAGATATCTAATCGGTACAAGCATACAATGTCATATGTACAAGTACAGCATTAGCATTTACAATTAATATCTACATGTGCTTCAGTAAAAAATTTATATCACAATAAACTGAATAAGCTTACCTAATGGTAAGTATGAATACGATTACCTCGTATACATGTAGACACAATATGAATACGAATAGTGTGCACAATAGTTAATTAAATAGTTAACTAATTAATTAGCTGCATGCCTGCACATAATACAACATCACAATTAGATAAACAAACAGTAATATTATGTTTATATTACTAACATACTATTACTAACATAATACGCTAACATAACATTACAAACAGTTTAATTTAGTAATATTATGTGCGAATATAGATATTACGCAACGGGTACTAGGGACAGTTAGAAAAATGCCTTGCACACTCTGTTATTATTACCGGCATTTGCAGCTAAAAATGTTGGGCAGCTTATTCAACATATCTTTGTACTGCGGGTACACAGCGACCGTAACTCCGATTAATTCCCTTTTGGCAAAATACGATTATATCACAATTAAAAAACCGGATTGCTGTTTTTGATCATGTCCTAACAATGACATTATCCGACCCACAGACCTAGTTGCCTAAGAATGCTTCGTAAGTGTGTATCGACGAAAAGGCATATTTTCGTAATTTAATTTGCGGGGCACCAATTCACATCAAACTTCCCCAGATGAACCTTAAATCAGACACCTTTGCAATGACCCATTCGGCCTTAAAACCACCTTCCTGCTTTAAAGTCTTCCAGCGTTCCAAAAGGTCCCAGATGATCCTTACAGTGATTTTGTTAATATTAGTCATATTTCAGCTACTGTATGGAATTCTTAGCGTCCCACGATCTTACGAAGCTGAACCGGTAGTAGAAAACTATAAAGTGGAGATTAATTTCCCGTGGAAATATATTCCGGATTTCTTTTCCGGTGCCAACAAAACCGATGAGAAACTTTCAGAAGGTGAAAAGGTTACACAGCCACCCAAAAAGTACAAAATCACAGCGTGCGCTATGATGCACAACGAAGTTGCATATCTGCTGGAATGGATCGAATTCCACCGTTTGCAAGGTGTCGACCATTTTGTACTGTATAATTATTACGGAAGCGACAAATCGGGATACACGTCAAAGTTGTACGAAAATCTCGGATTAAAAGATTTCGTAGAAATACTGCCGGCCAGTCTGGATGATCAAGATGTCAATCGCACAGAAGGACTGAGTGACTATTACGTTAGTAAAGATTTATCAATGGTTGACTGTTATACCCATCAGAAAGATTCTGAGTGGCTACTAATGCTGGACGTGGGACATTTTGTCTATTCGACACATTATGAAAATATTAACGCGATGCTCCTTGATCAGCGTGGACAACAAACGTCCAAAGACGGTGATTTCGTTGGGGGCTTTAGCCATTCGGAGCCGTTCAGTGCGGTCCGTATTCCAACGGTCCGGTTCGGAACGTCCGGTGCGACGACAAAATTCAAAACCTCGTTGTCGCCGAATTCGTACACTAATAATTCCGTGGACATCTTGTACGAGCCGTACGGGACGTCATCTAATATTTACCCAATGGTAATGGAAATCAATACCCGGCGTGCGCCGCACCGGGAATTAGATGCAAATTATACCGACCTTCCGGTGTGTTCTGAAGCGCAAGAGAACGCCATAAATTTGGCTTTGTGCAGTGATTCATCGACGGTGACCCTGGTGCGCTCGGACCGGCAGTGCGTCAGCGAGAACATGACGGAATGTTTAAAGCCGACAAAACATTTCATTTGGCCGGAGCTGACGGTTCTGCGCGCGGACAATCATGAATGGCGCTCACGCGAACATTTTCAGAAATCACTGTATGGTGACTTTTCCAAGAATCAGACACTGGAAGTGTTAGATTCCAGTTGGTTTTCCCTCATCCAAGACGATTATAAGAAGAACACGTTTTTGGAGCCGGTGCGGAAGAAAATTATGGAAATGAAACCGCGTGTGTACCGCGAAGTGGGCCGGGAATGCCGACCGGAAACCATTTTAAGTGGCCAGCAGATAATGTGCCCGGAGTCACACCCGTATCCCTATGGGAATCTGGGAACCAAGTTTCTACGGGATTGTTGCCATGTGGATAAGGATGCCAGTGGTAATCCACTGCAGATTGGTTCTTCCAGTTGTGATCAACAAAAATCCGTGGAGTGCACCGAGCAGGATGGTGTCCAGAAGTGGCTACACCGAAGCTGCTGTATATATAACAGCGACTTCTCTCACCTTAAAATGCACATCGGGGTGCCATCCACTGGTTGACGGATCTCAGTTTTTGTATTCCGTATGCTCAATCAAAATTTTATATTATCTATTCTGAACTTTAATATTCATTGGTTTTTAACACCGCGTTGATGTATCGTAACTTGATTTACTTCCTTATTATTTTATGCTGTATTTTACAGCATTTTTGCTTCACGTTGTTGTGAAATTATGAATTGGCTTTTTATGATCGCGAAAAACGGCATTCCATCGTGCGTCATGACAAACGTGACCTTTGCATTCCACCATTTTAGTGTTGTTTTTCTGCATATTTGCAATAGATGCATACAAGTAATGTTTGCGAAATTGGCAAAACCTCTAATCATGCGAAAGAGAATATTAAAATATCTATATGTAACTTTTGGCAATGCACCATCTTCGTAACACCCATCATACGATTTATCTGTATAGCAAACACAGCACGTAACTTTGACTTCAGGCCAACCGCGCCGTAACGACTGCACAAAAATTCCTCCCGGCAGTTTTGGAGCATGTTCAGTTTACAAAATTTTTGCGTTTGTTAGGAAACTTTTTTTGCAGCATTAACCCAGATAACGTGCACTCTAGGTCATGTGGCATATGGTACAGGAAAAGCGCTGATTTACATAACGAATTTTGTCGCACGCACTTGTCATTTACCTTTAACATGCCTGTAAAAAAAGATTCCTTTGAATTTCCGTTTGCTTCGAAATACCATTCCTGCTTGAGGATGGTCGAACGCTCTAGGAAATATCAAATCATTTTAACATTAATTTTGTTAGTCCTCGTGGTCTTTCAGTTATTATTTGGCATCATAACCGTTCCCAAGTCCCTCAGCCGGCAGTCGATCTTTGAAAATTATAAAGTGGAGATCAATATCCCATGGAAATTTCTACCGAACTTTCTTACCGGTAAAAACAAGACTGACGAGTACACTGCATCACAGACTGCCCAGCAACAACCAAAAAAATATAAAATCACCGCTTGCGCCATGATGCACAACGAAGCACCATACCTGATGGAATGGATAGAATTTCATCGGTTACAAGGAGTCGACCACTTCGTCTTGTACAACTATTTCGGGAGCGATCTTATCGAATATACTCCAATGTACTACGAAAATACTGGAATCGTTGATTTAGTGGAAGTTCTACCGGCGCGGTTTTTCGGGCAGGATCCCAAACGAGTCAAAGATTTAGCCGATTATCTACAGAACAAGGAGTGGTCAATGGTCGATTGCTACGTGCGCAGTGGGAAGCAGTCAGATTGGCTGCTGATGCTAGATGTTGGACATTTCGTTTATTCTACCGAATACGAAACTATCGGATCATTTTTACTGGAAATGGCGCTATCACAAAAACCGCGGGATGATGATTTTGCGGGAGAGTTTCGCCATGACGAACCATTCAGTGCCGTGCGTATTCCCACCGTGCGTTTTGGTACGTCCGGGCAGATTGGTAAGTTCCGCACGTGGTTGTCACCCAACTCGTACACCGGCTCCGTGGATCTGCTGTACGAACCGTACAACGACACAGCCAACATTTATCCAATGGTCATCGAGACAAATACGCACCGTGTACCGCATCGCGAACTGGACGGCAATTATACGGATTTACCAGTCTGTACCGAAACCCAAGAAAATGCCGTCAGTCTGGGATTGTGCAGTGATTCGTCCACTGTAACGCTGGTACGAGCGGATCGCTTCTGTGTCAAAGACAATATGACGGAATGTTTGAAACCAACGATACATTTTATCTGGCCGGAACTGCCGGTTCTTGCGAGCGGACAACCACGAATGGCGATCACTGGAGCACGTCCAGAAATCGGTGTATTCGGATTTTCGCAAGAATAAAACCTTTGAAGCGCTGGATGCCAGCTGGTATTCGCTGATTGAGGATGATTTTAAGAAAAAGACCTATCTAGAAGCCGTGAGGAGGAGAATTATGGACACGAAGCCACGGATATTTTGGAAGTGGGCCGGGAATGCCGAGCGGATGCCATATTAAATGGTCAGCAGATCATGTGCCCGGAATCCCATCCGTATCCGTTTGGGAATCTGGGCGTGAAGTTTCTGCGCGATTGCTGCCATATCGATAAGGATGCGTACGGCAATAAGCTTCCATATTGATTCACCGAGTTGTGATAATCATACGTTTATTGAGTGTACGGAACCGGAAGGTTTACAGAAATGGCTTCACAGGAGTTGCTGCATCTGGAATCCTACGTTTGCGCACCACAAAATGTCCATAGGTGTGCCGGCACCAAAATAGCGCTACTGTGACGAGAAGGGAATGTAATCCAGATTTCCTGTGCTCATTCTTGCTCGGACGATTTTGCACTATTTTGTGGTACATGTTAAATCTTCTAGTTTTTTTTTACTTGAATTGTTTTTAGTGATTGGCATATATAGAAGTATAGTTTAGTATAATACATAAAATAAAAAAACATGTCGGTTTTTGTACGTCGGCGATAAAGTGCATTAAAACAGCAGTGTTCTATATTAACAAGACGTTTAAGCAAATTTCAATCATTTTCTACTGAATTAATAGCGATCCGTTCAGTTACGCCTAACTTGCAAGGCAACGCACAAGCAGTGAAAGCGAAAGTATGTACCTACGTTTGCTTTTGTTAAATGTGCTTTGATTTGTTGATCGGCAGCCAACAATCATTTTCCACACAGCTACCTATACGATCCATCTGTGCAGGTATCACGAATAATACGAAAGCAAAACTAATCACACCGCCGGAAGCTATGATTCATGATTACACAAAAACTTATTCAGCTCTATACGTCTCTAGTATCTTTGCTCTCAGGCACAATATGCATTTCGGTGTGCTTACTGTGCCAATTTTTTCTTTAAGGTGACAATGCATGGTTTATCGATGTACATTATGCAATCGATGCTTGGGCGTTTGCAGATATAATTAGATTTTATCCAAAATTTAAAAATGTGATATTGTAATTTCTAATTACAACAAATTATACTGCCAGTGTTTGTTAAAATTAGTCAAAATTCAGTGTGCTGACATGCGCGATAAAATGCAGAAGATTAGTCGCGCCGCCGCATTTTCGCGGCGCACAATAACGCTGCAGACATTCCTGGGATTCTTGCTGGGAATAGTTTTTATGTTTATTTTCTTTCCTCCTCGATTACGTTTTCCGTCGTCAATTGCTGATGCTTCTTTGCTACCGTCGTTGTTTTCCTCTCACGTGCAACATAACGCCCCGTCGCAATCTTCTTCATCAGCAGAGAAACCGGCGGCACACATTTATGGTTCCGCCGCGCTGACCACAGTGCCGGCTAAACTTAAAGATGATACCACAACACCTGAACCGGAAAGTATGGATATAATGCAACAAAATGATGAAGGCAGCGATAGATCGCTGTTTATGACCGGAAAAGATATACCGAATCACGAGAGTAAATCCAATAATGTACGAGTATTCTGTTTGATTTTAACGCAACCGAAAACCAAAGACCGTGCTGCGGCCGTGAAAGCGACATGGGCCAAAAGGTGTGATGAATTTATGTTTGTCAGCTCGGAAACCGACGATACACTGCAGATTGTCGATGCACAATTAGGCGAAAACCGACAAGTATTGTGGGGGAAAACGAAATACGCCTTTCGGTGGGTTTATCGGTATAGTGCACTTTCAGATAAATTATGCAGTATGCACATAGATACACTTATTATGCTTGTATGCCTATAATTATTGTACCACCGCACTGATTACGTATTTACGCCTAATTATGTACTAACATTTCCAATTATTGGACTTAAAGCACTGATGTTTATTGTTCGTAAAAATCTATATGTACGTACGTGATAGCGCGAGTACAAACAATATTTGAATAATTATTAGTAAAAATTCTTACAACAATGGCATGAACAGTTTCCATTATTTTGTTGTACCGAGGTATTACATCTTTACTTGAAGATTAGAAACATACTGAGTAACTATTTATTGCCTTTACAGATTTTTATACGACAATAAACTAAACGACTTCGATTTCTTCCTGAAAGCAGACGACGATACGTATGTCGTAATTGAAAACCTGAAATACCTGCTATCTAACTATTCACCGTCAACTCCAATTTATTTTGGATCCCATTTCCAAAAATACATCCCTGAAGGCAAGTTTGTACATTTTTTGGCTTAGTGATGATGTTCTGGCATTTTGTAAAATAACTGTAGTCTGTGTTTAGCAAGATAACGCTAATTATATAAATAAGTAACTCTAATTTGTAGAAACGTATACCGTAGAAGAAAGTGTACGCGCGCTGTGCATTTTCCGCAAAGTATAATTATTAATTTGTTACAAACGCACATGTTTTTATTTCAGAATTAAAAATTCGTGTAGAAAAACGAATGCATATAATATTTTATGATATAAATACATAATTTATGTGCAATCAGGTTACATGTCCGGTGGTGCGGGCTACGTCTTGAGCAGAGAAGCCGTAAAAAACCTAATTGAAAAGGGCCTGAATAAAGGCATATGTCGAAAAGATAACAAGGGCAACGAAGATGTCGAACTGGGAAAATGCCTGGCAAAAGTTGGAGTAAAAACAGGAGACAGTCGGGATAATCTTGGGCAAGGACGGTTTTTCCCAATGCAGCCAACCTTTCATTTAAAACCGGGTCACATGAACAATGTACGTAACGCGGTTTGCTCTTTTGTTATTGTCGTATGGTTGGCTTAATCTTTGGTTTACTCTCTTTAATTTTTTACTCTGTGTGGTATTGCTTAATTATATGTTGTACACGTATTTAAGTATACAGTATACTCTAATATAAGGCAAATTTACTTAACCAGAAATGATTGGGTTTTCAAACTACTTACACTGGCTTTATGGTGTTATTACACGCTAGAATTACGAATGGTATTTTTAGACGATCTGGTACGGTCGGTTTTTGAAATATCCGGAAAAGGACGGAATGGAGTGTTGTTCCGACACTGCGATATCGTTCCACTATGTCAAGGATCTGTATCTTCTGGAATATTTGATTTATCACTTGAGGCCATATGGGAAATCATGAACACGTTTGCTCATCATATCCAGTTAACATTGCATTGTTTTAATTTAACAGATACGGTTATTTGTGATAACCAGGTGACTGTGATACCAGAGAATTATCAAAATTTAATCTGTATATTTCACGTTCGACTTGTAAGAACTGTCTTAGTCAGAGGATGTTACTTTGTCATAATAATATGTCTCCTACAGGTATTGTACAAAAATTTGCTACAGAATGCTGGCACTACAATACATCTATGTATGTCTCTGTACACTTAAAAAAAAAATTTCCATGGATAATGCATGCCTGCATCACTGCAACTCGAGCTTTAAACTCCTGGAAAATTCTGTACATAGAAGTATAGATATAAAAGTACACATACATAATCGCAGTCAATTTTAACATGCATCCGCAACTGAACACGGAAGGTTATGAAAATTCATCTTCTGCTCCGAATAAACGCCGTGTATGACCGAATAATTGCATGTCAGAAAGCTCTCAGCCTCATCCGGAGCCAAATCCCACATGTTAATATAGTCATCAATTTGTACGATTTTCATCTTACGAAAATTCCTAGCGTATCCCGTTATCAGCATATCCGAAGTGGACAATGACCGTTTGGAATACTTCACCGCCTGTAACAGTTTTTCTATCGAAGCAGATGGTAAGATCCACAAATGAGGTACAGCAAACGCATCCTCTGCGGATGCGGGTAGACGAAAAAAACTCTCGAGCAAATCTTTAGCCCCCACCGACTGTTCATGCATAAAATGTCCCATTATAAATTCATTATCCCGACGCTGCTGCTGCAGCTGGCGCAGTACTTTGGGCCAGGCTATCCAAACATCATCGGTGGCGCGACCGATGAAGGGCGTGTCAGGGTAGCTGGCAGCCGCCCATGACAATGCGGTTCGCACTAATTCGTAATCATTGTAGTAATTGTCAGGGCCCTTTGGAGACCGGAAGACATCACCGTGAGTGCGCGCTTCCCGCTCCACAATCTGATTCCTGGATTTGAGTTTATAATTAGGTAGAAAGGGAAATATTATCTTTATATTACACGCCGCGGCGCTCTGGCCCCATGTCGCGCGGATGGCGGCTCGCTCGTGTGCGGCATCGACCGGCGAAAATACCAGTAATATCAAGAGAGGCGGAGATGCTGCTGCTCGTGTATCATTAGCTCCATCCCGGAAGGAGTCTGATAGGGGATCACTCACTGCGGAAATTTGATGCATGTGTTATAGTGTTAAAAATAAATATTCACCGCTATTAAGAATATTACGGACTGTTAGAAAAATTAGACAGGTAAGAGTGTCCACTGTCTCAGATCGAGATTAATTACCCATGATCGATAAATACGAGTACCTGTGTTGAAATCAATATTCCATGTGTCTTGTCTCGCTAGAAGCGGAGCACTTTGTAGGATTATCCCGTAAAGAATGTTCAAAATAAATCGAAATAAAACACACAGTTCCATAACCAACTCACTCAAACTGTTTTCACTTGCCAAAGTCTTACCAACACGGAAAAATTTGTCCAGTCATTATCAATAAACACTGCATCTTGATTTTAAGCAGAATAATTATACGACTTTAGCAGCTGTACAAATTTGCGATACCTCGAACACGAAGATATTCTTTATTGCAGTGATTCTTAATTCTCTGCCTATCACTGCATGCAGACAAGATCACATTATAACAAGAACGAAGAGAACTAAAAACGAATTACGCGAAATGGATGCCCTAGGTAAACTTAGAAAACACATTTCCTCCGAGGGCATCAGTGCAGGATCGTTTGTGATGCGGCATTATTTCGCGGGCGAAATATTATACTCGTTTGCTCCATAATGCCGTAATAACGTCAGATCAGCAGCAGTTTGTATAATGTCATCTTTATAATAGGGTTGTGTCATCATTTAGAGCTCCTGATAATGCACAAAATGTCCTGTAGCGCATCCAACACGCTTTAACTTAAATTCGTAGAATCTATCAGGTACAGCCATAGAAAACCTTTTCCATAGGGGTGTGATAAAATTTCCCTAGCTTTTGTGTTGCAGGTAATTCGTTAAAGATACTCAGGAAAACATTTATACAAAATTTACCTAAAATTTTAAACCACGCAGCAATCAATAATAACGAATGGTGAACTTCCGCTTGCATTTTGGAAGTCAGCTGCCTAGATACCCAGCGAAAGCGGACAATATTATTTTATTCAAAGTCAACGCGTATAAGAATATAATAATATGAAAAAATAAGTAGAGTGCATAAATTTGAGCTAATTTTCTATATACGCCAGCTGTGGTGACCTCTTGGTTTTGCGGATATATATAATCTTCGATATGACGTTTGTTTGCATTAGCCTTCTTAGGTGGAAATAATGAGGCATCTAGAAATAATGATAAAATGTGTAGCCTAGCAAAAAGTAACATCATTGTTTGTTCAAGATTAACTTCCTGATCGGGAAGACAAATATTTGCGGAGAGAAGGTGCGGTCTTATTCGATCCGCATCGGTTGGCTTCTGCCGGTATTGTACATCTGTGTTTTAAAAGTCTATGCCGTACAAATTGCAACACCCCACACAGTAGCACAGTGAGCAATTTCCGTAAACGTTACAGCAATCTATCAGCCTGTCGGGACGCAGGCATAAACTGTGCTACACTGTGCGTACCCATACATATCTTTCCGGATTCCCTGGTTTATGTCGACATAAGCCGTACATGTGCATTGTATACTGCAATACTCGGGACGGTTAAAGCGGCACCTTGCTGTTTTCATTTTGCTCTTGCGTGTCACCCTATGAATACCCGGCTAAATCTTCCAGATCCCATTATGTTGCACGGGATACATCGTTCGGTAATTATATGTAGCTCGTTCCCATAGAAAATACAGAGTGCATGCTCGTGCCGCATGCCTGTGAAAAGGCAGCCACGTATCATTACGCTTAAAAGCGGCCTTGACCGTTGCGTTGATGGTGAATTGGCATTGGCTGCGGGAGCACGTCAACGCCGCCGTCACTCACTATCTTACCGTTGACATCGAAATCCAGTTGGAAAAAAATCCCATCTTCGTTTCTTTCGGTTTTAATTCAGAAAATTGGTTAATGGATATCGTCTTATTGATCTTGTCGAGCTAGAATGATGCATGCCGGGCTTTCGCTATTGATATGTCCTCATCTAATACGCTTGGACGGTTTGGTTTCCGATGAGATGTGCGTGAAAAGTTCTAATGCAAATCAACGACAGCTTTCGTGCCGGTGACTAGATGATGTCTAGCTCCTTGCATATAAGCCGAAGTTCAAAGGACAGATTCCCTCTTTTACGGAATTTTTAGCAATATTATAATATTAATACCTACGGAGTTCGAGTTTTTAGCAGAAAAGTATGTATAAACCTTAATGCTGTAGCTCTTGCTTCCGGCAATTGGGACGCAGATTATTAGCACAAGCACAACGTTGATCCACGGTTTGCACAATGAAGATGATCGAAAGATGAAATGGACCTTTATTGGATTACTGCTTACTCAGGCGTTCATTATATTATGGAAAGCCGCCGAATCCACTGGAAACAGAGTATGTATCGTACAGACATTTTGTATATTTAGTTAATTTAAGGTTATAGTGATCTGTACTTCTGCTCTAGCAAAGTTGCAGCTAACAATAAACAAGTTAACCATAGAAAATAATGCTGATGTCCTGCCGCATTGCAGTCACTTCGGGTAGAAATTATTTACTGTAGTAAATAATTGTGCTTAATAATGTCGTCCATGTAATAATGGGACACGTGCATGTTATGAGCGTGCAAATTTAAACTCAAGTAAAACTGTAAAATTTAGTCAAATCAAAGGCACGTGCCAGTAATTCACTGACTGTACATATACGAGTATGTACACGTATTCGTATTTATTTCATTTGCATTCGTTCGATAAAACCTACTCATTAGTACTTAAAAATATGTTCATCGTTTTATGCATATGTCAGTAGTTATTATAATTTTTGTGCATCTAGAGATCTTTCATTTCAAAATTCGTTGATATTGTACTCGCGTATTATCCTGTCGTGTGTTTAATGGGGAATGTCCCGCTGCAGGAGACAATAAATCCACTATTGAATTTAACAATTATTTTTAGTATTAGCAGTTTTGCTTGTCACGCTCGTACATGCAATACAAACTAGCCGATTGTAATGGTAAGCAAGTTTGACAGTTTTATTCAAGCGTTAAATATAATGATGAAATCTTTGGACAGAGACTTCCTTTCGGGTCAGGGAAGAAAAAGATTTGTGCGCGTATAATTTTGTTCAACTACTCTCACAGAATTACGTACTGTGAAGTTGGTATTAGCATTATCCGGTTTAGAATAAACAGAAAAATTAAAAGTTCACGGAAGCTGGTTGTATTCAGGAGTCGATAAACTGTGAACGATAAAACCTTTTCCCTCACGGATAAATCGAAAATAATTCCCTGTAGTCCCTTTAATTATAGCAGAACTAATACGCAGACATTTTTGTTACAGATCGAAGGTAATTTCAGAAAATCATTGGTCCTGCATTACGCATAGAACTGTGCGAATGATTTTAAAACTAGCTTGACCTTTCTTTTTAATACGTACCTCACACATAGTTTTATATAATTGTACACTGATACTCGAAGTCGAACGCAATAAAAAAGTAAATAATATCGTAAGGATGTTGTTCAATATTGGCGCTAGGCAAAAAAAACCAGTTGTCGACGCCTCTTTGCACTGCCTGGAATGATGAAGATTTTAGATGCAACCGTATTGGACATGTTGCATAACAATGTACGTCAAATCGCAACAATTACAATTATCAAAATTTTTTCACTTTCAGACCAGCAAGGTATTCTGTTCCTATCGGTTTGGACGCCAGGGCTCTGTGACATTCGCGTAAGCCTGTGTTAGTTAAGTTTTTACGTAACAAATTAACTGTAACGGAACACTTAAACTTTTATTCATGGTTAGCGAGGTTACTGGTAATATCTTTATTATCTTTACCAATTTTTGTGTTTTATACCGCCAAAATGACTTCATCGTTTATTTATCGGTGATATGTAAATGATGGTACTAAACGTTTTCTAGTACCGCCATCATACGTTCCCAGGTAAAATTATTATCGAAAAGCAAGTGCGTGTAGACACAAAACACCACAATTTCAAGCACATACGATTAAAAAATAGATTTTTTTTGTAAACTGCATGTTTTCCGAAAACATATTGAGGCGTCAAATAAAACTCAGGTATACGGAGTACAGTACTGTATGTTGCCGGTACATTGCAGATGCAGCGACAACGAAGTATGCTGTGATGATGAATGCTGTCCGGGTTCGGTGCCGTTCTACAAGCTGTGGTACTTTTGGTAAGCAAGGTTGTAATTTTCTTCCAGTTTAACTGCAACGTGCAGGTCAAAAAACGAGTTACATGTACTTGTACATGCAATGCAAACTGTAGAAGTATTGTAGTTTAGCCTAATGCGCATCGATCGGAAATCAAGCACGCGCCGCTGTGTCGGCAATTTGACTTTGTTTTTAAGTTTTACGGATGCTTTTCAATGTTCATTTCATTCAGAAATATTTAGAGTAGGGTTTAGAGCATATAAGAATTTTTTTTATTTACGACCATTGTCAACTAACATATTTCATTCGGTTTGCATACTTGCTTTAATTTTACTTTTAGCATATAAAAATTGAAAATATGACAGTGACTGTTTTGAAAGCACCGCAAGTAATGATTTTGAAATTGCAACAATACTCGCGTTGAATTCAAATGTACTGTACGCGTCCGAGCAGTAGGGATTTTCTGTACTTTTCTGAATTATGCCTGTTCCTAAATTTTAATTTTAAATGCACCACTCATTAGTCATTAATAAACAGGTAGTTTTAGCCTTTAGGTACTACGCTTTTTGTAATTACAGCAAAAATTCTCGAACCACATATCACAATTAATATCGGCCGGGCTGGAACTTTTGAACATGGTTATTACTTATTAGAATTTAGATTAATAAATATCTGAATTGCAGGTTTACGGTAATTGCCATTAGCACTTTTTTATCTGGGATCACGTACATCTGCTATCAACGTTGCAAAAGGTTAAGGGCGGAGGACGAGCTGCTCGCGTCGTCACACCTGCCCAATTCCGTACCTTTGAGAGATCTGGGAATAACGAGCAATGGACCTGATTTCCGGCAGTAACCACACTGGGTTTAACCAGATTATCCGTTGATAATTTATGACGCTGTGATGCTGTTGTTCAAAACTCTTCCAAAAGTGCTCGACGTGACAGCACAAATCTCATAAGTGATGCATTACACCTTTTCCTTTACTAAATTATTGTACCGCCTATAAAGCGTACCGTGTTCCTTTCAGGCACGTGCTATCAACTTGTTCAAAAGTGTCTTATTGTCTGTTGTAATATTAAATCGTGGGTTAAAGACTAGAATTAAACTGTTCTGTGACAAACGAAAATGACTAATATGCATTTTGAGCGCGAAACCGGCTGTGAGGAATGCATTTTTAATCCATGCTTTGATGTAACAGAATCCATTACTGTAACGAAGTAAAATTCATATGGAATCAAAAACGTAACACGACGTTCTGCAGAATGCAAACTTTACCGACAGCACAGGCAACCCCCGCTCAGGAGAGTTTTGCGCCAGAAACTTGGTACCAAGTTTCGAGATTGGTAGAGAAGGAAGATATGTGTAGTTTGCCTTTCATGCAGTTAGCTGAACGCAAATGAATTTAAGAGTTTTTGTTAACCGATACTCCTGCATTACTCTGTTCAAGGCGCATTGATCACCATTAAAGGCTACATATTAAATGCAAACTACATTACTACAACGGTGAACGTTAGGATTTGTATAGTAATTGCACACTTGAGAGTTACATTTACTACATTATGACAATAGAAATGTTTATCAACAACGTTGATACCGGACTTGGTCGTTATGGATGCAGTGTCGTTATGTCGTTGATACCGTACTTGGTCGTCATGCATGGATGCATCAGAGCTGTAAGTGCGTAATGTAATCGCTCTCCAGAGGAAGCCAATTTACAAAGTACTGCCAGAATTAGTAAGTTGTAGCGGTTTTATTCTCATTCATTACGACAAGAGTCGCAAGCAGAACACAGCTGCATCAGAATAGCATTAAAAAGTAAAATTAACAATAAATACAGTTTTTGAATTGTCGGATTTCGTACGCAAAGTGTCCAAGAATGCCGTCGGCCGGCCGGGCTGCTATGAACAACAACAAACGATGCGCCGTTCTTCTTGTTCTTCGGTTCTTCATAGCAGTATCCCGTGCTTTTAATGCCGAAGAGGTGACGCATCTGCTCCCTTCCGGACATGGGTTAGTCTTCGAACAAGCTGCAAAATTTCAAATAATTAAGCCAAACAAAATCCAATAGGATAAACTATCGCTGCTGTCGCGACACACTCCGTCCACATTGCACGTAACACCCGCATCGACATTCGGCGCCTAAATATTGAAGATATCGGTTTTCAGAAAGGAAGAATCTTTCAGTTTCTTTACGCATGTTGACTAAATGGCGACCTTTTCAAACCAACTTTGTACCTCGATTAGTCGAAAATTCTTAATTTCGTGAATCAGCTCTACGTGCAGCTAGTGCAAAATATTTTATTCAATAAAATATTTATATAATATAAAATATTACAGATTCGGATCATTATTATAAAGATGCAAAGAGGTTTGCTACTTACGATAACAACGATAATGGCAACACCAAACAGGAGAGAAAACAGTCCGAGATGCATGGCTGGTTTTGATCGACGATAGGTCCGAGATAATCAAGTTCTAAGCAAGTACTGCAGATTCTGGAAGAAAAATTAGTACTTCTCCCGACTACCTAACCATAAGCAATCAAACAGATCGGAGCGATTAAGTCAGAATTGACAATGAGAAGACTTGCATGTGGTCAGCGCTTAAATACGATCGTTCCAAACGGGGATCGTGCGATACGGGGATCCAGCGTGCGATCGTTCCAAACGGATAGATGGATCGTGCAGCGGGCTGCGCCGTTGATTAATGAATTTCTTGTGTACCGTACCGTACATTTTCCAGGGGCGCCTTTGTAGTATTGGTGACCGTAGGTCTATGACGTTAGTACTTATCTCGTACTGTATATGCACCTTGAATACTCATCTTGCGGGCATTTATAGCCGCTGTCCACACGGTACAATACGTCATCACAAGGAACGCGCTGCAAGAAACATAAATTATTTATCAGTATGTACTTGTACACTGTGCACACACCAATTATATTTTATTTATCTGTATGATTTCTGTTTCGTGCAGCGCGTTACATGTTGCTCCTACCGACAGCCTTATTAGTTCCTCCTCCAGAAGTTCGGTATGGTATGCGTGGGATTAAAAAAAATTCCCTATACCTGGGGCACAGAATCAGCGGAATGCCTTCGACACTACTACTCGACAGCATTTATCTACTGGATTGGAAAAACACGGGATCGGGTTTCCTGGAAAATACGGGAACAGTTACGGGAACGGGAAATATCGAGAGAGCATTACGTCTTCGATCACTTGCAAAGGTTACAAGGCGCGTGCTTATCAATCACAGTCTCCTGTTGTATATTTTCACAATTCACCGCACTCAAGTAAAGGTCCAAGTTTACTGTACTAGAACTCTGAATTTAACCGGGTTCCACATTTTCTGGCTTGAGCTCTTGCCACAGCGGCTGCTTTTTGGGGCAGATTTCGTCAACGTACGGTCCAGTTATGCTTCTGACTCAAACTATGTAGACCAAAAGCTACGGTAGCACTGACCCGACTGATTGGGGCATCCTCCATTTAGTATTTATGGGAGTCTTCTGCGTCAGCCCTCCGACACTCTTGCAAATCGTGCCTCTTAACGAAACTCGGTATCTAAATTACCATACCTCCTAACAGGGCTAGAAAATTTACAAAGCATATAAACCGGAAGTCTGAAAATAACAAGGGACAGCAGCCCAAAACAGCTTCCGTATAGCGAAAAATTAACCGATCGCCCTCCCATCCTTGCTAGGGGTCGACTTGAAATTTTTGAGGCACCAAAAATTTATTTATTCGCTGCATGCTTAAACTTTTAAAGAAAACTTGTAGTGTGATACTTTACCGAGCGCCTGTGTCATTTATGATCAGCTTATTGTTGACTTGTCAGTTGTGAGTACTGTATATCTATATGTTCCGCTGTCTATTATACAAAGTATTGTATATTATGATGTCTGTAATCTGTATATGCATAAATTTGCTCGTTACTTCACATCTGGCACAATGCGAACCTTGCGGTTTTGATCAGCGTAATTCTCCATCGCGATCTTTTCCATCTATATCCGATCTGTCGAATACTTCAGGTCGAACCCATAAGAAAAGAAGCAGGTAATTCTAAGGTCACTACACTCACAATGTCAGTATGTAATTTCCGGGAAGCATAACTCATCCAAATCTTTCCCATGGAAGAAATCTCATGCGCTCCTTCAGTTTACCATCCACAAATACTATGAAGCAAACCACTTACTATAGAAGTAGTCATACTATCTGTAGTAGTATTACAAAGACTATCCGCATGCTTAATAAGGTTATACAGCGGTATTTTGTTAGCTACTTACGTGGAAAACTGACTGGCAGATTGCATCTTTAAAACACTCCTTAATTATCTGAATTGCAACCTAACTGTAAGAGGCATCTGAAAGGTCATCATAAGGAAATGCAGACATATATGTACATTTAGGATGATGAGAAGGTTTTCTCATCGTGGTAAACTACAAAGTACATAACTCGGTAAACCTTGAAGTGGTGGCAGTCCCACCCACATACGCCTCAACAACTTATCGCATCGTGATAATGAATTCATGGTGTCCAGCTGACCAGCAGCAATGAACACAGTCAAAACGGCAGATCATAATTAAGCTCTAATAACTAATAAGTTTCGAGTAAGTAAATTTAACACGAGAATTTCACTCTTGATTGGTTTCGGCGTTTTGAGAAGCCGCTCCGTCGTGAACTTGTTAAGCTACTTCTTCGGAGCGTATGCTTTATACACTTTATGTATTGTACTTACACGATCATGTTGGTAGATGTGTACAAGTACTCTGTACAACACATGGCTTAAGCTTGCCGACGGGCAAATTTTTCGTCGAAAAGATTATTTACGGCTATTGTTTTCACTGATATTATGGATCTACTGTTAACGACTACATCAGCGAAAAATTCAAGAATTTTAAAACTCAGAAAATGACTGTAAATGCAAGCGCGCTAAAGATTTGCTTAATTTCGAATATTATTGCTGAAAATGGAAGCAAATCTTTCAATCAACTACAGTACACCTGATTACACGTGTCCTTGGACGGAGGATTATAATGAAACCACAGCGCAGGAACGTTCGGAGTATAGTTTCATCATCTGTTATCCCATTCTATTGTTTTTCTGCACTGTTGGAAATTTTATAAATATTGCAGTTTTTGGAGCCATTAAAAATGCACAAAGTGCCGATATTTTATTACTGGGACTAGCGGTTGCTGATCTCTTGACGCTGTAAGTTAATGCATGGTAATCAGTAATCACCGTACTTTGCATTAAATGTAAGCACATAGTTAACTATTAAAAGTAATATATTACATACGTATGTTATTAATCTGACCCTGTCAAAGAAACTCGTATGCAAAAGCGTTATAACAGCCATATTTTGAAGTACCAGCAAGGCTACGATATATAGTAAAAATTTTTGGTGCGGTAGGCACAATGGAATATCACTATTGTTTATTTGAAGTTATTTCTATAGTTAGTACAATGCTGTAATAGTGTGACTGATCAAAAGAAACGTCGACAGAATTGCCTTAATTATTGCATTGTGCATAAACATGAATTAATGGCAAAGGCAACAGGTAGTAGCATTTCTGCAATATGTCGAAACGTTGGTGTTTTCAGCAGTACCGCTTACAACCGTCTATATTCGGTCTGTGTAATTAAATTTGAAATCGGTAATAAACACTCGTACAAGAAAATGGCCTCATTTTCACAGGTGGATATTTTTTCCTATATACCTATTCCTAATTAGTCCGGCCATTTTCGACAGCAGTTACACTTTCGACTATGTTAACGATTATGTACAAGGCTTATACATCTGGTTGCAGTCCGGATTCCCAAAATTCGCGGATTGGTATTGCACTTATTATTATTCTAGTGTACCAGTGTGAAAAATTTAATTATGTTTTTACTAGACGAATAAGTTTTACTTAATTATTAGGGTTTTGGTGGTGTTCTCCGTCGAGCGGTTGCGTGCCGTTGTGACGCCTCTGTCACCGGCGATCTCCGTCAGAGTTACCCGAATACTTGTCGTAACCTGTCTTCTTTATGGAATCGTAACTTGCATCGATAAAGCCATCGCCCAGTATTATTTGTTGACCACGCTGGACATTCCGAGTTTCGATGCCGAAACTTCGCTGCCATTCCAGTCATCGCTGCCTGGGTACATGCAAGCATGGAACACGACGTCCACCTTCTACGGAGTACATATATTTATATAGTATATATGATAAATCCCATAGTATTGTACTCTGTTCCCGTATTATATTAAGCAAGATGATAATATATGTAACTGTATTCAGTAAATTTAGCAAAAGGCCTCGCCTTGCGCTCGCATGTGATAATTAAAAACAGATTGTTTGTTATCTGTAGGTGATAATTAAACAAAATTGTGATCTGTAGGTGGTGGAGGAATTCGTTGTATTCATTATTCTTTTGATATGCAATATGGCCATCATTTACAAGGTCATCAGCCATCGCCGCAAGAGCGTCCGGCTACATGCCCAACTCGCAATCAAAGCTAAACCGGGAGTCACGAGCGCCCCACACCGAATCAAAAAACAAACGAGGGAAGCACCGCTTCTGATTTCTGCCGTTTCGACGTATCTGATATGCAAACTTCCACAAGCGGTCAATGACACCTTGGGGCGGTTGTCGCGGTATCCGTTCTGCTTTGTTAATTATCAAAATTACAATGTGTTGTGGCGCCCGGCTGATTCCATAATGTTGATTCCTTACTCCGTCAACTTTTATCTCTACTGCGCATTCAGTACGAAATTTCGCAAGGATTTGAAAGCGACTTATACTGCACTATTAGTAAAAACAAAATTATGGAAGAGAGCACCACCTCGAAATCAAGAAGCAGATGCAGCATCTTCAAGCAACAGTGACAACTGGGTTTCAACGGTCAATACGCCCCAGTTAAATCCGAGGCGGCTAGTAATACCTGTGGCCGATACATTTCATGGCAACTCGGAAAGATCTCAAGAGCTGGATAAGTTAGGAGACGAAGCAAATTCTTGCAGTTCATTGGCAACCACGTCTACCGTTACTACAAAACTTTAGCGGATGGACAACTGGTGTAATTAAGTCAGTACTTCCACTGACAACCTTAAAGTCCAAAGACTTTCCAAACCTGTGATATCACAGTGTATTCAAGTTTCAACAGTTAATAATATTATGCAATGCCGGTTATATTGATTGAAGCGGATGCGCTTTTACGGATTTAAAAGCTTTGCAGTTTACGTCTGATCTGTCTTCCTCCGGACCGGTACGACTTGACATGGTGCTGGCTTCCGGTTCGGGAGAATGGTTCGTACTCGTAAATCGTAATAGTGAATCAACTACTTTAATTAACAGTTTAAAGCGTCTATCATGGCTTATTTGATGCTCATTGCTTTAAAAATTAGAAATGATGACAAAAACAATGCATACCTTGCATGTGGATATATAATGCTCATGTACGACCAACTCCATAACGTGTTAAGGATTGAATATACAATTCATTCAACGCGATGGTGATCGAATTATTTATATCCTACTGCAACAAATTAACAAAACACTCAAAGCGCTAAAATTATTGTATATCCGAACCGGAACACCTTTGGGTACAAAGTCACTACAAACCCTTTGGCTAGTTTTTGTTTGAGTGATGATCAGGAGCAACTAACGCTAACATTTACATACACCGAAAACAAGAAGATAAATCACTATCACATACACGATCAATGTAAATAAGATTTAAAAAGGGAGAAAGAAAAAGCTTAGCCATCAAAAACTGCTGAAACTGGCTTTACCAGGTCAGGACAGAAGACAACCGCTGTACTTGTAGGTACATGTGTTGTGCTCTTGCCTGTTTGTCTATAAATAAGTATTAACTGTCAAAAAATCTGTGGACAGTGTTTCACGAGTTTAGTATATTTTTATTTTAGTGCATTCTTGATGGAATAATTGTTTGTGGGTTATGTTTTAGTGATTGACCTTTGTAATTCAAAACGATAAGCGAGCATGTGCTCCGTGGACGTAGTGCTAAACTGCTCAGTACTTGTTTAGCTGATTCACATGCCTGCTGATAACCTTATCATTTCCTCCTCCAAAAGCTCGATATGATATGCGTCTGGGGTACATATTTCCCTGTACTTGGCCCACAGAATCACGGGATGACAACTATGTTGCTGCTCGATAGAATTTATTTATCGAAAATTTACGGGAGCGGGATCGAGAGCGCATTACCTCCTCGTTCACTTGCAAGCGCGCGTTTATCGATCGTCTATCACATACTCGTGGTGAGGGATGTGATTCCTGTTTCCGTATTGCCATTCTGTTTTACAGCACTGTATGTTGTAACTACAGTCTACAGGTACAAGTTTAGTGTACTGGAACTCTGCATTTTATCGGATTCTACTTTTCCTAGATTTGGCTTCGAATCTTGCCAAAACAGCTGCTTTTTGGAATATATTTTGTCAACGGTTCAATTCAGGAATCCAGCTGGGGAAAATGATCAAACTGTGTGGACCAAAGCTGGCGGTGACCGGACTGATCATCAGCATTTGGGGCATCTTCCAGTTAGTACTCATGGGAGTCTTCTTTTTCGTCCGCTCTCCGGCACTTGTGGAAGACCTGCCTCTCAATGAAACTCAATATGTGCATTTCCAAATCTCCGGACAGGGGGTAAAAATTGACGAAGCATATAAACAGCAAGCGTATAACTGCTGGGTCGCTGCTGTCCTGTACGCTGGTCTGATGATCTTCTCCGCACAACAGTTGTTTATGAACTTGCGGCAGACCACCTATACCGGAATGTGATCTTCAGCACTCATATACATCTATGGACTATCTGTAAATTTGTAGGCATAGACGGATGCCGTCGACACATTTCAAGAACATTACAAACTTGGTGATAGTGTCACTATATAAAAGATTTGCATACGTTAGTCAGCATGTTTACGATGCTTACTGGGCTACCTGTGTTTACTCTGAAGAAACATTTACCTAATTACCTGTGACACTATACATGGTTGGTCAGCTTTAATCCAAATAAATGCTATAATTTTACAAGTGAAAATTTTGTGGTTGTCGTGTCGTGCGAGTTCCATATCTTAGTCAACATAATTTGTGCACTCGTACTGGTGCTACACTGCTACTTATGGCTGATGGTGAGTTTACGGGAACGGATGAATGAAATAAAATTACTATTACAGAAAAAATGAATGAAAGTTGAAGGCGAACTCAACTGTATACAGTAAATTAAATTAGCGGGCACTAAATTTACAACATTGTAAGCACTAAATGTATAATATAGTACGTATGTACAGTATTTATATTTACCGGTACACAACGAAACAGACTGGTCGGCCAAAAAACAGAAATATTTTGGTACGGAAGTTATCTGTCACTTCTTGTCTAATTGCCTTGACATCGTTTTGCTTCGAAATACTGAAATAAGTATTTTATTTATGCACTGAAATAACTTTTTGTTCCGGAATACTTCATACTTTTTTTGAAGTTCATTTGTGATGTGCAGGTCGGCTTGCCCTTTTTTGTGGTGCCCAACCGTCAGCTGACCGGGAATGCATTCGTAGTAATACCATTATAATAATACAGTGCCTGCAGTACGACTGAGTGCGTACGCACATATTAATAATATTATATGGAATTTATTTCTCAATATTTACAAAGTGAGCTTCGCTCAGTAGTTAATATTAATATTATTATTTAAATACGGTGAGAGTCCAGAGACTCCATACGGTGGGTGAGTAATGAGAGACTCCATACGGTGGGTGAGTAATGTGCAGTTCTTGTTCCGTAGTACGGCATAAAAAGCTTTCGAGGTGTTTTTCTGATTGCTATGCTGATTAATGCACAGTATTAACTTAAAGCTCATTAATGTTGCAGTCTTGCTTATTCTGTTCACTGGTTTGTGCCTTTGTGGAGACTTATCACTTGCTTTTCTGCTACAGCGCTACCGCCGCTACGTCTTAAAATTATCGTCTTTGTTTCGAAATATAAATAAATATAGTTGAAATCGATACAAGTACAGCAGTGTAATCCGTACGTATTGGTATTTGCACCATTTGGAGTGAATGATATTGGACGTATTTCTGGCTCTTTTTTAGTGACTCATCATGCAAACAAATAAAGGTGCTGTCCGGCCATGGGAACTTGAATGATATCAACGACTGTTCGTTATTTTGTGCAGGCCTTTGGGCGTCGGGTAAATTTAAATCACTGCCACTCAAAGCAGAACAAGAAGACGTTTATTTCCTACTACCACATGTCCTTCCGCCTTTTATTACTCGTAAGTATTTTTTTAATGCTTAATTATTGCAAGATATTCCTTTACTGTACGTTTCTGGCGTTTCTGGCGATCTGTGATTGTGATGGAAAAACTTGCTTTAGACTTTCAGTTGGTTGCGTCTTCCAGTTTCATTTAAGTTGTTTAGCTTTTACAAGATCTGCAACAACCTGCGAATAAAATAGGAAAATAATCTGGTTTGCATTTTGGAAAATTAGATGGCTGGTTATGGATTTGGTTAATGTTTGATCGATTGATCGCACTGGTGGACTGGAATCCGAGTGCTATCCGGGGTTTAGAACTGCTTATTACGTATCTATATGAAATTATGAATTTGAAAGACGATGATTCAGCGCTATAAATCCGGTTTTTTCGTCTGCCGTTCACTGACCTTGCGGGAATGTCGATTGCGCGTTGTCGGTCGTGTTTTATCTTGCTTTAGCAGTTTAGCTGTGCCACACGCGCGACAGTTTAATTCCACTTTACACTTGCAGACTTGTTGTATTGCATTTGCAGTTGCATTGCGTCTCATCATTCTGTGATTTAAATGCGTAAAACTTGCTTGCCATATTATGGATTCACCGCGTCGCAGTAGTGGTACCACATCATCGGTGGTGCAGTTTCTCCGCTCCATCCTGGGAACCACCAGGAAGGATCGCCAGCCGTCTGCTGGCCAGGAGGCTCATTTGAAGCCCAGTTTTATCAAAGGAATTACAATGCACAATGATGAGAAGGTGGATGCCAGGGATAAGAATGTTCCCGATCGGGATCTGAATAGACCAGCAGCTGTTTTTAACGGCAGTGCTGGCCTGCATGGCAACCATGGTGGCTCTGGCAGAGCCAGAAATCCTCCTGTCCCCAGCATCTTCGACTTTCGAGCCACCAGACCCGAAACGAATGCACGCCATGCTGGTGAGTTTTCGACAGCTTAGCAGCCTTAGTGAGTTCCTTTTCATGTTTGCATACTTCGCCAGTTATATTGGAGTACCTACGTTTTACATCGTATCCGACATATCGTAATGAGAATTGCGAACTCGCTTTGTTACGGTTACATTGGTAGTACTCGTAGTTGTTAGCACAAAAATGAAATACGACAATTGTGGTAATTATGGAATATATTAGCAGTGTCTTCACTCTTCAGGTTGTTGTGGTTATGTATTGTGAGCAGCTAATTAGCATTTCAATTTGACTAAACTACTTAAAACTTTTCCTTATTTTTGTAGAAATCAGGATACTTTTAATGCTCTTAGACACGCTTTCATTATTCATCAGGGACTTAATAATTCATGTTTGCTGTCATTGCTTAAAATTCAGACCTACTATAGTACGAGTTTTCAGTTATTACCGTTAGTATTGTTATTTTTCATTTTGATTTTGGTGATCGGGCAGGCTAATATTACTTGTGTACTTCACTGATATTTTATTGCTTACATGCAAGACCAATCGAGTTGTGGCTTAAGTATTTAAAAATTAAAGTGCCCGAAATGACCTAGTGATGTGATTTATTTGTTGTTTGATGCTCCCGCCATTCATTACTTTGAAAATATTTATTGTTATAACCCATTCTTTTTACCTCCTTCGTTCGGTTCATTCTTGTGCAGTTCAGTCACCTTGGAAAGTTTCCAGATCATTCATTCAATGAATGACATCATATCAAACTGGGAAGTGCTCACTCTCCATGTTGCTTTCAAGTAGCGTCTAGACGAAATTGTTGCATCAGCGGAAATGAAAACTAGGCTACTGTATAAAAACTAAGTACAACAGATTGATATCGCAAAAATATCTTTTTTTTTCTTTTGGCCGGTATATATATAAACAGAATTTTGCTTCAGCACAAATTTGGCTGCACCACTAGGTTTTATAAAACAATGGCTTTTGAGAATTACCTCAAAATAATAAGAAATCTCCAAAAGTACTATTTGATGTAATTTTACCACACCATACCATACAGCTGTGTTGACGCTTGTTTAATGTTTAGTTAATTTGCTGAAAACATATTATCAATTTTGCTTGTACATTCCATTAGGCGGGGATCAGGATATGCAAGATGCGCTACCAACTCCACCGGTTTCCAAGCCTCCTGCCCCTGTTCCTAGAACATTAGCACCATCAAATATTCGCGACGCGAGATATTTTATGAACCACCGAAATCGTGGTACTGCAATCATTATTAACAACAGATCCTTTGATCGAGGATTAGGCATGCCTGAGCGGAAAGGTTCGTATTCGTACTCTGAGCTGGAGATACCAAACAATCTTCCTAGATTGGTCTGAAAATTTGGGGTTATTCTTGTTAACGTTATCTGTTGAAATATTTTAAGTTTAATTAGATAGTTTAAAGTTAAAAACGGCTATCTGTATCGTGTTCCTTTTGTTCTGTAGGCACTGACTTAGATGCGGAGGTGCTGACGAAAGCCTTTGCACTGCTTGGCTTCGACGTGATTTCGCCTTATGATAACCTGTCCGTCCACGACATGCAGAAATGTATGGAGTATTATGCCACGCAGGATCACACAAATTCCGATTGTTTTGCCGCGGCTGTCCTGTCTCACGGTGATGATGGGATCGTTTTTGGAACTGATGGTAAATTATCGGTGGAACGATTGGTCGCACCATTCAAAGGAAATAAAAGCACTTCTCTTGCCGGCAAACCGAAAATCTTTATCTTCCAAGCATGCCGCGGTGATCGTCTGGATCCGGGTGTGGATCTGGTGGTGGCTGATGACAAGGATTCTAATTTGTTGCGGCTCCCATCGGAAGCCGACTTCCTGTTTGCGTACTCAACTGTACCGGGATATTATTCCTGGCGGAATACGGACAACGGATCTTGGTATATCCAAGCGTTGGGCCGTCTCATCCAGTTGTATTATGGATCTGATCCGATTGGACCCCAGAAGGCGGGAGATGAGGGTATTGAATTTGTGCGCTTGTTAACGAAAGTCAACTACGAAGTGGCGTACTACTACAAATCCAGTGTGCCGACGAATTTCGATCTGGACCAACAGAAGCAGATCCCGAGTATTGTCTCACAACTGACCAGGGATTTGTATTTTCCCACTAGACGACCGGTTATGCCGCCAGTGGAGGATCAAGTCGTGGCGGAATCTCAGTCCGAGATTTGATTTGTTGAAAGGGTTTGCTCAGATTTCATGGGCTTGCGATAGTTTATGGTGATGATAATAATGCGCTGTATGTGCAACGAAGGAATCACAGTTTACAGCCGTCCTTCGACACTATGGTGATGCTTTCAATGGGTTGGACTTCTTGATTATTATTGTTCACTCAGGTGTTTCACGCTTTTTGGCGTTTGGGTTTTAACTGTCGCTGCATAAGCAGTTTCTGTTAAGTTGAATTTTTTTGTGTTTTATCCGTTTTCGATTGATTTTAAGTAGGAATGCTTTTTGTATTTACGATCTTGCCGATGTGAACCCGCGTGTATAAAGTTGGCAGACATGTTTGGCTGGTTTTTATCGCTGTTCTATTGCCTGGTTCTATGAAAACAGAAGTTATCATCGACTACCGATCTGCTTCAAAATAAACATTCAAAAAGCAACTCTGGAAGGTTCGGGTTTTTTATGTTATGCGGAGAACATGCCTATAGGTACTTTATGCCTACATCTACGAGTAGGAACACTTTCGACCTTAAAACGTGTAGCGTTTTCCTGACTTCAAGGCAGCTACAGTCGCCACAGCTGAATGAGCTCACAAGAGAGATTGCACAAAATTTTGTATCGCTACCTGACTATAGTGACTACGAACGTTGCCTGCAACTACCACAACAAAGGTTAAGCAATTAATAAAATTTACGATAAAAATTTATGGAATGTGCACAAGAGAGAATTACTATCGAGTGGAATCGGGCATACTTAAGCGTTATATCGAACGACTTGGGCGCGATGGTTTGGTCGTTTCCGTGCATTTCACAGTCAGTGGTGAGCTTTTAGTAACATCTTTCGTCGTCGTAGTGCTATTAAATTCTGCATGCTTTTTTAGATGAACCGCTCGAGACTCACTACTCGCTATTGTGTCGAGTACTCTATACCATAAGTAATTTTTGTATATGCAGTTTTTTCACTTTAAACTTACTTCGAAACGCCAGTTTAGAATTAGTATCAAAATTATGGAATTTTTTGGAAAGTGTTTTCTACTTTTTACTGCCGCAGCTGTTTTTCTCATGCAATCCCATATCGCTGCAGGTTAGTGAAAGCAGTTAAGTGTCTCGAATAACATACTAACATGCGGTGCTAGGGCAAATGGTTCTCTTCCCTTTGTCTCCGCTCATTTCCGTACCTGGAATTGGATTGCCTCTGTCATATGCTAGGGTTTACCGACGACCTTTCTGCCGGGTACGGCTAATATTTTTGGTAACGTACTCAAAAGCAATTTGTTGCTGAATTCACACATCCGTGACATTTTGCAGCAACCCTTAGTATTTATTGTAGTACCTCCATGATAAAAAAATGTCATTTATATATGCCTAAATATATCGTAGTCAAAACGTACAACTGCTTTTTACAAATTATGTATTAGAGAACACGCTCTTTGTTCCTAGATAACGTTCGCAACATATGAATGAATAATTCTTCCGAATAATTATTTACCATGGCATCAGGTATACTTCTATAACAAATAAATACTTATAAATACATTCAGTCTCTTAGTCTGTAATATCTAAAAAATAAATTGTGCACCTCCAGTTTAATTTCTAAATTAACAGTACGAATGTAGGAATAACGAGGAAATGCTTTTTGCGTTGCCCAAACCGTGACCTGCCACGTACTTGTGCGTAATTATACAAGTCCGGCATTAATAATAATCTTCCTTGTTATAGTGGATGAACGGAAACTGTTTATGGCGTGGGCTCCAAAGCTCCAAAGTCGCTGCGTGGATGATGTTGCTTGTGGATGGCATCACTACTGCTGCTTTGACGGATGTAGTAATGTCTGCAAACGTCGTTTTTTATTTAAATAGTTATATTTGTAGATGTATCGCCACAACAAACTCTATCATGAAGCAACGATAAATCAGTTTTGCTAAAACGCGTATTCGCCGCGTACTCTTTTACTGGGCGCAGCACAACTCGATGATGACTCGCGTTGCTTTTGATTTACTGTAAATATCTCTTAAATTTCTCTGTTATTCTGTAATTCAGATAAAGACCCAAATCGCACTAACAATATTCCTGTAATAATAACCATTCCTTATTTATATCAGTTTTACACACAAATCCATCTTAACAACAGTCATGCGAACTTGGTCACTGCGCTAACGCATTTAAAGTTAATTTAAGATGAGCAATCATTTAAGCTACCGCTAATTATTGGAATCGAAAATATTAACTACAAAAAATAGGCACGCCATTATACAGTAACCACACCGAAATAACGTATCAGCGCCACTTGGAGTATGAAGTTGGTTGTCTTTGGAATCGGGTCCATTAAAGGTCATCTTTACCAGTCTGTGGTCACTAACGAGTCTCGCCTGCAAAATGCGGATTTTCGCTATAATTCTGCAAGAAAATGTATTTATTTATCATGCAGATGGTATTTACCTGCGTTGAATTGAGATTAAATTTTTTGGCAAAATCTGGGGCTTCAACGGAATTCTCTAAATAAGTATTCTTGAATGTCTGCCCGGTATAAACCGCCCTGTAATAAACTATGATCGATGATCAAAATACATTTATTGCGCACAGTAAAATTAACTTAATAAGTTATGCTCATAAAAAAAAAAAAACACAGCCGGTACTTTGCGATTGCTTTATGCGGCTAGTTGTTTCGAAAATACATGTATACCGATAAATGATAAACGATAAAATGATATACCGATAAATGTATACCGATAAAATGATAAATACATGTATACCGACCTCGTATATGCGCACACCGACGCCATGGCGGTGGTATCCATATCATGCGGCACAATCCACGTAAAGGTCTTGTTTGTCCACAATTGTATTCTTGGCCAATCCCGCTCTTTGACGTATGAACATCCCGCATTATAATCACCAATTACCATGACGTCCTAAAAAAACAACATCTTCTTAGAATGAGAATTATCGATGCCGATAATCATAAAAAGAAATTATATACTGTATATACTACAGACCATGTAAGTTATGCAGCAAAACATTTAATCAATATTTTCCTTGCTCACCGGTGTATCGAAATATCTTTGTGCCCAGTCAAACACCCCCACCAAACTATTGATTTCTTCCACAGCATCCTCTACAGAAGAAAATATGTAATCGTATTACAACAAATGCAAAAAAGTATTATAACAAGTTTTAATATAACGTAGCATTTCCTCAAATATGTCTTCGATGTTTTACTGTACGGTATTTATCATATTCATTTTCGGCCGTAAAAACACTACTGCTGCTTTTATGCAAACGTAAACCACTCATGACAAACTGTGGCTTATTTCTGATTTGCATTAATTAATTTCTCTAGCTATTCAATCCACTTTTGACTTTTACAAAAATATATAATTTATACTCGCGTCCGTGCTGTACAGTTACCTGGATCCAAATGGACCGTTCCCAGTAAAATATCTTGCAGCTGGTCTAAAACAGAAAATGGAGAAATTTCAGCTTTGAAACCTACACACTGCTGTTAAAAACGTAATTACGCGCCGTTTTTATGGATTCGTGAACGAGTGCTCAGTTTTAGTCGTGCCTAGTCTTAAAAATTTCCATATTTTTTAGAAAATATGGGTGGCAAAAAAATTGGGTGGCAAACGTTCAGATCTGAACGTTTGCCACCCAATTTTTTTTAATAACCAATCGTCAGAAGATAATTTCACCAGGTCTTAAGTAAAGGAAATGTAAAGAGCACTCAAAAAAGCGTTTACTGCCCACTAATACTGAGTGCTTAACATAATAATGATTGTAACCACGAGTAATATCGCGAATACTTAGATACTAGTACTTGCTTTCTACGTACAATATTACTTTATACAGAAATGCTGTGGACAATAATTATTATGAAAGCAGCAAATTACAATAATTTTTCATGTTCGTAAAAGGTAAAGTAAGTACAAGAAGAACTGCAGAAAAGTACGTACAGTACGCACCTAACCCTAAAGTTCTTTGTTATGAGTTTTGATAATCTTTAAAATTAGTTCGTAAAATGTGATTCTCTTTAATCACCCTGCAAGTTTTAAAATTAACTGACTTATCCAATACGAACGTGCTGAGCGCAAGCGCGCGAGGCTACCTTAATGTATTTACAATACAGAAACGCACGGTTTGTACGGGAAAGGGTGGAGAACCTTGCAAAGTACGGATCACGATGAAATTCATCCGCGTTTGACCTTTCCGGATAGAGTGCAGTCTCTGTCTTTATTACTTTGTCGCTTCTAGAACACAATATTTGATTTATGTAGAATAATTTTGAAAACAAGCGGCGCTGGCGTTCTTTATCAACAAAAACTGAAATCTAGAACTGCTCAGCACACCTACATTTTATACGGTCTCGAAAATGAACATTTACTCTAGAGTAGCGACAAATAACGCCGCACGAAAAGTGTCGAAACCTCTTCGATCGGTACAGCACGATGAAGTTGAATGAACATACAGTAACGGAAATTAAACTAAATCAGAACGCTTACCGATAAAGAAAAGCATATTGCTCTGTACTGTTCCGTCCAACCCGAGGACTTAAATCCAAGGAAAACGGTTTGCCGGTTCTTCTAACTATTTCCAATCGTAAAGTTTCCATAACTGTTTGTTGTACATCCATATACTCTTGGATTGCAGCAATATCGCATCCTTGTAGTTGCTGTGTATGTAAACAAAAAAGTCTAAGTGGCTTTTTTATTTAAATATGTCAAAGATCAAACTGACATCAATAATAATATCCATCCTGGATGCATTTTTTCCAGCAGTGATCAAAACATCCGGCACTGAAAACTTGCCAGGTCCGAAACGAAATATATTCCAGGTGCAGATTATGAAGGCATAGCATCCGGTACTGGACAGTGTATACGTAATTATGAAAAACGGAATAACACAAAAAGGTTTAATGCGCGACACATGCATTTTTCCTTATATGATTATATTCACGTGCGCATTATAATTAGTTTCAATGGATTTCTATTCAGTCTAATGTGCTATAGTCAAAACTGCTGCCTCCTGCAGTAAGAAGGATGCATTATAGATATAATGTAGGCAAAAACAAAGTTTTTAGACTGTACTCAATTTACAAATACTGCTCCTGTAAAATCAATTTCTTAAAAAAGTACTGTGATATTTGGATCAATTGCTTAAGAGATTGTAGATGGAGCACAAATTTCGAAAAACGTGTTTCTGGATGTCCTTAATCATGGGCATAACTATCATCACCGTCTTAACGTATTTTCTAACGATTTTTGATAAGCGCAAACACGGTATCTTATTGAGTGTCAACTAAACAAGCTTATGATAATTGAAACAAGTGTTTCATACACAAAGGTTATCAGCCATAACTTTAGTTGCAGCTGACGAAAACGCTGTACTGCGAGAGTGACTTGTCAAGGATATCACCAGTTAATAATAAAAGGGATTATCGGAGATAATGAATGTTAATTCTGGCGAGCGGCATGCTTTTGTCTCGCCTTGACGTTTATGTTCTGTCGCGGTTGAGATTTATTAGTGGCCATCTGGGTGGTCAGATGCTGTTTTCGTGGGATCGTCAAGATTTTCATGCTGCCTTCTGCAGCTGCAAATGTTCATCGTCATTTATGAGAATTCATTGATGCAGTTCGCGTCGAACGCGTTTTAGTAGTTTTAGTAGTTTTAGTAGTTTTCCATCTCTTCCTAAAACAAATTTCGTAAATCGTTACTGCCATTCTATCCCATCTATTGATAGACCGTTACACGCAGATAAGTTCGTGGTTTGATTAAACGGCTGCTTTTTAACAATTTTTGTTTGGTTGTCACCTGGAACATCATCCAGTATGTTATGGCGCAAGCTTATTCTTGGTGAATCTTGTCGCAGAATTATCCGTCGTATTGCTCATGATTTATACGTAGCAACGTGTGTTTCCTACGATCAGTTTTTGGAAATCCCTATTTACGTTCTGTTCATTGAAGACCAGTATATCGTTTGTTTATACTTCGCTTTTGCGTTTTTTTTTTGTATTTGTCACTACCATCGTATGGGTGGTTGCCCTGTTCTTTGACTCCGGCATATTGCCGGTTGCGCTAGAATGCCTAATTCAGTTTGTCTACACATTGGATATCCATGTGTATGCTCTTTGTGCTCATCAAATCTCAATGCAAATCAAGTGGTAACTGATTTATTGCGTCTTTACTCATCTGACTTGTATGATTTTCCTGCCAGATTTGCAACAATTAATCTGATTTTTAATCGGTTTTTGCGTTTTCAACTCCGCGATTCTGGTGTATCAGACACTTCAGTTAACACTGTCGCTTTCGGTTTTGCATCAATTTTTCACTCCATTTTATCGAGATTGTCCGTTGAGAATATTTCTTCGTAATTCATCGTATCACAATGGGACGGCCACGGAGAGCAGCCGCTGCGCCAGCTACAGTTGGAAGAAACTCCGGAAGGACCATCAAGCCCGCACCGAGACGTGGTCGACCGCCTCGCGCGCCCGCTCTTAAGGTCACCACTACGACTCGGTCGAAACCAGATCGTCTGTCCGATCTTCTTGCGCGCAAGAGGCAACTGTCTGCAGAAATCAGCCAGCTCACCCGGGCTTCTCCGATGTCTCCACCTTCGCCGTTGCGCGATGTTCGTTTCTCACCATCTCCTGAACGAACAGGTAACGGTAGCGTGGTATATGTACCTTCCAGCAAAAACCGTCAAGCCGTCATGCCTAGCGCTTTAAATCGGCCTGGAACCAAGCATGAATCCTTTGGTCAGTCTTCGGACGACCTCAGTGAATTACCGATAGTTTCGGATAAATTGAGTAGAGTTCTGTTTGACCATTCTGCATTTATCGATTTTACTGAATTATTCCCGTTGTCGTTTGCAACTGAGATTAATCTGCCCAAAGTGCGTCGTGACGAATCTGGACAACCGTTATCGGTTGTATCAGCGGCCGGTCAACGCGCTACAGCGATGACCTTTACAATGTGGGCGCGATCGTTCCATATTTTTATGTCGTATCGCACATACAACAAACCTGAATTTGTTTTGCCAATGCTGAAGTACCTCGATATTATGGCAAGTTTTGCACACTCCTACGAACCAGCTCAGTGGTTTAGTTACGACCAACGCTTCAGAATGCTTGCTCGTATGCACCCGAATAATGCCGCAATTTGGTCCAAGACCGATCACCAGATCTATCGGGAGTGTTTTATGACAGTTTATCCCAGCATGCGTGCGAGTGGTAGCCACGCGGGGCCATCTGGGCGTTTGGGTCAGCCAAGTGCAGAATGAATGACGAACGAACGATGCATTTCGATGCATTCCTGCATTCATCGTTCATCGCGTTCGATGCAGTTCGCATCGAACGCGTTTTCGCCTATATATGTGGTAAAACTTAAGTTTTGTGACCTTTAGCAATCTTCCATCTCTTCCTAAAGCAACCTTAAGAAACCGCTGTTGCAATTCTGTTCCATTCATTGATAGACCGTTACATGCAGATAAGATCGTGGTTTGGTTGAATGTCTGTTTTCTAACAATTTTGTTTTGGTCGTAACTTGGAACATCATCCAGTATGTTATGGCGCAAGCTTACTCGTGGTGAATCTTGTCGAAGATTTATCCGTCGTTTTGTTCATGATCTGTATGCAGCAGCGTGTGTTTCCTACGATCAGTTTTTGGAAATTCCTATTTACGTTTTCTTCATTGAAGACCAGTAAACTGTTTGTTAATATTCGACGTTGCCACTACCACCGCATGGGTGGTTGCCCTGTTCGTTAACCCCGGCATTTTGCCGGCTGCGCTGAAATGCCTAATTCAGTTTGTTTGCATAGTGGTTATCCGTGTGTATGCTCTTTGTGTTCATCGAATCTCAGTGCAAATCAGGTGGTAACTGATTTATTGCGTCTTTACTCATCTGACCTGTATGATTTTCCTGCAAGATTTGCAACAACTAACCTGATTTTTAATCGCTTTTTGCGTTTTCAACTCTCTGATTCTGGTGTATCGGATACTTCAATTAACATTGTTGCTTTCGGTTTTGCATCAATTTTTCACACCATCTTATCGAGATTATCCGTTGAAAATATTTCTTCTTAAATCTGTGTATAACGATGGGACGGCCACGGAGAACAGCCGCTGCGCCAGCTACAGTTGGAAAAAACTCCGGAAGGACCACCAAGCCCGCACCGAGACGTGGTCGACCGCCTCGCGCGCCCGCACTTAAGGTCACCACTACGACTCGGGCGAAACCAGACCGCCTGTCAAATCTACTTGCGCGTAAGAGGCAACTGTCTGCAGAAATCAGTCAGCTCACCGGGGCTTCTCCGATGTCGCCACCTTCGCCGTTGCGTGATGTTCGTTTTTCACCATCTCCTGAACGAATAGGTAACGGTAGCGTGGTATATGTGCCTTCCAACAAAAACCGTCAAGCTGTCATGCCTAGCGCTTTAAATCGGCTTGGAACAAAGCATGAATCGTATGTTCAGTGTTCGGACGACATTAGTGAATTACCGATAGTTTCTGATAAATTGACTAGAGTTCTGTTCGACCATTCTGCATTCATTGATTTTACTGAATTATTCCCGTTGTCGTTTGCAACTGAGATTAATCTGCCCAAAGTGCGTCGTGACGAATCTGGACAACCTTTATCGGTTGTATCAGCGGCCGGCCAACGAGCTACAGCGATGACCTTTACAATGTGGGCGCGATCGTTCCATATTTTTATGTCATATCGCACATACAACAAGCCTGAATTCGTCCTGCCAATGCTGAAGTACCTCGACATTATGGCAAGTTTTGCACACTCCTACGAACCAGCTCAGTGGTTTAGTTATGACCAACGCTTCCGAATGTTTGCTCGTATGCACCCGAATAATGCGGCAATTTGGTCAAAGACCGATCACGAGATTTATCGTGAGTGTTTTATGACAGTTCATCCCAGCATGCGTGCGAGTGGCAGCCATGCGGCGCCATTTGGGCGTTCGGGTCAGCCAGGTGTACCACCTTCGTCATATTGTTGTTACAAGTGTAACATTCCTGGCCATTGGATTCGAAACTGCCCTAATCACCGTAAAGAACCTCCTAATCGTTCTTCGGACTCTCAGCTTTTTCGCGGGCGCAACGAGACGGATGACCGTCTCTGCACAGAATGGCAGCGGGGATACTGCTCCCCTCCATGCCAGTACGGGAAACTGCACCGCTGCTCAGCTTGTGACGCCGGTTCCCATGGTTTGCGCACCTGTAAACGACGCGCTAATGTCGGCGAAGCCGCCACAAACCGCTGCGACACCTCTCCAGCCTGATGCATTCCGTCATTACATGCGTAACCATCCAGACCAACATTTCGTAAGTGTGGTTATTGATATGATCACTAATGGGGCAGATATCGGCTATTTTGGTCCCGTCTGCTCTCGCTTTACCGCAAATTTTTAGTCTGCGCGTGAGCATGATGATGTCTTATTAAAGGCTATTGAAAAAGAAGTTTTATTAGGCCATACAGCCGGCCCTTTTATAAAACCACCGTTTAAGAATTTTTCCATAAGTTCTCTTGGTGTTCGTGAGAAAAAACCTAGCGGGCATCGGGTTATTCTTGATTTATCCCGACCAGAGGGTAACAGTGTGAACGATTATATTGACGGTGACGCATACACCGTTTCTTACTGTTCGGTTGACGATGCTGTTCGTTTGTTAACACACATGGGTGTCGGCGCAATAATGTGCAAACAAGATATCAAACATGCATTTCGTTTGATTCCCGTACGCGCGGAGGACTGGCCATTACTCGGCTATAAAGTTGCCGGTAATTACTATTATGACGTTGTTCTACCGTTTGGTGGAAGGTCGTCTCCGCGGTTATTTTGCATGGTTTCTGAAGCGCTACATTGGATTGTTGCTAATGTCTCGAAAAAGTTTAGTTTTCTTCATTATGTTGATGATTTCTTTATTGTTGAATTAACTGTGGAAGCCTGCACGTTCATTGTTAATACTTTATTGCGGATTGCAAAAGATCTTGGTATTCCTTTTTCTCCTGATAAAGCTGATGGCCCATCCACCCGGTTGCCATTTCTTGGCATTATTCTCGACTCAGTTGCCCAAACTCTGTCCCTTCCAGTTGGTAAATTAGAGGAAATTGTTGCGTTAATCTCTATGTGGCAAAAGCAGTCTGTGTGTTCCAAAAATGAACTTCAAAGTCTAATCGGTTCTCTCCAATTTGCGGCAAAGTGTGTGCCTGCAGGACGTTTGTTCACGCGAAAACTAATTAATCTTTTATCTTCACCTGATTCTGATCGAATTGTGGTTACTAATGACATTCTTAATGATCTTAATTGGTGGGCTGAATTTCTGCCCAAGTGGAATGGTTGTGCATCGTTCCTGTCTGTTAACTGGTCACACCCCGATACTTTACATCTCTACACGGATGCGGCAGCCGGCACGGGTTTCGCGGGCTATTTTGGTGGTGAATGGTTTGCCTGTCGCTGGCCATCTGAAGAAATTGCCAAACGGTGTATAGCGTTCCTGGAAGTTATTCCCATTTATGTCGCGTGCTTGATTTGGGCAGATAAATTTCGAAAGCAAAAAATCATTTTTCATTGTGATAACATGGCAGTTGTTCAATGTTGGCGTTCGCTTAATTCAAAAAATCCAGATATACTGCACGTATTAAGGAAAATTCTTATGGTTGCCGCTCTGCACAATTTCACTATGTCTGTTAAAGACGTTTCAGGCATTGATAATATTTTAGCTGATTCTCTTTCCCGTTTTGAGTTCGATCGGTTCCGGGCAGCGGCACCGAATGCTTGTTTACATCCAATAGTCGTGCCTGATTTTTGGTGTGATATTTTGCAGATGCAACTGTTTTCCACCTAATGCGGCATCATATTTCCGCTTCCACGCGGAAAACAAATATGTAAGCCTACAACATGTATACAATATAAAAATAATTTGATATATAATACTAATATCTATGTACAAATATAAAATCTATGTAATAGATCAGGAGCACACAAGCTCGTATTATATAGGAATGACCTAATGGGAATAACAAATGTTGACGTGCGAGATGGCCGCCCACGTTCTAGAATGGTAGCCAGCATGCAAGCAAATGAAATTAGGCGTTTTGTGCACCCGGCAATATGCCGGGCTGAAAGAACAGGGCAACCGCCCATATGGTGACAGCCACAAATAAAAAGCAAATATATTATGCAAATGGAAATTATTACTAATTCTCGATAAAGAAAATGTAAATAGGGACCTCCAAAAATTGATCGTACGAAACACATGCGGCTGTATACAAATCATGAGAGACACGACGTAATAATTGTCGACAAGATATGCCGCGGACGAGATTACGCCATAACATAATACAGGAGCATATGGCAAGAGCAAATACACTAAAGCACAGCAACATGGAATTTCTTCCAGAATTTTACACAAATCAGCCACTTGGTGAAATCAAGAACTTCCACATGAAAACATCTTGCCGGGTATTTTAATGCGGAAACAATGATATACACAATGAATACAATGAATCAACAACGAAAAACACAATGATCTAACAACAAGCACCAACGCCCCCCATGGGGAATATTGAACACAATGAAAGAAAACACAATGAGCCAATAACAAGCAAACACCCCTTCCACAGCCCTTCCCAGGAAAAAAGGGGCAGGGTGGGTGGGAAAAACGCGTTCGACGCGAACTGCATCAATGAATTCTCATAAATGACGATGAACATTTGCAGCTGCAGAAGGCAGCATGAAAATCTTGACGATCCCACGAAAACAGCATCTGACCACCCAGATGGCCACTAATAAATCTCAACCGCGACAGAACATAAACGTCAAGGCGAGACAAAAGCATGCCGCTCGCCAGAATTAACATTCATTATCTCCGATAATCCCTTTTAATTCTGCTGCTCGCGTGTACGATAACCAGACGACAACGGAGTTTGCCGGTTATTTTATTGGTAAACAATGATATATACAATGAGCCAACAAGGAAAACACAATGAACAAACAACAAACGCCCCCAATTTCCTCTCTGAAAAGAGGGAAAGGGTGGGTGGGAAAAACGCGTTCGACGCGAACTGCATCAATGAATTCTCATAAATGACGATGAACATTTGCAGCTGCAGAAGGCAGCATGAAAATCTTGACGATCCCACGAAAACAGCATCTGACCACCCAGATGGCCACTAATAAATCTCAACCGCGACAGAACATAAACGTCAAGGCGAGACAAAAGCATGCCGCTCGCCAGAATTAACATTCATTATCTCCGATAATCCCTTTTAATTCTGCTGCTCGCGTGTACGATAACCAGACGACAACGGAGTTTGCCGGGTATCATCTGATCAATTGCCGGGTACCATTTCGTTTCTTCATTATGTTGATGATTTCTTTTTTGTTGAATTAACTGTGGAAGCCTGCACGTTCATTGTTAATACTTTACTGCGGATTGCACAAGATCTTGGTATTCCTTTTTCTCCTGATAAAGCTGATGGCCCATCCACCCGGTTGCCATTTCTCGGCATTGTTCTCGACTCAGTTGCCCAAACTCTGTCCCTTCCAGTTGGTAAATTAGAGGAAATCATCGCGTTAATTGCTGTGTGGCAAAAGCGGTCTGTGTGTTCGAAAAATGAGCTTCAAAGTCTAATCGGTTCTCTCCAATTTGCGGCAAAGTGTGTGCCTGCAGGACGTTTGTTCACGCGAAAATTAATTAATCTTTTATCTTCACCTGAATCTGATCGAATCGTGGTTACTAATGACATTATTGATGATCTTGACTGGTGGGCTGAATTTCTGCCAAAGTGGAATGGTTGTGCATCGTTCCTGTCTGTTAATTGGTCACACCCCGATACTCTACACCTCTACACGGATGCGGCAGCCGGTACCGGTTTCGCGGGCTATTTTGGTGGTGAATGGTTTGCCTGTCGCTGGCCATCTGAAGAAATTGCCAAACGGTGTACCGCGTTTCTGGAAATAATTCCGATTTATGTCGCGTGTTTGATTTGGGCAGATAAATTTCGAAAGCAAAAAATCATTTTTCATTGTGATAACATGGCAGTCGTTCAATGTTGGCGTTCACTTAATTCTAAAAATTCAGATATCCTGCACGTGTTGAGAAAAATTCTAATGGTTGCCGCTCTTCACAATTTCACTATGTCTGTTAAACACGTGTTAGGCATTGATAATATTTTAGCTGATTCTCTTTCCCGTTTTGATTTTGATCGGTTTCGGGCAGCTGCGCCGAATGCCTGTTTACATCAAGTAATTGTGCCTGATTTCTGGTGTGATATTTTACAGATGCAACCGTTGTCCACCTAATGCGGCATCATATTTCCGCATCCACGCGGAAAACATATTTGACCGCCTTACATCAATTTTTGCGATTCCTGTCAGTTTCCCATTGCAATTCGTCATTGTTTTCCGAAGTCAATGTTTTGAATTTTATTGCCCATTTATATCATGCCGGACATAAATTTTCTTCTGTGCGCACCTATCTTGCCGGCATTTCCAATTATGCCCTTGAGACCGGCACTACTGATCCTGTGTTGTCCGTGAAAGTACAACACGAAATTAAAGGATTCCAGCGTTTGGCTCCTGTTATGCCTGACAATCGCCGGCCAGTGTCGCTTGATATTATGCGGTTATTAAAGTCCAGAATAATCGGTTCAGCAGTGCCTTTGTATGATCAATCCCTTCTTTGGTGTGCAATGTGTTTTGCATTTTTCGGTTTTTTGAGAGTGTCTGAGTTTGCAGTTTCACTCAGCGCTGCACATACCATTCAATTTTGCCATGTTTCCTATGATGGTCATCGTGTGTCTCTGATTATACCCAGTTCTAAAATTGACCAATTTTCTTATGGTTATACGGTTCATTTTAATCCCACTGAGCGCTCCGTCTGCGCAGTTCGTGCATACATTCGTTACGTGCGGCATCGTGTTCATACTGATCTGCATACACCTTTCTTTGTTTTTCGGAATGGATCGCCGTTGTCACGCAATTATTTTGAGTCCAGTTTACGTCGGTTGCTTCCGGAGTTTCCTGACATTCATTCCCACAGTTTCCGCATTGGCGCAAACATACCACGATCTTATCTGCATGTAACGGTCTATCAATGAATGGAACAGAATTGCAACAGCGGTTGATGCAGTTCGCGTCGAACGCGTTTTAGTAGTTTTAGTAGTTTTAGTAGTTTTCCATCTCTTCCTAAAACAAATTTCGTAAATCGTTACTGCCATTCTATCCCATCTATTGATAGACCGTTACACGCAGATAAGTTCGTGGTTTGATTAAACGGCTGCTTTTTAACAATTTTTGTTTGGTTGTCGCCTGGAACATCATCCAGTATGTTATGGCGCAAGCTTATTCTTGGTGAATCTTGTCGCAGAATTATCCGTCGTATTGCTCATGATTTATACGTAGCAACGTGTGTTTCCTACGATCAGTTTTTGGAAATCCCTATTTACGTTCTGTTCATTGAAGACCAGTAAATCGTTTGTTTATACTTCGCTTTTGCGTTTTTTTTTTGTATTTGTCACTACCATCGTATGGGTGGTTGCCCTGTTCTTTGACTCCGGCATATTGCCGGTTGCGCTAGAATGCCTAATTCAGTTTGTCTACACATTGGATATCCATGTGTATGCTCTTTGTGCTCATCAAATCTCAATGCAAATCAAGTGGTAACTGATTTATTGCGTCTTTACTCATCTGACTTGTATGATTTTCCTGCCAGATTTGCAACAATTAATCTGATTTTTAATCGGTTTTTGCGTTTTCAACTCCGCGATTCTGGTGTATCAGACACTTCAGTTAACACTGTCGCTTTCGGTTTTGCATCAATTTTCACTCCATTTTATCGAGATTGTCCGTTGAGAATATTTCTTCGTAATTCATCGTATCACAATGGGACGGCCACGGAGAGCAGCCGCTGCGCCAGCTACAGTTGGAAGAAACTCCGGAAGGACCATCAAGCCCGCACCGAGACGTGGTCGACCGCCTCGCGCGCCCGCTCTTAAGGTCACCACTACGACTCGGTCGAAACCAGATCGTCTGTCCGATCTTCTTGCGCGCAAGAGGCAACTGTCTGCAGAAATCAGCCAGCTCACCCGGGCTTCTCCGATGTCTCCACCTTCGCCGTTGCGCGATGTTCGTTTCTCACCATCTCCTGAACGAACAGGTAACGGTAGCGTGGTATATGTACCTTCCAGCAAAAACCGTCAAGCCGTCATGCCTAGCGCTTTAAATCGGCCTGGAACCAAGCATGAATCCTTTGGTCAGTCTTCGGACGACCTCAGTGAATTACCGATAGTTTCGGATAAATTGAGTAGAGTTCTGTTTGACCATTCTGCATTTATCGATTTTACTGAATTATTCCCGTTGTCGTTTGCAACTGAGATTAATCTGCCCAAAGTGCGTCGTGACGAATCTGGACAACCGTTATCGGTTGTATCAGCGGCCGGTCAACGCGCTACAGCGATGACCTTTACAATGTGGGCGCGATCGTTCCATATTTTTATGTCGTATCGCACATACAACAAACCTGAATTTGTTTTGCCAATGCTGAAGTACCTCGATATTATGGCAAGTTTTGCACACTCCTACGAACCAGCTCAGTGGTTTAGTTACGACCAACGCTTCAGAATGCTTGCTCGTATGCACCCGAATAATGCCGCAATTTGGTCCAAGACCGATCACCAGATCTATCGGGAGTGTTTTATGACAGTTTATCCCAGCATGCGTGCGAGTGGTAGCCACGCGGGGCCATCTGGGCGTTTGGGTCAGCCAAGTGTACCACCTTCGTCATATTGTTGTTACAAGTGTAACATTCCTGGCCATTGGATTCGAAATTGCCCTAATCACCCTAAAGAACGCTCTACTCGTTCTTCGGACTCTCAGTTTTTTCGCGGGCGCAACGAGACGGACGACCGT